AAATAAAGTGGACTGGAATGGATTCTGATAGATGGTCCGCAACCTGCTTGACTCCATATGGTGTTTTTGTTTTTCCTTGGAAGGTTCTATCCAATTACGAATGGTTTTATAGCTCAGAAATACCTAGAAAAACAGGCAGTCTGACGGAGCAGGGTCGCCTCTCCACAGACCTGACCTGCAGCTTGGTCTGGTTTGGTCTCCATGGAGATAGAAAGGTTTAATGCCATACTGTGAAACATTCCAGAGAAAGCAATAACATCTCCATAAAAAAGCCACTTAAACCACAAGAAAACTATTCTAAAACTGCAATACTGTAAAAAAAAAAAAAACATGAGCTGTAATAAATAACCAGCATTCCTACGTTTGCATCTGTATTGAGTCACAGAAGTTATTAATTCAACCTTTTACGAATGAAAACTGATCATAGAGTCAAAAAATAACCAAAAGCTTCTTAGTCGTGCAGAGAAAATGTAAACAAGATCAAAACGGACCCCAAAAATATCTTGTTTTTCATATTTTTGGTCACTATTGCAATTATGGTGACAGGTTTACGGGACCACGAGTTAAAACGCACAGAGGAGAAAAATGTGACCCTGTTTGTGATGACGTCTGAGGCTTACGGGGCTCTCAGACTGTGTAACACTTCAGACCGAGAGCTGCTGCCACAAATGAGCTATTGTTAAACTCGGCTAATCAAACATACACTCGTGCTACTGAAATGGCCACTCACTGCTTCAACCAAGAGCCAGTGTGAGCGCACAGGAGAAGGTAAAGGTGTTTATAATGTTCCACTATATGATATTAAACAGCTTTACCTTAAGTTTATTGAATTACACATGGTTTTATAGCTCGAAAATACCTCAAAAGTTGGCATTCTGACTATGGCATTAAAAAGGTTTAAAGCCATACTGTGAAAGATTCAAGACAAAGCAATAACATCTCCATGAAGAAAAGCATTTGACAGATCCTCCACCACTAAAGTTACAAAATTAACCTTTAAGAACCAGTCAAAACAACAGAATGGAAGAATATTGTTTAACAGAGATCATCCCCTTTTGCGTCCATCAGACTTGTGCTAAATCGTGCCTGTAATTGTCTTGTACAAAAGTGAATGGGCTTAAGCCGTGTGCAAATTGCAGAACTAGTCTTTCACTTACACGTTTTTACAGCATGTTTTAAACATTGTGGTCAATGTTTAATGAACCAGGTTAGATCCGATATGGCCTCGTGGTGCTGGACTGGCCCGCACCTCGTGTCCTGCTCCTGAGTTTGCATGTTTCTTCCTCACATCAGCCACATTAGTTTCCGCCTAAAGCAAGCAATACAGGTCAAATCCTCCAGAAAGTCCTGACCAAGACAAGCTCAAGATCTGGAGACAGTTCGCTTGATGAGCCCAGGACGGGTCAAATGCAGAGGACAAATCTCTCTATGGGACAATTAAGTGAACCTTAAGTTTAAACTACCTTTAAAATCGTATCTTTTTAATTTAGCCGTATTTTTTTAATTTAGCTTTTATTTGAAACTATTACCTGTTTTACCTTAAATTATTATTATTATTGTTATTATTATACTTATTTTAAATTAAATTCTCATTACTATTTTACTTTGTCTCCATCTGATTTTAGCTCTCCATGTTTATTTTTTATTATAACCTTTAAGAGCTTTATGTTTATGTTTTTATGTTTATGTTTAAATTGTTGTATATATGGATGAAACAATGGGGGGTGGGGGGTTGCTGTTGTTTTTAATTATTGTACTGTAATTTTTCTGTTGCATGTGAAGCACTTTATGGTACATTTCAAATGTATGAAAAGTGCTATACAAATAAAGTTTGATTGATTGAATATCTAAAAAGGACCACAAACTGATGTGAAGTATACAAACCTTTTAGTTTTAGAAACATAATAAAAAGTATTTAGCTTAAATAGTGTGTTTGCTCAAATTCCCATTAGAACTCCCTCACTCCTCTATTTCAATATCTGATAGAGAATGATATCTGGAGGAATCAGGAAAACAAACTCAGATATCATCAGTATTAGCACCGACACATCAATCAGCCCAACCACTGATACCTACTGTATTATCTCACGCAGTACTTGAGAAGTGTGAGAATCACTGCCTTAGAGCAAAGTTTGAACCCACTGTACTTTGTGACCCAAGTCCTGACTTCTGACATTTACCAAGTTCCACAGAAGCTGAAACTGCAGAACTGTCACTGTGACTGTTACTTCTACATGAACTGCACACTGAGCTTAATCTTCAGCATGTGAACAGCGTACAGCAGGTGGCACGTGCATATGGCAAATAGTTATGGCCTAAAGGACTGTATGTTCTCGGCTCATTTAAAAACTCAAGGTTGAGATCTCGAGTCAAAGAATGTTGATCGTCAGTAAAAGATAAAAAGATAAAAAGATATGGCTCAGTGTTCATTATTCCACTAATACATTCACTCCAAACAGGCCTGCAGATACTTTCTTTGCCTTTATGCTCTTGAACATAGTTAGAATTTTTTGTCAACAACCATGAAATTGCCCTAGATTGAAAAGGACTCTTGTCACTAGATGAATAAGTACTGAAAATGTTACTGTCACAGGTAATGGAGAGTAGTCAGTAACTTCTACGGTGTAAAATTTACCCAATTACAATTACATGGCTAGAAGTATACTCATACTCATGACACTTTTACACAATGCAAGTACAAGTAAGTACAAAATGTCCTATATTACACAAACTGCATTCTTGCGAGCTTTAAGTCATGTTATGTTTTCTCCTCAAAAACAGACCTGTAGTTGTGTTTTGTTTCATTCACACGTTTGAGTAACACTTTATTATTAGTCTGTCTACATCTCCAAAGCTCAAAATGCTCTCTTCCACCTTGTGATGTCATGAAGCAATAGTTTTCAAGTTAACAGCTCCTTTTACCGTTTGTTCAGCAATTCCAGGGCTGAAATCGTTCAGTTGATTCCAGTGAAGGTGTAGGAGTGTTTCCATTTGAGAGAAGAACTCGCGGGGTTTGTGTGTAGTATGAATGAAACAAAACACAACTCCAGGTCTGTTTTTAATAATCAAACAACATTTTAACATAGATGAGTTTTTTTAATGTCAACAGCAGCACTATCCAAGTAACACAGTGAACAGGCTGAGTCAACAAAACTGCCTAAGTAGTGGAATAACTCTAAGATCGTGGGTGTGGTAGGAAAAAACCAAGACTCCAGGAGTGTCACAAGACATATATAGACATGCAATGTAGATCTACAACACAATAAAAGCAAAACTGCATTAAAGTCAATTACTCCAACATCTTACACTCCTCTTATAGCATCAAGAGACAGTCCTGGCGCCTAACTCATTTTTTCTCCAATTAAATCTAAAATATCTGTGTTTTCTTACTGGGATTGCTAAATAAACAGCCTCCGTGGCACTTAAAGCAGACTGATAGCTTCACAACTTGCTGATGGTGTGGATTGGTGTAACATGTCTAGGGTAACCAGGCGTCCCCATTTACGCGGGACAGTCCCAGTTTGGAGCCCTGTGTCCCCCTGTCCCAGCAGATTTATCAAATACCAGTGATTTGTCCCAGTTTTATACAAGAAGCGCCCCTATTTTTGACCAATCTGATCTAAACCAAGTCTAAACTACGAGTAAACCAGGACTAAACCAGGACTATCACAATTTTTAATTAATCTGATCCCTGCCAACAGTAAATAGAAGCATAAATTGTAATTTGTTTAGCCAAAGTACAGAAATCTGTGTTTGCGAATGACACGAAAAGCAAAAAATGCAGCAACAGAAGTTCCACAGATTATGACTGAGACAAGAATTAGAGCTGGGTATCATTAAACAGTCATTGATACGATACATCAGGGTATCCCCAGGTTTGACTACCCCAAATTTAAGACTTTTTAAAGACCTTTTTAAGACCACTTAACCTAAGCTACACTTCCCCATGATCCAACCAACTTCTTCCTCCACTCTACTGATTTTACTCATTTCCGCTGGCACCAGAAGCCAAATTATTGTTTGCGCATACTCCAAATTAGACGTTCGTTCACATTACGTGATTTCACATTATTGTTTTTGCAGCCCGGTTGAGTTTACAAAAAATAGGCTAATGAAATTTAAGACTATTGTGAAAAAAATAAGACTTAATAATTATAATAATAATAATTTAAGACTTTTTAAGGCCTTAATTTAGGAAGTTGAAATTTAAGACCTGTTTAAGACTTTTAAGACCCAGCGGCTACCCTGTAAATACCTCGATACATAGGCCACGATATGATACACTTTTCGATACTGTGCACTTTCGATTCAATACGATTCGATATATTTCAAATCGATTCTATGCAGTTCAGTGAAAAACAATGGCTAAATCTTGGCTGTGATACTAAGTCTGTGCTAATTTAAGAAGAAAAACACCCATTTTACTCAAAGCAGTGAAAATGTCAACACAACTGTAGCTCTTACACAAAATAATTTAGTAAAATATACCAAAAAAATACTCTTAACGATACATCGATACAGCAGCCCACGATTTTGACACTGTATCATCAAATTAAACAATACGGTACGTCGATATTTCAATATTTTTGCACACTCTTAACGAGAATGCACAATGTTTCACGCGTTTTTCACTATTTTATTTATACCAAACATCCAAACCCAGGTGTGTCCCAGTTTAGAATTTTGAAAATCTGATCACCCTAAACAAGTCGTGTCTTTTTAGCATCCACTGAGGAGGATCGGTCAAATAAATAGGTTATGAAGATGCCAATATGAGTGGTACATAATGAATGAGGGTGCGCTGAAACTTGGCTGGGTCTTGCTCTACCAGCCGAGCCTGTCAGTGAACTTCAGCCGCCGTGTCGTGTCGCTAACCCGGCTCCTCCGACTGCCTCCGTCACCCCCTCGCACCGCTACGGCTAGATTAGCGCGTCCCACACCCAGATCAAAAGCGCAAAAGTACAAGAAAATGCTGTACGCGGTTTATTCCTGTTACTTACAAATTGTATCTCTCGTAGGCGGTCGCCATCTTCGCTCCGTCTACCTGACCTCGGTGACGACAGCAGGAGAGCGGCTTTGGCTGCGTTGCCAGATCGGAGCGAAGCATCCCGGTAACAGCTGTTTACAATCCTATGCATCGAAATGAGGACTTTGCACTCAACCTGGCACCCACGCAGGAGTGCCAGAGTGGATTCAGCGTGCCTTTGGACACTTTTTTTTTTTTTTTTTTTTTTTTTTTACATTTATTTTATTTTCGTGTGAGCTGTATATTTTTATAACGTGCTGTTTTTGTTTGTATCTGAAAATCTGAAATCATAAAAAAAAAAATAATAATAAAAAAAAAAAAAAAAGAAAGAGAAAGTCTCGAACGGAAACTCGTCATCTCCACTTTTACGATGCAGACCTATCATGGACGACAAAACGTTTTATTTTGTTGATTAAATAAATGTTAATTAAATAACAAAAAAAAATAAATAAATAAGCAGCAGAGCGGTTTTGGTTGTGTTGCCAGATCGATGCATCGAAATGAGGACTTCGCTCTTAACCTGGCACCCACGCAGGAGTGCCAGAGTGGATTCACGTTTTGTTTTTGTTTTTACATTTATTTTATTTTCATGTGAACTGTATGCTTTAATGAGGTGCTGTTTTTGTTTGTATCAGAAAATCTGCAATAAAAAAATACAAAATAAAAAAAAATAAAAAATCTCGAACGTCACCTCCACTTTTATGCAGACTTTTTTTTTTTTTTTTTATTAAAAATATCTTTACATAGTACAAGAAGATGCGGGAATTTAAAAACAAGAAATTAAAGCAGTTGGCAGATACAAAATGTAAACAAATAACACAGCGAAAATATTGTGCAGACCTATGGGGTGACGAAACGTTTTATTCTGGCCGCAAATAATTGTTGATTTTTTTTTTATTTTTTTTTTAAGGGAGGAAAAAAAGCCTTTGCACACGTATTTTACATAATTCGGTATTTACGTAATATTTTATACATAATTTAAATTTGCTTTGTCATGTACATGGTTTTGAAATGTTGTCCAATTAAAACAATGATCACTTAAAAGACATACATTTTACAGCCATCCACTATTATAACCATAGTATAATTACACAGAGTTTAGTTTAGTGTCCGCTATAAAATATTGATTAAAACGTCTCTAGCTTTTTTTGATCAGGCATTAGTGAGGATGCCCGGGCACGCGGTCCTTTGAAGGACCTCTATATAAACAGCTGACGCACGCTTTTCGGTCCTGTTCGACGACGTGCTTTACGTGCTTAACCAGTGGAAAGTGAGTTTTCTCAGAGACTTTCTTGCTTGTTTAGTTTGTTTTATAGTTTAAAAGTCCGTGGAATTCGTGACTTATTACCATCTCTATTTAGAAGTGCTGTTTGAACTTCGCTCTATGTTATTTTTCACTATTATTAAGCATGAATTGTGTCGCAGCACGTGGCAGACATGGGCCGTGCCTTTCTAACCATGCGCCGTGTTTCTCTTCTAGTCTCCTGGATTTGTTATGAGCTTAAACTCTGCACATCAGCAGTTTCCCTTTGAAGATGGAGGGGGCTGATCAAATTGATTACTGGTGGTGTGTAACCGACTGTTTACTTTGGCGGGAATCTTCTGCATCGTGGAAAGGATGAGCTGCAGTTTCAGTTTACATGGTGAGTTTTTATGACCAGTAGGCTTAGATTTTTATAGCAATAAAAATCTACACTCTCCAAACCTTTCTCTTGGAGGCAAACATTTCATTGACTTACGCTTTTATCTTTTCAGAGAAGTCGAAAGCCTGAACTCGAGAACTAAACTGGGATGATAAAATGCCACCAGCCATGAAATGAAGGGTGAGTTCAAAGAATGATTTCAAATTTGGTTGTGAGAAATGCTACTTTGATGATTCATTAGACTAGAGTCTCTGAAATAAAATGAAGCTCTTTCACAGTGCACTGAGTTAGCACAGCTCTTCTAAATGTACAGAAACTTAAATGAATTGTTCTAATGACCGCTTCTGTTTTTAGGTGGTCATCGTGGTGGCTGAATGTCGTAGGCTGAAACTTGCAGCTTCAAGGTAATTTTCTATAAATACTTGAGCTACTGTTTAGAGAATGTGGGATGATGATTTCTTAGACTAGAGTCTCTGATCAACATGAAGTCTTTTCACAGTGCACTGACCACATTCTCTTTGCATCTCAAAAACTAGACTTTAAAAGGTTTGGTCTAATGTGAATTTTCTTTTTTCAGGAGCTCAGTGTTAAGTAAAACCCAATATGGACTCAACAGATGGACAAGAACTGCTTTGTAAGTGCTGTCCTCTTGGTCATTGTCACCCCGTTTGGATTCTTGAATTCATTTTTGAATCTTTCTTTGGGTTAATTTGAAATCTTCAATCTAAATGGGAAGTGTAATCCTTACTCCAGAGTTCAATGATGATTCAGTTTTTCGGTTCGACTGATAATTGCTGAAGTTTACTCGCAGCGCACTGAGTTCTCTGGTCTTTAGCAGAGATCAGCTTTGGCATCATTATGATCTGAAACTCAACCTTTGTGTTTTCTTTCCAGGGCCAATTGAGTGGAGAAATGCTGACTGTTTGAGTTTGACCCGAGGAAGTCTGCTGGAGTTTTGAGGATGTTCAATCATCTCTGAAAATATCTTAGAATTGTGAAATGTCTTGCAAATAAACACAATTTCATAAACTTTTTGTTTTTTTTTTAACGGTGAGGTTGAAGTAGGTGAACAAAATAAACCATGAACTACTCTTAATCATATGGTGTATGAATTAAACTTGTATGAAACCTTTTATTTACTGAAACTAGTACATACTTGAATTTGAGTTCTTTACGTGTGATTTTAATGTTAAGGTTCTTGCTGCACCAGACCAAATTAAATTGAATCCAAAGGCCACTACAAGAAAAACTTGTCAACCTAAGCTTTTTACTTGGGCTAAAGGAACCTTTGACCCCTGTTTATCAGTGGTCAACTGGCCACTGTTTTTGCAATCAAGAAATTTTGGCTCCCACCCAAAAGCTGTTTCAAATTCGCTCTGAGTTGTGCAAAAGTTTGCACAATAGAAGTGCCCGATTTACTGTTTATAGTAATTCATATAGAGGGACAGAGGAGCTCATTCTCCAACAGGCTTCTGCAGCACCGCTCAGAGATACAAGACTACTTTATTATTTATGTCCTCATCCTTATGTAACGATAAGACTGTGTTTCTGTCAATCATATCTTCTTTGCACTGTTACATCTTGTTTATAGCTGTGATAAACTATATTACAATATGTATTTTTTACGTAGTATACATACATTTATATAATTTATGTCTTATTGATACCAATCTCTTGCTATTTTTATTGCTACTTATTTAGAAGCGTATTACTTTTCTTTACTCTGTGTTATTGTAGTATAATGTGATGTGTGATCTACTGTGTCCAAGTAATTTCCCCTGTGGATCAGTAAAATGATGTGACTAGATTTTCAAAATAAAAATCTGGCACACCCTTGGTTTGAGGTGGTGGGTAATAAAATTGTGAAACAAGTACTTATCTATCGAAAACTGTTCTGAACTCGGCTCATACATGACTAACGGGTGAGTCAGTATATTCACATTTCCTTTTCTGTTGGCATAAGGTGACCAATCATCCTTATTTACCTGGGACAGTCCCAGTTTTGAATCTTGTGTCCAATGTCCCAGCAGATTTAATCAAAACCAGTGATTTGTCCCAGTTTTATACAAGAAATGTCCCTATTTTTGACCAATTTGATCCCTGCCAACAGTAAAGAGAGGCATAAATTGACATTTGTTCTGGTAAAATAGAGAACATAAAGGAAATGTTACTACACTGACTCACATGTTCGTCATGAATGGGCTGAGTGCAGAACAAGTTCCCTTAATTATGCACTTGTTTCACAGTTTTATTATTACCAATCAACAATGTGTCCCAGTTTTTTATTTTGAAAATCTGGTTGCTCTGTGTTTCCAGATATCAAAACAGGGACATCTGGGACATTTCTTGTATAAAACTGGGACAAATCACTGGTTTTGTATAAGTCTGCTGGGACAGGGGACACAGGGCTCAAAACTGGGACTGTCCCGGGTAAATAGGAATATACTCCGATCACTCTATACTGTGTCCAAGTAATTTTGTGGATCAATAAAGTCTGTCTAAGTTAGGGTGACCAGATTTTTAAAATTAAAAAAATGGGATACACCCAGGTTGGCATGGTTGATATAAATAAAATTGTGAAAAAAGTGTGTAGCTTTGTCCATTCTTGACTTGTGTGGATCTGTGTAAAATCTGAGACTAAATACAGAAGCACAGACTTCTGTCTAAACAAATGCAATTTATGCTCCTCTGGTTTAGACCTGGTTTAGAATTAAAATAGTCCTATTTTAGCCCAAGTTTAGTCCTGGTTTAGCTCCATTTTAGACTTGCTTTAGACCTGAAATAGCCCTGGTTTAGCCCTAGTTTAGTCCTGGTTTAGACCTGATATAATTCTATTTTAGCCCTAGTTTAGACCTGGTTTAGACCTGATATTGTTCTAGTTTAGCCCTAGTTTAGACCTGGTTTAGACCTGATGTAGTTCTGTTTTAGCCCTAGTTTAGCCCTGGTTTAGACCCAGCTTAGACCTGACATAGTTCTATTTTAGCCCTAGTTTAGTCCTTGTTCAGACCTGGTCTAGTCCTGGTTTAGACCTGATATAGTTCTATTTTAGACCTGGTTTAGTCCTAGTTTAGATCTGGTTTAGATGTGAAATTGTCCTGGTTTAGCCCTAGTTTAGTAGTGGTTTAGTCCTGGTTTAGACCTGGTTTAGACTTGGTTCAGACCTGGTTTAGTCCTGGTTTAGACCTGGTTTAGACCTGATATAGTTCTATTTTAGCCCTAGTTAAGTCCTGGTTTAGACCTGACATAGCTCTGTTTTAGCCCTAGTTTAGTCCTGGTTTAGATCTGGTTTAGACCTGATATAGTTTTATTTTAGCCCTAGTTTAGCCCTAGTTTAGTCCTGGTTTAGGCCTAGTTTACACCTGGTTTAGACCTGATATAGTTCTATTTTAGCCCTAGTTTAGTCCTGGTTTAGACCTGAAATAGATCTGATTTAGTCCTCGTTTAGCTCAAATTGGTCCAAAATAGGGACACTTGGGACATTTCTTGTATAAAACTGGGACAAATCACTGGTTTTGTATAAATCTGCTGGGACGGGGGACACAGGACTCAAGACTGGGACTGTTACCCTGTGTTACACTAGTTTAAGTCTAAGTCTAAATCTAAGTCTTAAGCAGCATGACTTGCATAGTCCTGGTTTAGTCCTAGTTTAGACCTAGTTTAAACCTGATTTAGTTCTATTTTAGCCCTAGTTTAGTCCTGGTTTAGACCTGATTTAGACCTGATATAGTTTTATTTTAGCCCTAGTTCAGTCCTTGTTCAGACCTGGTCTAGTCCTGGTTTAGACCTGGTTTAGTCCTAGTTTAGATGTGAAATTGTCCTGGTTTAACGCTAGTTTAGTAGTGGTTTAGTCCTGGTTTAGACCTGTTTTAGACCAGATATAGTTCTATTTTAGCCCTAGTTAAGTCCTGGTTTAGACCTGAAATAGTCTTGTTTTAGTCCTGGTTTAGCCCTAGTTTAGTCCTGGTTTAGTCCTGGTTTAGTCCTGGTTTAGACCTGGTTTAGACCTGATATAGTTTTATTTTAGTCCTAGTTTAGTCCTGGTTTATTCCTGGTTTAGACCTGAAACAAATCTGAAATAGACCTGATATAGACCTAGTTTAGTCCTGGTTTCGATCAAATTAGTCCAAAATAGGGACACCAGGGACATTTCTGTATAAAACTGGGTCAAATAAATGGTTTGGGGGACACAGGGCTCAAAACTGGGACTGTCCCCGGTAAATAGGGACATTTGGTCACCCTAGTTTAAGTCAAAATCTAAATCTAAATCTAAATGTTAAGTAGCGTGACTTTATTTTGAAGGTCCCTCCCACAGCGGTAGTCCTCCTCCCGGTCACCGCCTTTGTCCTCCTCTCATTAGGAGAAAACAATCCGGAGGAAGCACGGGAGGGGTACCTGTGCTGCTCCTCCGCTCCACCTGGATTTTACACCGTTTATAATCACTCGTAACCCCGTTTTACACCCTGACATTGTCGATTTTACCCGACAGGCCTGCAGTAAGTTTGGATTCTAGCGGGACGGATCGTGGCTAACGCTAGCTTCATCCCCAAACGACGCTAAAGGTGAGGGAGCGCTCAGCTGTTCACGTACGTTAGCTTTTGTGTTCTTGGACAGCGATCAAATGTCAAAATACTGCACTTTATGTTATATTATCTGTTTACATAGTCATAGGAATGTTCACAGGTGAGTTACAAGTGATTTTAGTGTCACTTACGGAACAAAAATACAAATTACGAGCAGCTACTAGTCGTAATAACAGGGTAAACAAAACAATGGCATCTACTTTCTCTGACTTTTTCTCTTTTGTCAGCAGATAACTGGGGATCAGCGTCAAGGATTCCTCTTTAAATCTTCAAATAAGTTTAATCTCAAAGTTTTCAGATAGTATTTTCATTTTAAGGCAACAATGCAACGTGGAAAACAACAAAATCTTCCAAGAAGGGGGTGAAAACAGAGAAGAGAATTAACATGCAGACCTGAAACCGAGATTAAACCTTGCATTGTGGGGCAAGTGTGAATGTAATGCAAAGGAGGAGGTACCCCTTTTTTATGGGAACTGCACATCCACACCCTCTGGCTTGTCTGCGGGCCAAAGACGCCCTTTAACTGGCCTAAATTTTGGAACTAGTACTACCACTTTCTCAACGACTGCCAGCGCATACCTGCATTTGTTCATTTTATACTGCTCAATCTGGTGAGGTAAACAGCAGTGTCGCCTTAGCTGTTGTCGCTCGCAGATACTATAAATTACCATGACAGCTGTGGTGGGAAGAGCTTGGGGTTGGGTCCGGTCTTGGGGCAGTAAGCCAGACACTCAACATACCCAAGCGACTATAATAGCAGAGGAGAAGAAACCTAGCAGAGGATGGACGTCTTGGTTATGGCTCGGCTGGTCGCGTAAAAGTGACCTGAACAGTCCCGTGGAGGAATTCTGGGAGGCGCCGGAGAAGATCCAGCCAATGGAGGTGGAGGAGCTCAAAGCCGGGAAGGACGAGACTGACGGTTCTCAGCCTAGATGGTGGAGCAAGTTGCTTCCGACGTATTACATCTACTGGCCAAAGAAAGCAGCAACAGCAACAACAATAACGCAGCAACCGAGGAAACGGCACGAAAGCGACATCTACGGAACCCCGCCGCCCTCGCCCACCCCGCCCGTCACTTCCCCGTTCAGGCTTTTCGTCTCCGGCTGGCAAATGGAAATCATCCCGGAGCATTACGACATCTGCTTCAACTTCCTGCGTCACCTTTTTGACCTGTTCGTGGTGGGGTTTCTGTGGACCGTCTCGACTCCTTCCAAAATCGTTGTGGAGATTTTGGGCGTGCAGGGAGCGTTGAGGTTGTGGTTTCACGGGATGGCCATGTTTTTCGTGGCCACTATCGGCATGGCGGGGCTGCTGGGTTTGATCAGGGAGTATTTGGCGCAGTTTACGCTGGTGTATGGGATCATACAGGCGCTGGTGATCTCGGTGAGCATGAAGCAGAGCGTTCTTTTTGGAGGAATAGAGGAGGAGCAGAAGAAGGAAGAGGAGGTGAAGGAAAAGGTGGAGGTGAAAAAGGACACTAAGGAGCACAGGGGAGGCGTGAAACCAATGTCTCCCAAAGAAAAGCTGAAGAAGATAAGTTAAGAATGGGTGAGTATTTTAACCCAGATCAGAATATTTTAATTTTTTTACAGAAATTCACTGGCATGTCTAGTTTGTCCATGCAAAGTTTCAGTCTGGCTTAGTGGTGTCACCTGTTTTCCCTGTGAGATTAATAGGTGTAATGCCAAAGTGTGAAACATTTAAAGGTGCAGCACTACCCTACATTACAGTTCAGATCTCTGGAGGGGCGCCCCTATTCACAGAACTAATTAGTGTATTTTTGAGCAATAGAAACACCCATAATGAATAAATGCAAGATGGAAATGTTTAATGTTATACCATCAGAGATTCAGCTCAAAGCAAGAACATCAAGGACAAGCAGGCACCAGAAAAGTTGCACAGTGCACCTTTAAAGTCAAAGCAATAAGATCTCCAAAAAAAAAAAAAAAACACAGACAGAGGACCCCCGATTGGAAAAGTTACCAGTACATAGTGCACCTTTATGTAATTTGCTCCAGGTTTATGGCTGCACGATAAAAAGATTGTGGAGTTATTGAGATTAAACCTCTCCAGCAGCATTAACATTTGAGATAAGAATGAGAATGTTTGTAGAGTCTAAACTACAGCAACAGCGAGGTTTTTGTGTAAAAGACGCAGGTCAGGTCATGTTGTTCTGTGCAGAGGGCATTTGATTATCGTCAACACTTTATACTAAGGCATACCTAAATCCAATCATTTGTAAATGTCCATTAACCATTAATAATTTACCAAAACACACACGGCTTATCAAATAATCGATTTCCATTTTTTTTTCTACTTAAACGTTTATGAATGTTTTAAAAATTGGTAAAAAACACTTCCTATCCACATTTGTTCAGTGGCAAAAACGGATATCTCTGTTTTGAAAAATTGGCTAAAAGTAAGTAAGATCAGTGACAATAATGCATAATGGATTTTATCAAGGAGAGATAGAATATTATTTAGATTGCTGTAAAACGTATTTGGCTTTTGAAAACGTTTCTGTGCAAAGAAATCCTAATCCTAAATCCAAAGAAATCCTAAAATCACAGTACGGTAATCTTAAAAAACTTTTTAAATATCGCAGTTATCCGTTTATACAAATTAACTCTTCACTTGTGAATGTGTAGGCCATTTTTAGTAAATGATTAGTAAAAGGTGCACTGCGTAAGTTTTCTGGTGGAGCGTCCATCATATGCTTGTCTTCTTCAAGATGTCCCACAGTACGGCATTAAACTTGTCTATCTGCATTAAGACAAATCATTTTCTGCCAGGGCATGTTACAGGTCAGATCTACCGAGAAGCGAGCCCACTCACAGTACAAATGCAAGCTTTTCCAAGGCATTTCTAACCAATAAAAACACCTGTAATTGAATCAGTGCAAGTGATAATTGCCTTTAATGCTATACTGCGGAACATTCTGGGCAAAGCTACAACATCTCCATGACACAAATAAGTTGCAGAGTCTCCACCTGAAAAGTTCCACATTGCACTTTTAATGATTAATGTAGTGGACCAAACAGGAAGGCAAAGACAAAGTATAAAAATAAGTTTAAATTTAATAAAGTCAAAAAAGGAGATAATTTAACAAAGGCTCAAATTAGGCAAATTATTAACAAAAATCAAGCTGGGCCCAAATGTGGTAACTCAATTCAAACAGAGCAGAACTAAATTAACCCGACCAGACAAAGGAACAAAGGTGTTTAAATACTTGAGGACCAACTAAAGCGAAACACAAGAGGGAGAAATTACACTAAATAATTAACTAATCTACTAACTTAATCAAAGTAACAGGAAGGCAAATTATAATACAGAAAAATAATAAGTGATAATAAAGTGACTTTAAAGGAAACTAAGCAAACTAAAACTAACTAAATAGTGCTCCCCCTTGTTGTTGAGTCATGATAGTGTCTCCCGAGGGTCCTCTATTTGGTGCTCAAAAAAACAAAAAGAACAAGTGTAAGTAAATCAGACTTAAATTAACTAAAATGTGTGCACTCAAATTAGATTATAAGTCTAAATAAAGGAATTAAATTATGTGCAATAGAGGTGTAGGAAAAAATCGATTCAGTGATATATCGTGATACTTCGTTGCACAATTCTCGAATTCGCTTCAAAATGGATCTGAATTGATTTTTTAAATAATATTTCTCATAAAAATTCATTAGTCATTGTCATTGTTCTCATGATTTTAAAAAGTGTATAAATTATATTCCATGCAATTGTGTTCTTGTGAAGGTGGAGTTGACTGTATTATTAGAAGTAATTATTGGTAAATCGCAATATATCATCCATTGTTTTAGTATCGGGATATATCGTGATATATTGAATCGTGATATGCGAATCATGATATGTATCGTATCGTCAGACTCAAGGCAATGCACACCCCTGATGTGTAATGTGATTAACTTAATGTAAATGAAATTAAATGAAATTATATTGACACTATGGAGTGGTGGCAGAGGTATCCACCACAGTTAATGAAAAATAATTCGTAAAATGCTTAGGTATGCCTTATTCTATTCTAATTCTGTAATTCTTCCAAAAAAGTTGCATAAAAAAGAACACTATAATCATTCATAATAACACGTCTGAAGTTTCGATTTCTACTTCACATACCACAGTTCCAAGTGTGTATTTTAGAACAGGTTTGATCATAGTTCACAGTCACAGTGCAAACCAAAGTCTGAGTTATTTTGATGGTGTAACCTCAGCAAACCCAGCGTGACCTCCTCTGAGAGCTGTGAAACCAGCCGAGGCCCGAGAACACACAAGGAGCTATTCTGTCTGATCACCCCAGGCTCAAAATCACACTTCTCATCATCTCCATGCAACCACTTTTCATAACAGTTTCTTATTTTAGACACAGATTTAGACTTAGACAAACTTTATTGATTCACATGGGAAATTATTTGGACACAGAAGCTCACACAACACAATATATTATAATAACAAAGTGAAAAAATATAAAAATTGTAAAAGTAAATTCTAAATAAATAGCAAAAATATCAAGAGTCTGGTCAAATAAGGCATAATTTTATAATGCATTTTATTTAAAGGCGCATTTCTAGACACTCAAACACAATTAAGACATATAATTAAAAACAATCAAACAGTGCAGGACAGATTCTAAAACATCAGGACATTAAATAAATGTGTTTTGTGTATGGATTTGAATGTTAAAAGTTAAAATCAAATAAAATATAGAAATGAAATAAAGTAACAATAAAAATACATTTCAGTTAAATACAAGAGGTCGTACGGAAAAACAGTGCAAAAATGATGGGATTAATATGAGTTAATATAGTTTAATTTCTCTTTTCTATTCTAGGTCTCAGGTTTCGTAAGTATCATAAAGACAAAGGCGGTTAGTGTTGTAATGATGGTGCGCAAAAGTTCAGTTCAAAGGTTAAACTCGAAGTGTCTCTGTGGTTCACCGTTCACAACAGTTGAGAAATGTGTGAACGAGCGATGAAGTTAACGCTTTTCTAAATTAGGTTTGTGTGGAATCCGCTCTATAGCATGCTCTGTTCAAGTTATTAAAGCTCCTATAGTACACAAAATTACCTCTTGTGAGCTTTAAGCCGTGTTATAATGTTGTTACCTTCCAGTAGAACAGAGTGTTTTCCATTTGAGAGAAGAACTCAGCCTAAATCTGCAGTTTGTGTGTTATACATGTGTGAATGAAACAAAACACAACTCCAGATGTGTTTGTGACGAGGAAATAACATTATAACAGATCTGAGAATAGAGTAATTTAATTTAACATTCTTGGTATGGGCCTGTCACGATAAATACGCTCATCAACTTATTGTTCAAAATATGACACATTGAACAATGATATTTTTGGAGGTCAGTATTAATCGTACAATCACTTTTTTTTTTGCACTATTCTAGTGAATGTCATTGCTCTGCTTCAAATGTTCCACAGTGTGACATTAAACAGCTCTAGTTCACATTTTTTCAATTACAGGTGGTTTTATAGCTCAAAAATACCTAGAAAAACAGGCGTTCTTACTGTGAGCGGCGTCGCCTCTCCACAGATCTGACCGATAACTTGGTCTGGTTTGGTCTCTATGATAATAAAAGTTACACAATGCACGTTTTAGCTGTAGAAGGCTGAAATAAGAACTTCTATGACTCATATTGTTACACACCACAACATTTTGTAAATTTAGAATATTTTTTGTGTGTAATTCTGCTTTATGGCTTAGTTTGAATATTATCTTTTATCATTTGTATTTACTTAAGCAAAATAATGCAGTTCAAGATGTTTTATGACAGGCCTACTTCAACAGGAATTGTTGATTCTAGTGTTAAAGGTGCATTGTGTAACTTTTCTGGTGAAGGGTCTGTCAAATGCTTTTCTTTGTGTGATTATTTTGACTGGAATGTTTCACAGTATGGCATTAAACATTTCTATCTTCATGGAGACCAAACCAGACCAAGTTACAGGTCAGATCTGTGGAGAGACGACCCCGCTCACAGTCAGAATGCCTGTTTTTCTAGGTATTTTTGAGCTGTAAAACCACCTGTTGTTTAATAAATGTAACATAGAGCGGTTTAATGTCATACTGTGGAACATTTCAGTCAATGAGATAGCTGTAGACGGACCCCCAACAAAAGTTATATAGTGCACTTTTTATTTGTGCTTTTTCTAACAAATGAACAGAAAAGAATGCCAAAAACTCCAAAAATAAAATGCATCATACATTGGAGTGAGCTTTGTAAATAGACCATTTTGACCGTTGCTTCTCAAATGTACCAACTTTGAATCAAAATAATAAGTTATTTTTTCCATCACATAAATTTCCTCCATTATATCTATTCATTGTTGCAATTTCAAAGGGTCATCCTTCAGCCAGTTCCTTGTTATTTCTTTCTTGCGAGCCAAGAGCATCATAAACAAATAGAAGTGCTCAGTTCTAATACTGTTTTCATGCAACAAGCCCAAGTACATAACCCCTGGATTTTATAGCCAAATACCTCTTCTGTTACGGTTGCAATATTTGCCCAAAAAGGTTTACCGTAGTTTGAATACACTTCCAAAACACATGAGAATAATTGGTACATTGTGCACTTTTAAATATTTCTTGAGGACACACTTTTAAAAAAAAATCTTTGCCAAATCTCAGCCTCATCAGCTTTTCAAATCACTCAGTTGAATCGCGATTTTTGATTCAACAGGCTGACAGGAGTGAGGAATGAGGCAGCAGGTCTCCAGACGTATTCTCCGGGCTGGTACGCACACATCTTGAGCGCGATTTCAACCCACACCTAGTTACATAACAGAAAAGCATTACACGTATTAGAAAAATGATGAAATAATAAAACAGAGTGTACTTTAAAGCAACCACGAAACAAGCTGGAAATTGTGCACATGCCATCTTTCAACAGACGCCATGGCAACGCAACACAAACACAAAAATAATAACGCAAAAACATAAATGTGTATTATGTCACTTTTCTGGTGGAGTGTCCGTCAAATGCTTTTCTTCATGTTATTACTTTGTCTGGAAGGTTTCACATTATGGCATTGAACCTTTCTATCTTCATGGAGACCAAACCAGACCAAGTTACAGTTCAGATCTGTGGGGAGGCAACCCCGCTCACAGTCAGAATGTCTGTTTTGTGTTTTTCTAGGTATTTTTGAGCTATAAAACCACTTATAGTTGAATAAATGTAAGGTAGAGCTGTTTAATGTCGTTCTGCGGAACATTCCAGGCTCTTTAAGCTAAACAAACGATCAACTGATAACTTATTTAAAGGTACATTACGTCACTTTTCTGTTTTTTTTTTTTGCTTAGTCTAGAATATTTGTCTTATCTCTTTGGATACAAGTGACGCCACCAGGCCAAAGTACAAATCTGTGGAGTATGTATCCAGTATTTCAAGGTATTTTATATAAAATGGATCGGTTTAATGCCGTAAAGTGAAACATTATCGGCAAAGATATCGCCATGGAGACAAGCAGATGGCATGTTTTACACCGAAAAAAATAAATATTGCACCTTCAAAAATGTGTTCTAGGGCTGGGTGTCATTAAGAAGTTGCTGATATGATACATACCTCGATGCAGGGCACTTTCGATTTGATACGATATATTTTAAATCGATTTGATATGGTTCAATTAAAAATAAAGGTTAAATCTGTCTGTGATACTAACTGTCTTTGTTAAACCACTTCTTGTGCAAAGTTCATATGAAACACAAACATTTTAATCATCAAAACAGTGGAAATGTCAAACGTGCCGCATAAATGAGTTTCCTTCCACTAAAGAAACAACAAAACTGTAGCTCTGTAACAAAATAATTTTGTAAAATATACCAAAATATACTCTTTGGCGATATATCGATACAGCAGCCCATGATACCGATACTGTATCATCACATTGAATGATACGATATATTGATATTTTGAGATTTTTGCATACCCCTTTTCATAACTATGGCAAGTTCTTTCGTCTAAAAATAGGTCATAATCAGTACTGCAATATTGTGTTTGTGTTTCATTTTATCTTTATTTTAACGTCTGTTTTTCGTCTAGTCTGGAAAGTGTCAGAGTATGGCATTAAATCTACTTTATCTCTATGGATACTAGCAAGAAGTGACACCACCAGGCCAAATTACAGGACAGATTTATGGAGAAAGTATCATGTATTTCAAGGTATTTTATATAAGAGGGGTCGGTTTAATGCCGTACTGTGAAACATTATGGGCAAAGTAGTGACATCGCCATGGAGACAAGCAGATTGCAAAAAAGTAAACATTGCAGCAAGTTCTTTTGTCTAAAAATAGGCCATAATCAGTACTGCAATATTGTTTTTGTGTTCCATTTTATCTTTAGTTTAACGTCTGTTTTTTGCGTGATGGATCGGTTTAATGCCGTACTGTGAAACATTATAGGCAAAGTATTAACATCTCCATGGAGACAAGGAGTATGGCATGATTTACACCAAAAATATGGCAAGTTCTTTCCTCTAAAAATAGGTCATATCAGTGCTGCAATAATGTTTTTGTGTTCCATTTTATCTTGTTTTCCTCAGGGGTATTTTCCGATCCGCTGGGCTGGTTTAGAACATTCAAATCTAGAAAGATAAAATCAAAAAATGGAAATTTGTCACTGCAAAAACTCTGAACAGAGGTTACTGTCGGGTAGAGCTGGAAGAGTAGTCTCAATCAAAACAAAAACTGTAATTTGAATGGATGCAAATAGTAAATCACAAAGGCTGCCTGCAATTTTTTTTAAGTTCCATAAATTCTTCCAGAAGCAACGAAATACTGTTTTTATTCTACATTTAAAAAAAGTTCAGAAAAATACATTGTGTATGTATGTATTTATTTTTAAAGGGACAATACAAAGGACAAACATGTACTTGGAAGTATGCAGGAAAAAGCTCATTTGCAGGAAAACGTTAATGCAGGAAAAAGCTAATTTCCATTCTTAGTCCCGTGCTGGACCACATGACCTGCAAAATTCATTAAACGTGACAAAAGGGACAATACCAGCTCTCCCAGCCGTGAGACATAGTCCCTCCAGCGTGTCCTGGGTCTTCCCCGGGGCCTCCTTCCGGTGGGACATGCCCGGAACACCTCCACAATAAAACCAGTGTAATCAAAATAAAAGCAAAAACCGTAAAAATCTTAAAATAGCAATAAATAAGTAAAATAAATAAAAGACACAGAGGACCACATAACCCACGCAGTGTTGAAAGACAGAGAATAAAAGTGGGTTTTAAGACGAGACTTAAAACACTCCACTGTGGGGCTGTTCGGACGTGAGGGGGCAGAGCGTTCCAGAGTTTGGGCTGGCCACAGAGAAGAATTGCCAATCTCTACTAAACAAGTTAAAAGGCCACTGGAACAGGTGGAACAGAGCATTTTGAGCTTTTGAGATGTAGAGAGACTAACAGTAAAGAGTTACTCAAACATGTGAATGAAACAAAACATTCAAAACATTATTTGTTCAATCTTTTTTCAATATAAAACCAAAAAAAAAAGAAAAAGAACTGTTTTCTTCATTATTTGTCTCCAAAACCAAAATGAAAAAATCTGATAATGATTTTTTATGTTTTTTTCCAGTTTACGATTTTATGTTGAATAATGGAAAAAAATGGATAAAGGTTGTTTCCTGTTTCAATGACTTAAACTGTGATGCTGGACTTTTGCGCCACATACGGACTAAACCAGGACTAAACCAGGACTAAACCAGGTCCGGGACTGAGACAGGGACCAGACCAGGACTGAGACTGGGACCAGACCAGACTGAGTGTAGGACCAGGACTGAGACCGGGACTGAGACCAGGACAAGACCAAAACTGACACCAGGACTGAGACGAGGACCAGACCGGGATTGAGACCAGGACTGAGACTGGAACTGAAAACAGTTCAGTCCTGGTTTAGTCCTGATTCAGTCCTGTTTTAGTTCATATGCGGCGCAAAAGTCTGGCATCAGTTTAAGTCACGGAAACGGGAAAACGGTCATTATCTGTTTTTTTCCATTTTTCATTTAAACACAAAATCAAAAACTGAAAAAATGAATCGTTATCCATTTTTCATTATGGTTTTGGAGACAAATAATGAAGTTTTTATTTATTTTTTTGTTTGTTTTCTTATTTTTGGTTTTATTTTGAAAAATTCATGAACAAATGATAAACGGATTCTCCAGGTCTCAAAACATTGGCTCAAAGCTCACAAGAGTCAATTTTACGTAATGCAATATAGGACATTTAAATATTCAAATGCATTTGTTTAACTCACATGTTTTTTTTGTTTGTTTCCCGTAGGACAAGAAGTCATTCCCTCAGCTGTACCAGACCTCCATGTTCAGAGACTACACCCCTACAGTGGGACTAAAGACTATACTGCACAGAGACCAGAGTCCTGTATCAGACTTCATTGCATGACATTCATAGTGTCACCAAAAAACACCGTACACTGGGCACCGTCCGTACCAGATGTGCATAGGTAGAATCAGGTGTTATGTGGGGCTGTTTCTCTTAATATGCAGTATGTGAATGTTCTGGTGTGAAAGGAATGTAAGGAATCGTTTTTTTTGTTTGTTTGTTTGTTTTATATTACATTTTGTTTAGTGGGTTATTTTCAATTTTATTTTGACGTCTTGTATGATCAGATGATGCCTGTGGATATGGCACACTTTAGTTTCTGGCGAGTAATGCCGACCAACCGAACTATGTATCAGAATGCGTTAGAAAATCCATTTTAATGCAGGTATTTGGTATTCTGTAATGGAAATACATGTTCAAAAATATTCTTCCCATCACTGTCCATGAAGCACAAACCACAGACATGCCGGAAAGGAAAAAGGAGTGGTCCTAAGATAGACCCTTGTGGAATGCCAAAAGGCCGACATTTTGAATATGTTGGAATTCCAGCCGCTGTTCTTCGCTGTTTTTGCTGTTCTTCGCTGTTCTTCGCTGTTTTGCTGTTCTTCTGATCTTTCATGTAAAGTTACTTGCCCGATCACCTGACAAGAATGCAGTTTCATTAGACAAAAACAAATCTACAGAATTTTGAAATGAATACCAACAACACATAGCCGAAGAGATTTAAATTAATTTAGTCTTTTTGTGTTTTTTTTTTTTTGGTAGGATTTAAATCCTAGATATTTTCGAGCTTCTGTCCATGCCGTCATATTTCCTCATCAAAAACACACCTGACCTACTTAACTGGATGATCAGGAAGTGCTCCGTTGTGTTGAAAAAGTTGATTAATTTCCCAGACTTGTTGTGATCATTCCAGCGCTGACATTTCCCTCAGAGCGGCGCATTTACATAGGCTGATTTAACTAGAGTGACACTCCTAACTGCGATTTTTTCTATGCACTGTAAAAAGACTTTAGGTATTACAAAACGTGAATGTGTAAAAATAATTTGGACATTTGGATGTAAAAGTTCAAAATCAGATCAGAATTGTTTAGGATTTTAGCTTTGAGATAGCGTCAGATGATGTGTTGAACAGATGTTTTCACTATAATAATTTAAGATGCACTATGTAACTTTTCTGGTTCGTCTCCATGATGTAACTTTGCGTAGAATGTTCCACAGTATGGCATTAAATTTAACTGCCATTTATTCAAATACAAGTGTTTTTATAGCTCAAAAATACCTTGAAAAACATGTATTCTTCACAGATTTGACCTGTAAATTGGTCAAATTGTGTCACCTACTTGTTTCTGTAATAAATTAGTTTAACTGTGGAGCATTCAAGACAAAGCTTTAACATCTCCATGGAGACCAGCAAAGTTACATGGTGTACCTTTTCTGTTTTAGGTTATAGTGTTGTTTCTTTATCACAGTCTGGAGTTTTGTTTTGTTTAATTCACACATGTTTAACACAAACAGAGAGTTCTTTTCTCAAACGGGAAACTCTCCGTTCCAACTTGTGATGTCATGTGGTAATACAGGAAGTGCTCCATTGTGTTTTTAAACGCCACACACCCATGATCAGTAGAATCATTTGGACGATTTCAGCCCTGAATTTGATTATCTCTCTTGAACAAAAGTTCAAAGTTAGATGTGAAGTTGGAATGGAGCATTTTGAGCTTTGAAGATGTAGACAGACAAAAAATAAAACATCATTTCTCAAACATGTGTGAATAAAAGAAAAAAATTTAATGAGGCAACAACTTTATAACATGATTTAAACCTCGCAAGAGTTAATTTTGCATAATATAGAACCTTTAAGAGTTGAACTTAGGAGTTATAGAGTTGGAAAAAACACTAACGAGGGACAACGTGCAACCAAGTACACGTGCAATGTAGAGATAGACCGATATTGGGCCGATATTTTACCTTTTTAGTGTATCGGATATCGGCTGTAAATCTCCAGCAGAGATCGATGTTTTGTTTGCCCTAGATAAGCTTTGTTTGAACACTTTAGTCCAAAAAGGGTACTGCGAAAACGTGACTACACTGGACTCTGCACAGTTTGTAGTAAAAGCAGGTTCTGGACGAGTTTGTACAACATTTTTGAGCTAAATACCGGCCCAAAAAGTATCAGTAGAGCTTATCGGTCATGAAAAACCGCAAACAAGTCGAGTGCAATGTTTTAATCACTAAAGTGCTGTACAGCCAAAAAGCCACTGCTAATGTTTTATATTTTTAGATTAGCTTTTGTTATTCTTTTGCCTTGACTGTACAAAGCCAACCGGGTACATTTTGCTAAAGGGGCTGTTTTAAGATTTGTTCAGGTCTGCGCACGTTGAATGTTCATTTATCTCCGTGACGACTCCAAGACTTTGCAATGTTTACAGCCTTACAGTTCACGATATACGGGCTTCAAAGCTGATTAAAGGGCGCATAGTACTTTTCTTTTCTGTTTTTCTGGTCTATTATAATGTCGTTTCGTCATCACAAACAGACCTGGAGTTGCGTTTCGTTTGTTTGCATTTACTGTTTACTCTTCTCAAACAGGAAAACACTCTGTTCCGCCTTCTGATGTCGTGCTGCGCTGTGTTTTTAAACTCCAAACACCTTCACTAGAATCATTTGGATAATTTCAGTCCTGGAATTGCCAATTTCTACTGAACTAAAATGAGTAAAAGGAGCTGTTTAACTTGAAAACTACCGCCTCACGATGACATCACAAGGTGGAACAGACCATTTTGAGCTTTGGAGAGCATTCCAACACGTTAATTTGTAAGAATAATTTGGATTTTTTTTTTTTACAGAAAAATCTAAACTCATAACATTGTTTAGGATTTTAGCTTGGAGATAATGTTGAATTGATGTTTTATAATAATAATTTAAAGGTGCACTGTGTAACTTTTCTGGTTGGTCTCCACGATATAGCTTTGCGTAGAATATTCCACAGTATGGCATTAAACTTATCTTGCATTTATTCAAGTACAAGTGGTTTTATAGCTCAAAAAAACATGCATTCTTCACAGATCTGACTTGTAAATTGGTCAAATAGTGTCTCCTACTTGTTTTCATAATAAATTTGCTTAATGCCGCACTGTGGAGCATTCAAGACAAAGCAGTAACATCTCCATGGAGACCAGCAGGGGGCAGACTCACACCAGGAAAGTTACTCGTGTGAATGAAACAAAACACAACTCCATGTTTGTTTTTGAGGCGGTAACAACATTATAACCCGTCTTAAAGTTCACAAGAGTCCATTTTGCGTAATACAGGACCTTTAATTCCAGATTGTAAATTTTTTGTGATTCTTGTGCCATATTTTTTGTGAATGTGCAGATGCCAGTGACATAAGACACAGATAAACAAAGGCACAATGTTGAACTGACTAAAATGTTTTTGTAAAGCTCACAAGGTTTGCACATTTAATTTTGTTTTATCGCCTGAAACTTCTCAACAATATACAATTTGTAAGTTTGTAATGTGAATGTGGAAGTCTATGGCGGCCATGTTCAAAGCAAATTACAACAAACCCATAATTAAATATTCGTAACGCTGCTTTTTAAAGGTGCACTATGTTGTTTTGTCTTAAATGTTCCACAGTATGGCATTTAACTGGACAATCGTTTATTCAATTACTGTTTTTTGTTGCTTAAAATACCTAAAAGACATGCTTTGTTTTTTTTTATTCTCTGTGAGAGTTTCACCTCTCCGCAGATCTGACCTGTACTTTTGCCTGGTGGAGACCTACTCTGACACTACTTTGTCTGAAATGTTCCACAGTATGGCATTTGGCATAACTAATTAGCTTTTTATTAATTAAATTCTTTATTACTTTGAAAAACATGCTTTGTTAACTGTGAGTGGGTTCACCTCTCCACAGATCTGACCTGTAACTTTGCCTCTTGGAGACCTACAAGTGGTGTACACAGACACTGCTTTGTCTGAAATGTTCCACAGTATGGCATTTAACATAACTAATTAATGTTTATTGATTACAACTTTTACTACTTTGAAAAACATGCTTTGTTAACTGTGAACGGGTTCACCTCTCCACAGATCTGACCTGTAATTTTGCCTGGTGGAGACCTACTCTGACACTACTGTTCCACAGTGTGACATTTGGCATAACTATTTAGCCTTTTATTAATTATATTTTTTATTAATTTGAAAAACATTACTTTGAAAAACATGCTTTTTTAACTGTGAGCAGCATCACCTCTCCACAGATCTGACCTGTAACTTTGCCTGGTGGAGACGTATAAGTGGTATACAGTGGTATACAGACACTAATTTGTCTGAAATGTTCCACAGTATGGCATTTGGCATAACTAATTAGCTTTTTATTAATTAAATTCTTTATTACTTTGAAAAACATGCTTTCTTAACTGTGAGTGGGTTCACCACTCCACAGATCTGACCTGTGACTTTGCCTGGTGGAGACGTACAAGTGGTGTATACAGACGCTATTTTGTCTGAAATGTTCCACAGTATGCCATTTAACATAATTATCTTGCATTTATTCATTTACAGTTTTTTTTATAGGTGAAGAAAAAACTGAAATGCCATGAAAAACAAAAACATACTTTCTTACTGTGAGCAGGTTCTCCTCTCCGCAGATCTGACCTGTAATTTTGCCTGGTGGAGATGTACAAGTGGTGTACACAGACACTACTTCTTTGTCTGAAATGTTCCACAGTATGGCATTTAATATAATTATCTTGGATTTATTCAATTACAGTTTTTTTTTTTTATCCTAAAGAAAAATGCCTTTAAAAACATACTTTCTTACTGTGAGCAGCTTCACTGAGCGGGTTCTCCTCTCCACAGATCTGACCTGTAATTTTGCCTTGTGGAAACATATAAGTGGTGTATGCTGACACTGCTTTGTCTGTAATGTTCCACAGTATGGCATTTAACTTGTCTGTCTTACATTTATTGAATTACAGTTTTTATAGCTAAAGAAAAGTGTAATGAAAAACAAAAACATGCTTTCTTACTGTGAGCGGGTTCTCCTCTCCGCAGATCTGACCTGTAACTTTGCCTGGTGGTGTCCTACGAGTGGCACATACATTCCCCCAGAAAAGTTACACAGTGCACCTTTAAAATGTACAACACTGGGTACTTTGAAATACTTTAAAATGCCTAAAAACCCATTCTTCTTTCATTTGATAACACAACATTTCACACCAGCAGTTTAACAAAACGCTCTTGTAACTTGTGCAGTGACGTCCGCTTTGCGCTTTGTGTGAACTTGTCTACGGGGCCATTGAATACCTTGGTTGCTAAGCGATTTTTCAATAACATCTTTGCTACTTGAAATTTAATCTGCTGGTTCTGCTTAAGTTTCCTTCAGAAGATAAATTAGTGTGATGTTTGAGCAGTGTTTGCCATAGACTCCCATAGAGAATGCTGTTTGTGTCTTTATTATTATTATTATTATTGTTGTTTATAGTTCTGCTGCCTTTTCCACAGTCCTGGTACGACGCTGTGGTTTTACTGTACGTTTAATTTATGGTCACTCAACACCTCCTGATTCAATAAATAACCTTTTATCAGATTGTATGCAATGTCTGTTTAATTTTATTGTGATGTTAGAGACAGTAAAAACAGTAAAAGACATTAGACAGTGCAAACATCAAGGTTCCTTCTGTTCTTACATGGGAGGGCGAGTGTGTGTGTGTGTATGAGTAAGTAATAAAACGGAAGAGATGTAAGAGGGTAAGGGCAGGAAGGAAAATAAAAACAAACAAAAAAAGCATTGTCTTGTACTCCTACTTCAGCAGAACAGATGTTAGTAATACCAAAGGATACTGCACATCGAACCAGTGGACTTGAACTCTTGTAGAGAAATTTTCTCTACAAATATTCTCTACAAACATTACTCAAAAAATATATATGCTCATGCTCAGAGAATGTCTCAGACAGTGGGGTGTACCACCGAAACATAACTGAAGTAGCTTATATCAAGAAATCCTCCCAGTGGCTTGAGAGGGTTGGACTGAAGGACACACAGAGATACTCATCCAGATCTACTACCACGGTGTAGGTTGTGCAAAGAGGCTCCTGAGACAGTCCAGCACAGAACTGCAGGTGTAAGATGCTGCAGGGAAAGCAAACATGGAGCGACATAACCAAGTGGCATAAGGGCATAGTGTACAGAAACATCTGTGCAGAGTACAGGCTGGAGACTCCAAGGTCAAGATGTGGAGAACGAACGAGCCAAGATCCTGTGGGACTTCCTGATACAGACGGACAGGATGGTGATGGACCAACCAGACAGTGGTGGTGCAGAAGAAACAGAGCAGAGCCGTGGTGGTGGACATCGCAATACCAAGTGATGGTAATATCGGGAAAAAGGAACAAGAGAAACTAGAGAAATACCAGGGGCTCAAGGAGGAGCTGGAGAAAGTCTGGAAAGTGAAGGCATCAGTGGTGCCTGTGGTGATCGGACACTCGGGGCTGTAACCCCCAAACTGGAAGAGACTACAGCAGATAACAGGAAAATTGGATCATTTTGAGGGTAGATTAATCACCAAATAAACATAACAAGACATGAAAGATACAAATAAATACAAATCAGTCAAATATATTTAATATACATTATATAATCTTCTTTATACAATCTAGAGGTCAGACTCGATGTCAAACACGTGTTATCTTGTGTAGTTGTGTTTAATTACACGTGGAGCTGAGATAATAATGGAATTTACAACATCAAGAATGAACATGTTTATTTGAAGAAGTAGTAGCCCTGATTATCCACTAGAGGGAGGTACAATCTCATAAAGCCTTTAAAAATATGGTTAAGTTATGACAAGAATTAATATAAATGTATTAAATTTCAAATGTGTTTATGTGAAAATACATTGGTTTAATTTTCAATGATGTTATTCCCATAGTGTGACCAGACGTCCCTGTTTACCCGGGACAGTCCCAGTTTTGAGCCTGTGTCCCCAGTCCCAGCAGAAAACCAGTGATTTGTCCCAGTTTTATACAAGAAATGTCCCAGATGTCCCTATTTTTTTAAATTTATTTAATTTATTTTAATTTTTTTTGATGATCTAAGACAGGTCTAAACCAGGACTAAACTAAGATTAAACCAGGACTACATCAGGTCTAAACCAGGTCTAAGCCAGGACTAAACTAACACTAAACCAGGACTACATCAGGTCTAAGCCAGGACTAAAACAGGACTAAACTAAGACCAGGACTACATCAGACCTAAACCAGAACTAAACTAATACTAAACCAGGACTACATCAGGTCTAAATCAGGAGTAAAACAGAACTATCACAATTTTCTGACTAATCTAAGCATAAATTGTCATTTGTTTTGCCAAAATACAGAAAACCTTGTTTGCAAATGACCATAAAGCAAAAAAAATAAAGTCCTGATCATGACTGACACGAGAATGCACAATGTTTCACGCTCTTTTTTTTCCCCACAATTTTATTTATACCAACCATCCCAACCCAGGTGTGTCCCAGTTTTGAGTTTTGAAAATGTGGTCACCCTATATTTTCTGTCCGTGTTGTGAACTTGGATTCATGTGATTTTGAAAGAACACTTCGGACTCGGCTTCGTCCCTGTCGCAGTCGAAAACTTTAATTCACATTAAATTGCTCTCATAAGCTCAACAGTATATACAGAAAGGTGCGTTTACAGCACAACAACAATGTACATATATAACAGATCATACAGAGTACAGTGGCCCGCATGGAAACACACGTCACAGCCCAAAATCAGCAAATCACGAAATCAAAATCAGTGAATTCAGTGGAAGATTTGGCCAAAGCTGAAGCATGAGTACAAATCATGCATCTTCTGCTCATCAGGGGTGCATTGTGTAACTTTTCGATTGGGGGGGGGTCCGTTTCTATGCTTGTTTCTCAGGCGACGTCACTTGTCACTTATTAAAATGTTCCGCAGTATGACTTTAAGCAGCTCTACTTTATGTTTATCCAATTACAGCTGGTTTTAAAGCTCAAAAATACCTAGAAAAACAACATTCTGACTCTGAGCGGCGTCGCCTCTCCACAGATCTGCCCTGTAACTTCGCCTGGTTTGGTTTCCATGATGATAGAAAAGTTTAAAGCCATACTGCGGAACATTCTAGACAAAAAAATAACATCTCCATGAAAAAAAAAAAGCATTTCACGGACAATTACACAACGCACCTTTAACCCTGTTTGTTGGTTTGGAATTTCAAAACAACATTTCATTTTTTTTTTTTTTTTTTGTGTGTGTTTTTCTTTTTAATTTTTTTTTTTGCCACAAATCATCTCCCAATCAGAGAATAAAATCACACCACACCAATGATCACACTTCAGGGATTGTCGTTAAAAAAGAAAAACAAAAAAACGTGAAAGAAATCAGGCAAAGTCTTAAGTTTGTGCTGTACAAATGTGAACGATGCCTTACAACGTTTGTGTTTCAAATATTACAAGATCAAATCAGATGTTACGAATATAGACTTATAAGACTTATGGAGGTGCGTTCAAGTGACATTAAATGATGGTTATTTTTTTAAATTTTACACACACTTATTCCCATTTTAACATCATAACTTTGAATTGTCTGAGCCTGCAAGTCAAAGTGCATATGACAGGTTTTCATGATTTTTTTTGCTTAAATTTGTGGAATAATATCTGTTGTAAATATAAATGTTTTAGTTTCACACCAATCAAAAAGCAATTTGTAAAGAAAAGTGGAAAAATATGATGAAAATTACAAAAAGTAGAGTTTTATTTTAGAGAATTCCACACTGATGACACACGATAATTTACACATTATTTCAACAAAATCAAGGTGTTTTATTATAATTTTATTTGTCAAATTGTAATTTTCTGTGTGCTTTAGAGGGAGTTTTTTTTTTTTTGTACAAGATAATTGCTAAAGAAGAATTCTAGAATTTCATCGAGTGATGTTATGATTTCCAACGGGAAGTAAAATTTGAAACCTAAAAAATTGGCCAAATTAAGAAACAAATTGTGACTTTTTTAGTTAAATCTTAAATATAATGATTTGAAGTGTGTGTTTTGGTAAAATCAGGATTCAAACCTCTCATAGGCACTTCAAAATTGCTTTATAAAGACGTTTACAGAAGTATAAAGAAGTGGACTGAGTGGGAGTAGTGTTCAGCTCCAGTCAAATGAAGCTCAACGACAATGGCGGCTAGAGGAGCGAATTTGGAGCTCCGTATTAGGAATCTGAATTTATTTACGGACAAAATAACGAAACAAAAAACCTAGGATCACATAGAACGGGTTAATACAAACATTTTAAGACCAAAATAACACCAGTTTTAGAGAGAGGGGCGACGTTTTTTCAACGTTAAGTCAACTGGAGCCAGTGTCGATGGAGCCGAAGTCGCGCCCATGCTCACTTCCTATTATTTAAAACACATTTGTACAACGAAAACTGTTCTTTTAGGGAGTAGAGAAAGCTTTTAAATTGTGAAAACTCATCTTCCAATCCCACTAAACCCTCACTCTAACCCACTGCACGTCAAGTATCAGCTGGTTCAGAAAAAAAAGCAAATAAATTATGAAAAAAAAAAAATCCCAAAAAATAAAAGTTTGTACATGACACACGGTCAGGCAGCGCTTATGGTGAAAAATGTATGGCGTTATAGTACATGTACTGCAAGTATTGGAGTATTTCTTGATTTGAAGCTGATTATAGTGTAGTAAGCGTTTTATTAAATTCATATCATGCTATTTTGTACTCATTGGTTGTTTTTTTTAGACTTTTTTATAGTATTTTAAGCTTTACCAAAATATTAATACAGCTTTCCTGCAACGATTTTAATGTTTTTTTGCGTATTTACTGTTACAGAAGGATTCAAACGTGTCCAGTTTTCTTCTAATATAATATTTGACCTCAGTTTTATATGGTTAAGTAAAAGGTCAAATGCATTCAATAGTATGTTTTAGATTTAAAGACGCACTGTGTAGTGTTTCTGTTGGAGGGTTTGCGAACGGCGACAAGATTAATCGAAATTTGAATGAACGCAATGAGCAAAAACTGCTTTAATTTCATTTAATTTACAGTAATTTCCTCAAAAATCAACAAAATATTCAGGTTTATTCTGCATAAAAACTGTTAAACCTGCAGTTTAGAGCTTTACAAACATGTTTTGAAGTAATTCTTGTTTTATTTTGTCTGTGTTTTTGTCAATAATTAGAACAAAATCCATTTAATAAGAATTGCAGAGCGAATTTTGTAATTTTAAATTGTGTCACTTTTCTCATGGAGGGTGTGTCAAAAGCTTTTCTTAACTATGGAAATGTGATTACTTTGTCTGGAATGTTCCACAGTATGCCATTAAACCTTTCTGTCTTCGTGGAGACCAAACCAGACCAGGTTACAGGTCAGATCTGTGGAGAGGCGACCCCGCTCACACTCAGAATACGTGGTTTTCAAAGGTATTTTTAAGCTATAAAACCACCTGTAATTGAATAAATGTAAGGTAGATCTGTTTAAAGTCATACTGTGGAACATTCCAGGCGGTGCAATGACGTATCCATAGAAACAAGAAGCTGACGGACCCATAACCAAAAAGTTACACGGCGCACTTTACAAAAAATCTAAGAAAAATCTGATAGTTTTTCCCAAAATCGTTCAGTTTTACGGTCTGCCAAGTTATCTGTCTCCATGGAGATGTTACCGTTTGGCCTGGAATGTTCCACTGTATGGCATTAAACGTATTTATCTTCATGGCAGAAAAGCTCGGTGCACCACCACGCTTAGTTATACATCAGAAAACGATAAGAATGCAAGTTTTCAGAGGTATTTTTGAGAAATAAAAGCACTTACTTACATAGAGATTGGACAAATTAAATGCTCTATTGTGGAACATTCTAGACAAAGCAAAGGAAAATAAAAAAAACATTGCCTTGGAGACAAACAGGTGGCACACTGAATTCACAGACCCCCACAGCAGAAAAGTTACACAGTTCATTAACTTTAAGTACATTTAAGTTTTGTTTTTGTCGTTATTTCCAATATGTCGAGGAGAAAATGTGAAGTTTTAATTAATAATAACACAACAGAGCTGCGCGATATAATACAAACAGTTTGATCTGCATACGGTTTTAACATAATAACTGTCCAATCTGAGACGTTAAAGAAGACATATTATGCTTTTATTTAGTGTTAAACTATGAAAATATATGGAGTTTGTTTTTTTACATTACGTTTAGTGTAACTGCAATACTGATCGACAACAGCTTCACAACAGAAATGAGTCCAAAGATTTTCCGTTCAAACTGCAGAACTTCATAGAGAGATGTCACCGTAGCAACCAGCAGATGTTAAATTAAATGTTTTTCTGGTTAAAAAATGGCTGTGTGACATTTTTGAACCCTAAATGTATGACCCAGAGTCAGATTTTTTTTAAATAATCAGAAATAAATCCGAGAGGCGAAGCTGGGAAGTGGGTAAAAACTAAAATTTTCACTTTGTAACTTGTTGTTCGGGGTCCGTCACCTGCTTTTTTCTACGGATATGTCTTTGCTCTGCCTGGAATGTTCCGCAGTATGACTTTAAACAGCTTTACTTTATGTTTATTCAATTACACTTGGTTTTAAAGCTCAAAAATACCTCGAAAAACAACATTCTTCTGACTGTGAGCGGGGTCGCCTCTCCACAGATCTGACCTGTAACTTGGTCTTGGTTTGGTCTCCATGATGACAGAAACGTTTAATGCCATACTGTGAAACATTCCAGACAAAAAGAATAACATCTCCAAAAAAAGAAAAAAGCATTTAATGGACCCTCCACCAGAAAAGTTACACAATAGATCTGTAATAATAGTACAGATCAGGGGGTGGAGATAGGGGGTAGGTGAAAACGGCGATTTTCTGTGCACTTAAACCTCAAATTCATGATGACTCAAACATGCATGAATCAACCGAAAAAGCAAAAAACATTAATTAAAACTAATAACAAGCGAAAACGGTTAAAACTAGGGCTGTAGACGACTAAAAAGACATGGCAAAAGCAAAACTTTTTTTATCTCCGTGTATCTGCCCAAACTGCACTCACAAGACTAAACCAGCAGGGGGCGCTCTTTCAAAACAACTATTTACACAGAAAAAAAGAACTAGGAAGCAGTGTATTTATATAAAAAACAGATTAAACTTGCAAATCATGAGTTTAATTAGCTTTTTTTTTTACACATAAATACTAAAAAACACTCCAATCATTCACTCCTCTTTTCTGTTGTTGCATCGTATAAACCCTTATAATCCATTTTTTTAAAGACTCCATCAACCGATTAATTGATAAAACAACTAACGTCCTACAGCCCTAGTTATAACACGGTAAAAACTTTAGATTTTTACATAATATGTCCCCTTTAACTGTAATACATTACGTAAGAGTTACATTACATTTTGGCTTTGGTCTGTTGTAGTTTTTCCTTTGTTCGTTAAAACAATTAAAAGTGCACTGTGTGGGTTCACTCCGTGTCGTTTTTCCCTGGAATGTCCCACAGTATGGCATTTAATTTAACTTAATTTCCATAGAGACAAGTTAAAAGTTAGAGTTACTTTTTACGGTAAGTTCGAATAATGAAAACCTGTAATTGAACAAATACAAGCTATATATTTGTTTAATGTCATACTGTGGGAGGTGCCAGGCAAAGCAATAACGTCACCACGGAGAAAAGTTACACAGTGCAGCTTTAAATACTGCACGTTTCCTCGTCTGTGCGGCCCTCTTCGGTCTGACGGTGAATCTGAGGAGACAGCTCGACCAAATGGAGCACGTGTGGGCGGCTAAAAGCTCAACAGTGTCCTAATGGAATATCCTGGATGGAGCACAGACTGTATCGAGAAGTGGACTGAGGGAGCGTTCAGTCAAATGAAGCTCATCGACGCTGGCGGCTACAGGAGCGAATTTGGAGCTCAATTTATTAAGGGTGCACTGTGTAGCATGTTTTTGGACTATAAGGCGCACTTAAAATCTTAAAATTTTAATATCCGTTGCGCCTTATGTGTTAATTCTGGTTGTGTTTACTAACCTCGATCCGATTTTATGTGGTACACGGCGCTCAAAAATCTCTCAAAACTTTTTAGTGTGACTTTGGTAAACTAAAGCTGCACTTCTTGATGGATTGTCGGAGCATCACGGAGCCTCGCGGAGTAATACACATTCACCAAGACGAGTTAAGCCACGATCTGCCGATGAATCATGGATGCCCGGGCTAAGGGTCAGTCTCAAGTGTCGTCCGAGCTTTCACGAAAACCCGAATCATCACTGAACAGCGAAGTAACAGAGACGTGACTAACTCGGATAATGACGAGAATGATGGGATCGAGGCTTGATGCCGAAATCGCTCCAACTGTTAAACTCAGACACTGAAAATGAAGAATTTGATCGATTTGTGGAAGACTGGAAAAGTGAGTGTATTGTTTTTTATTTTATGTCTTACAACAGAACAATGTTGAGAGTTATTGTGAATGAGTTGAATAAATTTTGACTTATCTGACTGTTTTGTTTCGCTCAATGCACTTTATGTATGAAAACAGACGAGAGAATTCTACATTATTGATATTGCGTCTCATAGTCCGAAAAATACGGTAACTTTTCGGTTGAGGTGTGTAAAATCCCTCAGTCGTCCAGGTAGAATCCACGACAAAGGAGACATTCAATTTGTCAACTGGACAAACGTTTATTTAGGTCAAAAACGTTTCGCAGCTCATCCAATTCTGACCAGAACTGAAGAAGCGAAACGTTTTCGACCTAATAAACGTTTGCCCAGCTGACAAATTGAATTTCTCCTTCACTTTTTTGGTTGAGGGTTCATCACCTTCTTGCTTTTATGGATATGTTGTTGCTCTGCCTGAAATGCAGTATGACTTTAAACAGCTCTACCTTACCTTATTTACTTTTTTTTTATAAGCGCAAAATACCAAAAAAAAAAAACAGGCATTCTGACTGTGAGTGGGCTCGCCTCTCCACAGATCTGACCTGTAACTTGGTCTGGTTCAGTTTCCGTGAAGACAGAAACGTTTAATGTCATACGGTGTGTATTTTTTATTTACTGGAATGACAAATAAATTCCGATTTCAATAAATATTCCAGGCAAAGCGATAACATCTCCATGGAGAAAAGCGTTTGAGGGGCGCTCCATAAGAAAAGTTACACAGTGCAGCTTTAACGGGCAAAATAAAAACCCCAGGATCATGTAGAGCGGGTTAATACATTTTAAGACCAAAATGACGAGGCTCATAGCAGCAGTTACAAAGAGAGGGGCGACGATTTTTCAGTGTTAAGTCAATTGGAGCCAGACTCGATGGAGCCAGAAGCGGCGCCGTGTTCACTTCCTGCTATTTCCATTTCTAAATACAGTCTATGGTTGTGGACGTGGTCTGTGAGATGGAAACTACTTATAAACTAAAGTCAAGTGCGTAGCTGTGTGCTCTCGTGTGTGTGCGTTCAGTGCGTGTGTGTTCCTCCGGAGTTAGGGGGCGCCGCGTTGCCCCCCGTGCCCTCCGTGTGCCCGTGGCCCCTCCTGCCGTGTCCCATGATGCAGTGCGCGCTCCCACAGCCCTCGTCGTCGTCGTCGCCCTCGCTCTCGGAGGAAGACTCGCCGAACTGCCTGGGCTTCTCGTAGATACAACAGCCTGTGGACACAACGCAGAGGAGTTTTAGGTTCAGTGTTGATAAAATACTGGACACGTTTACATGATGTTATTTAATTGCAAATTGTTCTGAAATGTGATTACTTTGTCTGGAATGTTCCACAGTATGGCATTAAACCTTTCTGTCTTCGTGGAGACCAAACCAGACCAGGTTACAGGTCAGATCTGTGGAGAGGCGACCCCGCTCACACTCAGAATACGTGGTTTTCAAGGTATTTTTAAGCTATAAAACCACCTGTAATTGAATAAATGTAAGGTAGATCTGTTTAAAGTCATACTGTGGAACATTCCAGGCGGTGCAATGACGTATCCATAGAAACAAGAAGCTGACGGACCCATAACCAAAAAGTTACACGGCGCACTCGAGTTTTAGGTTCAGTGTTGATAAAATACTGGACACGTTTACATGATGTTATTTAATTGCAAATTGTTCTGAATTAAATAGTTCGGAATTAAAATATTTTCCTTCGATTTAACGTGGAAAATAATAATTCTGAATTGAGGTTTACAAGGAAAACATGTTAAATCGTCTTTATTTAATTCCGCTCAATGTCTGGGGGTGGGGAAGGTTTCCAGTGTATCCCCAGGTTTGACTACTTCAAATTTAAGACCACTTAAATGACAATTAAGGCCAACATTGCACCCATTATGCAGGCGAAAAACACCAGATCCAATTCTAATAATGACCAACCAACTACCGGTACTACACTTCCCCATGATCCATCCAACGTCTTCCTCCACTCTGCTGACTGTTTACTCACTGCCGCCGGAACCAGAAACCAAAGTATTGTTTGCGCATACTCCGACTTAGACGTTCATTCAAGTTGTTTTTTTATTTATTTATTTAGGAACATGAAATTTAAGACCTTTTTAAGACTTTTAAGACCCCGCTACCCTGGGTTCTGATTGGACAGAGACACCAGAAGAAAACACACACTTCAGCTGCTGCGTTCCGGTGATAATGAAGCAGCAGCTGGAAAATTAAGGGTTCACACTTTTTTCCACTGACAAAATTTCAAAACTTTTCCATGACTTTTTCAGGACCTAAAGTGAATTTTCCATGACTTTACGGCACCTACATGTGTAGAATTGATCATACTAAATATGAAATGTTAACTCTTTCCACTCACCTTATGGTTTGGGATTATAGTTTTTAACATTCAAAATCCTGTCAGTGCATTTATTGTCGTCTCTTTTAAACAAAAGGCGCAGACGTTCGGAAATAAATCATAATAGCGTCATGAGAATTTAACAGAACGCTGGAGTTGCGTAAAAGAGATACTAAAATGCCATGACTTTTCTGGGCCTGGGAAATGACATTTTCAATTTCCATGACTTTGCCAGGACTTTCATGACCGTGGGAACCCTGAGAATTCTATCATCTCGCTTTACGCGGTGGAGCCGGATTGTTCAGATTGTCAATACTGATTCCGATACAACAATAACTAAAAACACTCTATTCTTCTCTTTATTTAGACAACTGATACTTTGCAGTGACATCGCGCTGGGGGTGCTCTACATGTATGTCTGTATATACTATGGATGAGACAAAATCTCATGCCACAAGATCTTGTGAGACAAAACTGCGACGAGATTGCACACACAGGCTGACAATTACCTCGTGAGAAATTTCCCCCATGTTTTTACGTTTAAATTAGATACCAAAATGAAATACTGGTGAGTTACATTTTTTGAGAAGCTCTACATCCCAAAAAGCGCTGCTACATCGACAGCAAAAATATTAAATATAGTAAATATAAAATGGTGAGGCCAACATCGGGAACTAGATTTATGCAATTAATTTATTATATAGAATGTCAAAATCTCATCTTGTCTCTTTCTTTTAGCTCTAATCTCGTGTCTCGTCTCGTTTTTGTGGTTAAAACATCTGCGATTAACGATAAATAAAAGTTAAAAGTTGCTGACAGCTTTAAATGTTTTGTCAATGTTGTGTGGTGAGATCTTGTCCTGTCCTGACCCTGGCCTCTGTCCAAACCAAACCCTGAGTCGACAAAATCATTTCCCACGACCCCAAAGGAAATCAAGACGAACCCGAGGAGGAGAATACAAATATAAAAACTGGGAGAGGGCCATTCTGGAGCTGATTTCCATATTAGGAATTTATTAAAAGTTCACTAAATGTATGTAACATTTTGGTTGGGGGGGTCCATCACCTGCTTGTTTGTCACTGCTCTGCTTAAAATGTTCCACAGTGTGACATTAAACAGCTCTGCTTTATATTTTTTCAATTCCAGGTGGTTTTATAGCTAAAAAAATACCTAGAAAAACAGACATTCTGACTGTGAGCAGGGTCGCCTCTCCACAGATCTGACCTGTAACATGGTCTGGTTTAGTCTCGTTGAAGCCTAAACCCAGTCAGTTGCGTAATTTTTGTAATATTTTCATAACTGAGATAATTATTCCAATTTAGTTTGATTTAAAATGCAAAATGCATTACTTAATATTTACTTAAATGTGTTTTTTTTGGTAATTCTTTATGGTTAACATGATTATTTGGTGATTGTTTGCTCAAAAATAATTTCTTTCAGTTAATTATTGTTAATGTTAATCATAAGTATGTTAATCTAAGTAATGTTTATTTTTTGTATTAATTTGCATGTCAATGGCTTCTTATTTAAGAAGAGCGCAGGTGCATCATGAATGTTAACAGGAATTTTTTACCTTAAAATTCCCCTTTTGTACATTTTGTTTGTCCACAACTATACGTGAATACTAGAGCTGGGTTTTATTAAGAAGTTGCTGATATAATACACTAGGGTTGGGCGGTATCCAAATTTTGATACCGTTAAACTGTCTCAGGATTTTACCGGGGTGTACAGTATGACCGTATTACCAAAATGTTTTAGCACGACTTTGGTAAACTACAAAGCCACACCGCTGTACGGTCTAAACACGAACCGTCTCCAACGCCACACACGCACAGAACAGACTCACCGTCAGCCGCAACATCCTCTGTCGCAGAAAAAACATATATTCCACTGAGTCGTGTCCTTTAGTCCGACAGAAGCTGAACCGCATCAGCATCACAAGAAGCGAGATGTTTTTATCAGAGTTTACAGTTTATGCAAATAAGCCACACGCTTTTAAGTTTAATTTCTGTAAAACATAAAGTAATGTGCACCTGAAGCCAAAAAGTAGTATTTTTGAGGGGACCAACTCTCTTGCAGCCGGACTTGCCGTCTTGTCTTGGTCTCTCTTATGAGCATCTCCCCAAGAAACATTATAGACACTATAAGTTTTAATTCGTGATAGTATTAAACTGAAAATACAACCACACATTCATTTGTGCTGAGCAAACACGTTTAGATATCAATAAATGATAATATTTATTAGGTCCTTGTGCGCTGCTGATTTGTTTTTATGATGGTAATGAAACTGATACTGCTGTTACTTTTTGATACCGCGGGATACTGTAATACTGTATTACCGCCCAACACTACGATACATACTTCGATACAGTGCACTTTTGATTCGATACGATATATTTCAAATCGATTCGACACAGTTCAGTAAAAATAAAGGCAAAATCATGGTTGTGATACTAAAAGTCTTTGTTAAACCACTTCTTGTGCAAAGTTCATATGAAACACAAACATTTTAATTATCAAAACAGTGAAAATATCAAATGTGTCGCATAAACGAGTTTTCTTCCTCTAAACAAACAACAAAACTGTAGCTCTGTAACAACATAATTTAGTAAAATAAACCAAAAAATACTCTTGGTGATATATCGAAACAGAAGCCCACGATATAAATACTGTACCATCACATTAAACGAAACGATATATAGATATTTTGATATTTTTTGCAGAATCCTAGTGAATACTCAGAGATTTTAGTTTTTAAGTTTTGGCTCATTCTCCGTGGATTCATTTCACTTTTGAGGCATTTTAAAGTGCGAAGCGTCAATCTACGGCTTCACAAATGTTTGGACCTTAGAGTGAAAATAGTTGCCTTATTTGTCATCCGTCTATTGCTATTTCTGCTACTTATTTAGAATGTATTATACTATTTCTCTTTGTTATTATAATGTCCTGTGAGCCACTGTGAAAAGGATTTGATGCATCTTTAACTTTAAGGAATCGTTCAAAAGAGGCGAGTCGCATCACTTGATTTGAAAGAAACAGCCAGAGTTTTCTGGAATAAACTCCGCCAGCTCGTGATCACAGAAGGACTAAAATAGCTGCGGTGTGAATAAACTAAAAATATAACTCCAGCTGCAAACGTAACTCTGACAGATTAGATGAAACATGAAAAGACGGAGAGAATAAAACCGAAAAAACAGTCGTAAAAACATCAAATAAACAACTAATTAATACTCAAATTAATTTAAAGAAAAACTATCGCATTTATTTTTATATGTAGAATACTTTAAAGGTGCATTATGCGACTTTTCGGGCCTGTGTTTTTGTCTTAACTTAATTATCTCCATGGAAACATGCAGGAGATGCCATTAGATTTAGATATGGGTCAGATCTGTGGAGAGGAGAGCCCGCTGACTGTAGCTGTACATGTTCTTTAATCAATAAAAACACCCCTAACTGACTGATTTTCAGGATGAAATTTTGTGATTTTGATAAAGAATTTGGCAGATTTTGAGTGCTTCAAATTATTTCTAAATTTCCAAGCTGTTTTTTTGCATTTGTACATTTGTTTTACTCAAACTTGGGAATTAAATGTGCTAAAAAAAAAAGCCTCAGTCATTTCAGCAGGTCCGTAATCAAAACCACTTTTTACTTTTCAGTCCAAATCTAAAATGTAGTGGAGAACAAAGTACAGATACCTGCTCTCAAATGTAGTGAAGTAAAAGTAAAAAGGATCCACTGTGAAGTTTTTAAAAGTACACATACCAAATATTTGAACGTTTACTTTTGTACTTACATTTTGAAGACCTCCTGCCCAGGTGCTCATTGTCCACTGTGTCACTGGACCACTCCACCTTCTTCTCCGTCTTCCTCTTCCTCAGTTTGATGGTCAGACTCCGGCCCTCCTGCAACAACACCGCAGATACTTAGATAAAAAAAAGTCCAGAGAATCAATCGTCAGAACTATTTTCAGGAGCTGCTCTACAAATAACATTAGAACATCTTTGGCATCTTTTGTCCGTTCGTACCAGATTATGTTTAAAGGTGCAATGAGAAACGTTTCTAGAGTCCACCACCTGCTTTTCTCCACGGAAATGTTATTGCTTTGTCTAGAACACAGGTGTCAAACATGCGGCCCGGGGGCCAGATCTGGCCCTCCAAGACCTTTAATCTGGCCCTCGGCTGATTTTCTATTAAAATATTGTTAATTTTCTGTGGTGTTTATCACAGCAGCGTCTCCAGCGTCTCTGTACGTGGCCCCTCCCACCAGAGCAGCACAAATGAAGACTTGTCTCTTTCCAAACGCTCTTAAAGGACGATCGTTTTGACTGTTGACCGTGACACCCTCATCAGAAAAATGTCCAACATGAGAAAAGTGGAGCCAAGTGCAGGATTTTACAACAAAAATGTACTTATTCCTATTTACATACAAGTTAATTTTATACAAGTTCATGTTAAAACATTGTGTTGAAATTGTATTTTTCTTAAAGTTTCAGGATGTTCATAATATTATAATATTTTGTAAAAGAAAGAGTTCATCAATTAAAAAAGATTTCTGTTATAGATTTGTGTTTCTCTGCACAAATATTTGAACTTATTGTTATTTTTGGGGTTTATATGACATGAGTTTTCTGATTCGGGCCCTTTGGGATCAAAGTCGGTTGGATACGGCCCCCGGACCAAATGAGTTTGACACCCCTGGTCTAGAATGTTCCACAGTACAGATTAAACTCACTACGATACATTACAATTCAGATCTGTGGAGAGGCGCCCCTATTCACAAAAGGAATTTGATTTTTTAGTAACAGAAACACCTGTAATGAACAAATAGTAGATGAAAATGTTTAGATTTAGATTTAGACAGACTTTAGTCCAATAAGGTTAATTTGGTCTTCCGATATTTTATGTTATTAGGTTCTTTTTTCAGACCAAGAGTTTGTTTTCATGCATGACAGTTTCGACTGCTCCCTGCGCTCTTCCTCAGAGTCTCGTGATGTTGCTGTGACGTGTCCGGTCAGCTGATTTAAACAGGTTCTGGAGCTGTCTTCCTACCGATGGAGTCAGGACGACAGCGCCACCTGCGGTCCCACTTCCTCAGGACAGTATCCCAGGTGTGTGAGAGTAAAAAAGCCCCTCGTCTCGGTTTATCGTCCCGTTGGCAAGTTTCTGTACTTCGATTGCCTCTTTAATCCAGCGACGATGTTTGTTTTCCTCTGTTCCAGTCCAGAATGTGCTTCTCTCTTTTACAGTGGTCACAAACAGCCGATTTATGGGGGCGAGGTGAGTTAAGTGTCTTGCCCAAGGACACAATGACAGCACTCATCTGTGAGAGCGGGAATCACACCACCGACCTGTGGGTCAGTGGATCTGAACACTCAACCAAGATGTTTAAGTTGAGAGCGAGATTCAGATGGCCAACCTTCGGATGAGTGGACAAACGCTCTGCCAACTGAGCTACTTATTAAATTTAAATTTAATGTCACACCATGGAACATTCAATAACATTTCCATGGTCGTGTTTGGGGAACGAGGGTATTACATAATATTACAGACAGGGAGGTAATAATATGCAAATCTAACAGTACAAAATTATCACAATCTTAATTTCACACTAAAACATTTGTTGTGATTTTATGAAGAGTTCCAAACCGAAAAATAAAATTGACTTTACAAACCTTTGGTGCGGATGATTACGGATAATAAATTATCCAAAGTGATCGCAATTACATACAAATATAGATATATCCTAGATAAAAACAGTCTTTTTATTATATACAACTCGCTGGTAATGCCCGACATAACCTACTGTTTGAGATTTGGGGCAATACATACAAAAAGACTAATACAAATCCAGTCTTTACCTGCAAAAAAAGGAAATAAGAGCATCACATTATCAACTTATAACGAATCAACCAATGTGTTATTTATAAACCTTCAAACTCTGAGATTTTATGATTTAGTCGACCTTTACACTCTGAAAATCATGTTCAAAGTAAACAACAATCTGTCAAAATCGTTACAGAACATGTTCAAAATCCAAAAGAGCCAATATGAGCTCAGAGGCACGACTACATTTATCAAAAAGAAAATCAGAACAAACATTATGAAATTTTGTAAATCTGTTAAAGGGCTGGAGCTCTGGCACAAATGTACAGAAAACCTAAAACTGTGCACCAATCTCTTTCACTTCATAAAGACGTTTAAATGTTTAACTCTGGACAGAAACATGAAATATGATACTTAGTTTGTGCTGTAGAACTTTGTTTTTCTGTTTCTGATTTATTTGTTTCCTCTTACTGTATTTATGAAGATGAACTGGTGTCAAGATGACGCTCAGATAAAGGAATAAAGGGTAAAGGCAGAATAAACTCAAGCTTCAGCCTCCACTTTTTCGGTCTGTGTGTGTTAAATATGACTGTCTGTGAATTAATGTCAGAATAGACCTGTGACCGAAATAAATAAATAATCAATTACCGTCACAATCCAAATAATTAAGATATTAAAATGGTTAATAATTAATAGAGTTTTCTTCATGGAGTCTGCAGTGAAATGGTGCAAAGGGTCATGGTCTACGTGTTCCTCTGTGTGTTTCTCTGTGTGTTTAGTTGTTGCTGCATCAACACAACACATTTACTATATTATATTACATGGAAAATGGATTCTGGTCATGTTATAATGTTGTTTAAAAGTGAAAAAAAAAAAAGCATAGCGCACTCAGATGGTCGATGTCCAAAAGCCTTTTTTATTTTTAAATAACGTTTCGGCCAAAAAGCCTTCGTCAGATCGTTTTTCTTGCTTCGGGCCACGGTTTACAAAACAGCCCAGGTGCTCATGTCCTCCAGCAACGAACGGGAGGTAATGTCGATAATGTTGTTACTGCCTCAAAAACAGACCTGGGATTGTGTTTGTTTCATTCACACATGTTCGATAGGGACATAATAATAACCGAAATATCAAAGTTCTCACAATAATATCATGGACCATCACAATATATCGAATTACAAGTGTCTTTGCTTAAATGAAGAGTTATGGTGCAGCAACAGCTAAAATAAAGACAGAGGGAACTACATAGACCATGATCCTTTGCTCCATTTCAGTGCAGACGACAAGAAGAAATAACAGTTCTAACACTTTTAAGTCTTAATTCTTTGGATTAAGTCTTGTCCAGGCATTTTAAGAGGAAAAAGAAGAATATTCACAGTTTTGTTAGTCTCAACAAAATATCATGAAAATATCGTACAGAGAGATTTGGATATTGTTACATCCCTAATCGTGAGCCCCTCCACCATACTGTGAGCTTTCCCACGATATCGCAATAAATATCATACCGTGAGGTTCATACTGTGACTTGAATATCGTTACACCTCTAATGTTTGAGTTTGACTTATTATCAGTCTAAACCAGGCGTGTCCAAACAAACGCGGCTCTCAGACAAATTGTTCTTGGCCCAAATTATCTTGCATCTATGAAAATTTTACTTTTTATTGCAAGTTTTTGAAAATTGACCTTGATAGAGCCAATATTTAATATTTAGTGTGTGGTTTTGAGGGTCTTAGGGTGAATAAAGGACAGATTGATCACTCTAATGTTAAACATGCACATATTTCAATTATTCACTGTATTGAGCACCAGTGTACGACCCTCGATCAACCTTCTGCTTCATCTGTGTTTAGATACGTAATGAAAAAAGTTTGCACACCCCTGCTCTAAACCTTTGTTCCACCTTGTGATGTCATGTAGAGGTAGTTTTCAAGTGAACAGCTCCTTTTTATCTGTAGTTCAGTAGAGATTGTCAATTCCAGGGCTGAAATCAAACACGTGATTCTAGTGAAGGAGTGTGGACTTTAAAAACACGATGAAGCACTTCCTGTCTTACACATGACATCACAAGGTGGACCAGAGTGTTTTTTGTTTGAGAAAATAACTCCTAAATACGCAGGGTTTGTGTGTTCAACATGTGAATGAAACAAAACTTAAATTTGGGTCTGTTTTTGATGAAGAACAACAACATTAAAACATCAGAATCAGAATCAGTGAATCTTGTGAGTTGATTTTGTATCAGAATCACAACATTTGCCAGAGTTTAGCTACAAAATAAAGAGACCAGCTGCAGAAATAAGGTCACAATGTCCACATATTTAGCAGTTCAGTAAAATATGTCAATGCCAAGACAGGCCTACATGGATTTGATGAAAAATCCACTAGGTAGGCTCTTGTGCAAATTGTTCTCTTGCTGTTTAATTGTCATTTTTAACTAACAGACGTGCAGATTCATGTTGCCATATATTTATTTTACGTAAATGGGCACAGTGTCATACAATAGGCCCGCTAATGTGCATGTTCAGCGTGTCATGTCGCAGATATTAATTGGCAACGGCGTAAAAAGCTAGAACATTACGTGCAGCCTTCTTTTTTACGCATCGCCTTTACGCACACAGATGCTCCGTGCCCCTCCACCTGCACCGTGCCCGTTACCTGCTGGGGTGGCGGCGGCGTGGTCGTCTGCACCGTCTCCGTGATCGTCTCGCTGGATGTCCCGGGGACCTCCGCCATCCCTGCGCCGTCTCCCTGCACCGAACACAACGACAGCGCGGCGCGTCAGCTCTGGGCGGAAGGTGGAGCGGCGCAAAAGGTGTAACGCTGCGGCCAAAATGCGGGTTTCGCTAAAAATCTCTCCCTAAAATGCCCCAAATGAGGATGATCTAAGAGAGGTTAGCTCGGGTGCTAAGCAGGTAGCGGGAGGAGGATGGAGGGATGGGACCAGGTGTCAAGCTCAAAAGCACAAAACCTTACCGTGTTCGGAAATTCCATAATAATTCAACAAAACGCCGCGCAAGTTAGTAAAACTTCCACTTTGGACACAGTTATTTAAGTAAACACGCTAAATAATGGATTCATACAAGATTTAAGATAGATTTAAAACAACGAAACGATTTTTTGTGAATTTTAAAGCGTTGTGTATTTTATTTTGATAGCCAAACCGGATGTGGCTTTACTACAGTGTTGTTTACTTTACTAAGCAAGTCAGAGGGGAAGATATTTGTAGACGGACCACTTCCGGTTTGTCCGAAAAGTTGTATCATTCCGTCAAAAATTGCTTATTTTTAACAGAAAATACTTTAGGACATTAAACCAATCATGCAGTATCGATAGAAAATATTTAAATCATTTATATTAATTCGTTATTTGTTTGTGTTAATTTGAAAAAGTGACATTTTCTTATAAATCGCGTTGCAGAAAGGTCGTAGTAGGAGACATGTGTCCTCATCCTGAAGTGAAACACAGTGAGTAATTTAAATTATTATAACTAAATTATTATATATGTTTACATTATTCCCGTACTATTTGTCATAGACTCATAGGTTTAATTTGTGTAGTGTTTTGATGAAGATGTGGAGGACAGGACTGGTCTGGAGAAGATGCAGACTTCACACCTCCACCTGCTCCTCAAAAGCATCAAACATCTCCAGACCACAGGCTGAAAAACAGAAACGTAAAAGGGAACGAGAAAAGGCCATTTTATCAAGTCAGGTATGAAGAATGTCAATTGTTTTATCACTAAAATCAACAGCAGTGAGTGGCCAAAAACTGAACTTGACATAAACGTCATTGGTGCGGCGCTCAGGTCCGTGGATCACGCGTTCATTCGTTTTTCAAAATAAAAGTGTGACTTAAACTGAGATGCAGGACTGAATCAGGACTAAAACAGGACTAAACCAGAGACTGAACCAGGACTGAACCAGTCTCAGTCCAGGTATCGGTCTCGGTCTCGGTCTTGGTCCCATTCTCGGTCCCGGTCTGGTCTCAGTCTTGATCTTGTCCAGGTCTCAGTCCCAGTCTCAGTCTCCTGTCTTAGTCCTGATCACCTGACAATGTCTCGTCCCAACACTTAGTCCTGGTTCAGTCTTGGTTCAGTCCTGGTTCAGTCCTGGTTCAGTCCTGGTTTAGTCCTGGTTTAGTCCTGGTTCAGTCCTGGTTCAGTCTCTGGTTCAGTCCTGGTTCAGTCTCTGGTTTAGTCCTGGTTTAGTCCTGGTTTAGTCCTAGTTTAGTCCTGGTTCAGTCTTTGGTTTAGTCCTGGTTCAGTCCTGGTTTAGACTTGGTTTAGTCCTGGTTCAGTCCTGGTTTAGACTTGGTTTAGTCCTTGTTCAGTCCTGGTTTAGACCTGGTTTAGACCTGGTTTAGACTTGGTTTAGACCTGGTTCAGTCCTGGTTCAGTCCTGCATCACGGTTTAAGTCACGTAAGTCACGTACCTGCCTCACCCTCAGTGTTTGTGTACAGTGTAAACTGCTGTATGAATGTGTTTGTGAACAGTTCAGTGGTTCCTTGATTAAGGTGACCAGACGTCTTTATTTACCCAGGACAGTCCCAGTTTTGAGCCCAGTTTCTAAAAGAAATGTCCCAGGTGTCCATATTTTGGGCCAATCTAATTCCTGCCAACAATAAAGAGAAGCATAAATTGTCATTTGTTTAGGTAAAATGCAAAAAAGCTGCTTAAAAATGACCAAAACGCAAAGAAAATGTGACTATACTGACTCATGTTATGTGTATGTGTATGTCATGAATGGATCGCGTGCAGAACAGTTTTCTTTAATTATGCACTCATTTCACAATTTTATTATTACCAACCAAACCGATTGTGTTTGATTTTGAAAATCTGATCACCCTGACCTTGATGTAAAGAGCTTTGAGCCTTGAAGATGGAAAAACGCTGGATAAATGTGACTTTTACCATTCAAAATAATGTAACTCAAGTAGAACTACAAAGAAATTATTAAAAGCAACTTGAAGAGTCAGTTTTGGTCCGTAACATCTGATTTATAATTTGTAGTTAATGTAATTTGACACAAAAAAATGACAAAAACTCTCTGAAGAAGCGGTGCAAGAATCACAAATGTTCAGATCAGTTCATATTTCTGTTGTCACTTGTAAAAGCTCTGTTACTTCAATAAAAATATCACTCAATTAGGAATACAATTTTACTGCTAGAAAAGTCGTCTTAACTTAAAAATTACTCCAGTAAATAGAACTGGATAATACCTACCTCTGAAAATCAGTCTACTGTGTGTTTGTGTAATTTGTTATAATTTTGTTTTCAGTCGACCAAAGACGAGGGACTGAACTGGACCGAGAAAGAGAGAATTGTTTACACGGCCCAAACTCCCCCTGGAGAAAAGAAAGGTTTGGGAAAAAGCTACATCTGAGTTTCATTTTTAGTAGTTAAAAATAATAATAATAATAAAATGTGTTTTAATTCGACTTTGCAGACACCAGTGTAGCGTTTCCTGCCGCCTACAGCCCGGAGTATGTGGAGTCGAGCTGGTACCAGTGGTGGGAGAAGGAGGGGTTTTTCAGACCGGAGCAGCACGTGAGATACTCGTTTTGGTTTTTGTTTTATTTTTATGTTTATCGATTTAACATGAAACAGCCTCCATAAGGAACAAATACTGAGGAAATACGAAAAATGTCTCTCTTGTGGACAAACTTAAATCGTCTCTGTGCCTTCATGTGAATTGTTTTGTTCATTTTAGATGAAAATTGGCTCAAATTCTCAGTTTCAGATTTCAAGGACAAAGCTTTTTAAACAAATGGATTAAAGGGCAGTTTTTATATTGTAACACAGAGTTAACACGTATCATGAATAGAATATTGCAGTAAAAATACAAACAATGAAAAAGTGACGAATACAAACAATAAAAATGACAAAGCCTGATTTCACCAGATCTCAGAAGTTTAGTAGGTTGGTTGGTTTGGTTAGTACTGGGAGATCGCTGCAAATACAGACGGTGTAGTGGCTCTTATATAATTTTTATTTTTATTTTTATTATTATATACAAGACCTTACACAAAATTATAAATAAATTAGACAAATAATCACAGACAATAAAACATATGAATGAATGAATGTATTTGGACAGTAATGTATAGAACATGCATAAAAATTTAAATACATAGATATAATTAAAAAATAAATACTTCTTCTTTTCTAGAACGATAAGCAAAAGTAAATGTATGTATTAATATGTATTTTATATATATATATATATATATATATATATATATATATATATATATATATATATATATAATATACAGAAAATATTGTGGAGGGCTGGATCAAAATGTTTAACTCAATTCAATACTAATTGTATTTCTTTATAAAAAGCTGTAAGAGTTATCATGTTATGATTAAGCAATGAAAAAAAGTGAGGCTGCCTTACCAAAATGTCATTTAAAAAAAACACCTCTAAAATAAAAGCAATGCAGCTTTAATCCATGCATGAGGTAAAATTATAAAATATGTTTATTTTGTAATTCCAAATGAGTTTAAATGAGACTATCAGAGTCAGCCAAAGGGCTGAATGTGGCCTGGGAGCTACACTATGTCCAGGTTGGTGTTATGTTGTAGTTTTTGCGTGAGCTCGGTCTGCAGGTGGAATCTTGTGAGTGCAGTTTGGGTCAGATACACAGAGATACATAAGAGTTTTAAGAGCTTTTACAGTGCCCCCTTTTTAGTCAACCAATCAATCAGCAGCATATGTCCAACTGTTGCAGATCTTTAGGCACAGAAACGATTTAGTTTGTCTTTTCCATAAGGGGTATGCATAATGAAGCCACAAAAAAAAAATTAAAGAAAAATTAAAGCCGGCTACAGCTGGCAGCTGCTCCCCGCTCTCATCTCGTGCCTTCCTGCTGTAAAAACACTCCAGTCTAGTTCAAGGCACACAGACAAAACCAGTGTGGGGCGTTTACCTTGTAAAAATAACAATGGTCAGAACAATGACTACATTAATTCACAACAATCATGTATAACTGTAAATTAATTCATCATGTCTCTCACAACAATAGTCCAACAAGAATTTCTTTACTCTTAGAATATAAAAGAATTTTCAACATTAAGTCACACTTTTACGTACTTTCTTTTCCCATGTGTCTTCATGTCTGTGTAATCCCTCCGTGGTCCATGGGCGTGTACGAGTCTATGTGCTCTTATATTTGTTGTTTGTTGTAGCTGATACAGCTCAAAATCATTCTAAAAGCATTTAGAAAATCTTAATACCTGTCCTGTCCTGAGAGTTTTTTAGTATCTTAAACGCACATTATTATCGTCTTTCAGTATTAGTTTTAGTATCAATTAGTGTCTGATTTTCGACCCTGATTCGATTTGTGATCTTCTCTTTCTCTTTCCTCTTGTGTTTTCAGGAGCGTGTGCCTCATGCCGTGGAGCGCACCTTCTCTCTGTGTATCCCTCCGCCCAACGTGACGGGGACTCTGCACCTGGGCCACGCTCTGACTGTGGCGGTGGAGGACGCGCTGGTGCGATGGTAAAACTCACGGTTATTTGTAAAGCACATTTAAAAAAACAAACACAGTCCTGCATATTTACGCTGAGTTCTTTTCTCAAACTGAAAACACTCTGTTCCACCTTGTGATGTCACGTGGTAAAACAGGAAGTGCTCCACCGTGTTGTTTGGTTTTATATATTTTTTATTGACGTGTGAAAAGATATGGGACTGTCATTCAGACAACAACAATTTTATGCAGTTGAAAAACATAACAGAAAAAAAAAAATCACAAACCTTGAGTAAATAAACAAATGCAAATAGTGTCACACAATCTAATAATACAATAATAATAACAATAACAAAAACAGGAGGGGCGTTTCAAAAAAAGTCAATACGTGGTTCTTCACTGTGTTTTTTAAACTCCACACACCTTCACTGAAATTATTTGGATAATTTCAGACCTGGAATTGCCAATCTTTACTGAACCAAAGGTAAAAGGAGCTGTTCACTTGAAAACTACCACTTCATGACATCACAAGGTGGAACACAGCAGTTGGAGCTTTGGAGATGTAGACAGACTAATAATAAAGTGTTACTCAAACATGTGAATGAAACAAAACACAACTCCAGGTCTGATTTTGAAGAGGAAACAACATTCTAACATGATTATAACACAACTTAACCTCCTAGGACCTGAACTCTTGCAGCTTTATTGATTTCTCTTTTTTATTTGAGTTGATTGGGACCTGATGAGTGCAAAAACAAAGAATTATATTATTATACTATTTTTATATTTATATGTTCACATTATGTTAAAACATTCATTTTATGTCTTAATCATTTTGATGGAACACAATAAAATCACAGCTGAATAATGATTTGTAAAACTATTTATTAAGTGCCTGAACAACCCAAAATGTTTTGGACGTGTATCTGCACGTGTGTGGACGCCAGGTCCCAGGAGGCTGTAGAATCCATGTGTCATTCGTTCATTCATTTTTCGATATAAAACCAAAAGTAAGAAAACGAAAAAGCAACAGTTTTCTTCATTATTTGTCTCCAAAACCAAAATGATAAAAACAGATAACGGACGTTTCCCATTTCCGTGACTTAAACTGCGATGCCGGACTGAACCAGGACTGAACCAGGACTAAGCCAGGACTAGACCAGACCGGGACTGAAACCAGGACTGAGACTGGGAACAGACCGGGACCAGACCGGGACTGAAACCAGGACTGAGACTGGGAACAGACCGGGACCAGACCGGGACTGAAAACTACTTAAGGGAACGGGAAAACAAAAACTGAAAAAATGAATCGTTATCTGTTTTTTCATTTTGGTTTTTGGAGACAAATAATGAAGAAAATAATAGTTTTTTCATTCTCCTATTTTTGGTTTTATATTGAAAAACAAATGAACAAATGATACAAGGATTCTGTAGCTCAGAGGAGTCACTTTTACGTCATATCTTTATCTCTGTGTGTGTGTGTGTGTGTGTGTGTGTGTCTGTGTCTGTGTGTGTCTGTGTGTGTCTGTGTGTGTCTGTGTCTGTCTGTGTGTGTCTGTGTGTGTCTGTGTGTGTGTCTGTATGTGTGTGTGTGTGTGTCTGTGTGTGTCTCTGTGTGTGTCTGTGTGTCTGTGTGTGTCTGTGTGTGTCTGTGTGTGTGTGTGTGTGTGTGTGTGTGTCTGTGTGTGTGTGTGTCTGTGTGTGTGTCTGTGTGTGTCTGTGTGTGTCTGTGTCTGTGTGTGTCTGTTTGTGTGTGTGTGTCTGTCTGTGTGTGTGTGTCTGTGTGTGTGTCTGTGTGTGTCTGTTTGTTCGTGTGTGTGTGTCTGCATGTGTGTGTGTGTGTGTCTGTATGTGTGTGTGTGTGTCTGTGTGTGTCTGTGTGTGTGTCTGTGTGTGTGTGTGTCTGTATGTGTGTGTGTGTGTGTCTGTGTGTGTCTGTGTGTCTGTGTGTCTGTGTGTCTGTGTGTGTGTGTCTGTGTGTGTGTGTGTGTGTGTGTCTGTGTGTGTCTGTGTGTGTGTGTGTGTGTGTGTGTGTCTGTGTGTGTGTCTGTGTGTGTGTGTGTGTCTGTGTGTGTGTGTGTGTGTGTGTGTCTGTGTGTGTGTGTGTCTGTGTGTGTGTGTGTGTGTCTGTGTGTCTGTGTGTGTGTGTGTGTGTGTGTGTGTGTGTGTGTGTCTGTGTGTCTGTGTGTGTGTCTGTGTGTCTGTGTGTCTGTGTGTGTGTCTGTGTGTCTGTGTGTCTGTGTGTGTGTGTGTGTGTGTGTGTGTCTGTGTGTGTGTGTCTGTGTGTGTGTGTGTGTGTGTGTGTCTGTGTGTGTCTGTGTCTGTGTGTGTCTGTGTGTGTGTCTGTGTGTGTCTGTGTGTGTGTGTGTGTGTGTGTCTGTGTGTTGTGTGTGTGTGTGTGTGTGTCTGTGTGTGTGTCTGTGTGTGTGTGTGTGTGTGTGTGTGTGTGTGTGTGTGAGCAGGAGGAGGATGAAGGGTCACAGGGTGCTCTGGGTCCCCGGCTGTGACCACGCCGGGATCGCAACACAGGTGAGAGGAAAACTGCCTATCTATTTTTTATATAAATATAAATATTATTTTGGTATTTTTTGTATATTTACTTAGTTTTTTCACAATTTTGTTATTTGGTAAAAAAAAAAAAAAGGCGAATAAGGCATACTACTGTTAACAAAAGAAAATTGAACATGTATAAAAAAAAAAAAACATATCTAATAATACAACAAACAAGAATCATGTTCTTGTTTATTTTTTTCCACAATTTATTTCTTCATTGTTATATATTATACTGTTATACTGTTTAGTCCTACACTCACACATGTGTAAGTACATTAATTTGACTTATATTAAAAGTGACAGAATATGTGAAAACTGAAAAATTAAAACAAAACAGACAAGGAAAAAAATAAAATAAATAATGGTAAGTTGTCACATTTTATACAGCGCTTTTCTACCTTCAAGACTCAAAGCACTTTACAACAAGGAGCCACTCACATATTCACACACCAGTGCACACAGACACTGGGGGGGAGGTGGGTTAAGTGCTTTGCTCAAGGACACAACAACAGTATTCATCTGTGTGAACTGGAATCACACCTCCAAACCTGTGGGTCAAAAATTATATAATAAATAATATATAATAAAATCAAGTAAAGGGTTTTCTGAACAGTATGTCGTGCAAACAAGCTGCAGTTATTGAAAGCAGTAACTCTTTATTCAGATATAATTTTGTATTTTTAGACGGTGGTGGAGCGGAGACTCCAGAGAGAGACGGGGAAGAGGAGGCAGGACCTGAGCAGAGACGAGTTCCTGAAGGAGGTTTGGAAATGGAAGGAAGAGTGAGTCCAAACACACAATCAAACATTTATCATCTCAGGACTAAACGCACCAGAGTTTCTGATCGTGGGCGTTTGTGTTTGTGTTTGTGTAGAAAAGGAGAAGAGATTTACCACCAGCTGAGGCAGATGGGAGCCTCGCTGGACTGGACCAGAGCCTGTTTCACCATGGACCCAGTAAGACCAAACACAGACCATAAACAGACCAGCATTTTGTTTAGGACTGATAAATAACAACCATAAGGGGTTAGCAGAATACTTACCCTCAGTCCTGGTTTAGTTCTGGTTTAATCCTCATTTAGACCTGGTTTAGACCTGGTTTAGACCTAGTTTAGATCTATTTGAGGCCTGGTATAGATCTATTTTAGACCTAGTTTAGACCTAATTTAGACCTGGTTTAGACCTGGTTTAGACCTGTTTAGACCTAATTTAGACCTGGTTTAGACCTAGTTTAGACTTGGTTCAGACCTGGTTTAGACCTAATTTAGACCTAATTTAGACCTGGTTTAGATCTAGTTTAGACCTGGTTTACACCAGTTTTAGACCTCGTTTAGGCCTAGTTTAGACCTGGTTTAGGTCTAGTTTAGACCTAATTTAGACCTGGTTTAGACCTGGTTTAGACCTGGTTTAGACCTAGTTGAGTCCTGGTTTAGACCTAGTTTAGACCTAATTTAGACCTGGTTTACACCTAGTTTATTCCTGGTTTAGTCCTGGTTTAGACCTGGTTTAGACCTAATTTAGACCTGGTTTAGATCTAATTTAGACCTAATTTAGACCTAATTTAGACCTGCTTTAGACCTAATTTAGACCTGGTTTAGACCTGGTTTAGACCTAATTTAGACCTAATTTAGACCTGGTTTAGTCCTGGTTTAGACCTGGTTTAGACCAAGGACCCTGACATTATAGTCTGGGACTACTTAGCTCAGTCTGGTTTAGTTCTGGTTTTTATATTGTCCATTGAAAGGAAGAAATTTTGATCTACTTTTCGTTGTTCTGTCTAAAGACAAATTAGATCTTTTTCAGTACAATAACCCAAAACGTGAAGATAAAAAATAAACATTAAACATATGTTTCACAGAATTGACTTGTGAGCTGTTAGTCGTGCTGGAATGTTGTTATCTCATCAAAAACACACCTGGAGTTTCAGTTCACACATGTTTTAGTAATCCTGCATTATTTGGCTGTCTTCATCTGCAGATTTTAAGGTGCTGCTGGGTGCAACAGTGTGCGTGTCTCTAGATTTCTCTTGTGCTGTAAACATAAAATCACATCTAATTATTGTTTTCTCTGATTGCTGTAGTTATCTGATTTTAGTTTCCAGTGCGTTCTAACATTTCTTCCTCCTTGTGTCAGTCTTTCAGTCGAGCCGTGACTGAGGCGTTTGTGCGTCTGTGTGACTCTGGACTCATCTATCGCTCCGAGGCTCTGGTGAACTGGAGCTGTGCCCTGCAGTCGGCCATTTCTGACATAGAGGTACTGATACTGACCACTGGCCTCCTCCATTAAAAGGGAAAATGCAGCGGTGGATGAAGTACTCGCATAAAAAAATCAAAGTTTAGATACTCCAAGAAAGGAAACATTAACAAAATTTTTATAAAGTGGCAACCATTTATTTACTTTTTTGAAACTAAGCCACCTCCCTTCATTTTTTTTCCTTTTTATTTTATTATTTTTATATTTTTTAAATGTAAAAATACAGATTTTGTTTTGTTGTTGCTGTTTATTATTATTATTAAGTATTAAATGTAATGATACTGATTTAAACTTATACAGATTTTGGTCAACAGTGTTAATACAAATACATTTATATTTATTTTTGTTTGTTGAAAGCTGAAGCCTGAATTCAAAAACTTTAGTCAGGATGTTACCAGGAACATGGTAAAATAAACTTTTAATATCTTTTATCCACTCCACATTTTACTTGAGTAAAGTACAGATACCTAAATAGTTTCCTTAAGTACAGTATTTTACTACTTGTACTTCATTACCTTCCATTATTTTTCCATTATGATACTGCTAATATTATTATAGCGTGTTGTTGGTTGAGGTGGGCTTTTAAACTTTTTTTTTTTCCCAGGTGGACTCCAAGGAGCTGTGTGGGAGGACTCTGCTGCGTGTGCCTGGTTATGATCGACCAGTGGAGTTCGGGACGATGGTCACGTTTGCTTATCCCATCGAAGGCCACGGTGAGAGGAGTGAACCGTTTTGTTTGTGTTATAGATTACCGTATTTTCTGCACTATTAGGCGCTCTGGATTATAAGGCGCACTGTCATTAAATGGTCTATTTTCGAACTTTTTTCACAAATAAACCGTACCGGATTTTAAACGAAACACAACAGTTGGAGTGGGTGAGTGGTTTTGTTTGTTTGTTCGTTCACGGTGACTCTGGGCTTTGTTCAGTTGTGGCGTGTAGGGAGGGTGTGTCTGGGACCAACTGGATTGTCGGCGTGTTCGCAGTGACTCAGTTGTTCAGTCGTGTCTAGAAGCGGCACATTGCGCTCGCTTTTTCGGTTCGTTCCTCCGTTCCGTTCCTCGTCGGCGTGGAGTGATGAGTGTGTCTGTGGGTGTGTTTCGCCGTGCGGTCGCTGTCTGCTCCGTGTGTGTTTGCGTGTTCCTCGAGTGGTGCGGCTTTGTAGTTTACTGAAGTCGTGCTGGGACACCTGAGTGGATTAGTGTATAGGGCGCAGTCATTTTTTGATGGGGTTAGAGGCTTAAGAGCGCGTCTAATAGCCCGGAAAATACGGTAGTTTCAGTGATTTAATGTAATATTTGTCTTGTAGATGGAGAAGTGTCGGTGTCCACGACTCGCCCTGAGACGATGTTGGGAGACGTGGCCGTAGCGGTTCATCCTGATGATCCCAGATACCAGGTGAGTCACAGGTGGCTATAAGAATATTGGATTCTCATTTATCATTGGCTCTTTTCATGTAGAAAGATCCAAATCAGATGGTACAATTTTGTCTAAATAAAAAAACTGAATTAAAAAGTTCTGTTCTTTCTCTCTTCAGGCTGTTCATGGGAAACAGTGCAGACACCCGTTCACTGGAGCTCTCCTGCCAATCATCACCGACTCCACAGTGGACATGCAGCTGGGGACGGGTAACTCTTCATCAGAATCTGGTGTATGAACAGAGGGACAGGGTCTGGAGTATAGACTGTGTAAAGAAGTTTTAGCTCTGTCCGTTTATATTCAGTTTAAGGTCTGGAGTTATAAGAAACAGTGTGATTGGTCCAAAAGGGATCCACACGTCAAACTCCGCCCCTGCAGCCAGATGTTTGTATCTGAAACACCTGTCTGTAATCTTCCCCTCCTCCCTCCTCTTCTCTTCTCTTTTCTTTTCTCTCCTTCCTCCTCTCTCGTCTTTCATCTCTCTCCTTCCTTCCTCCTCTCTCTCTCTCTCTCCTCTCTCCTCTCTCTCTCTCTCTCTCTCTCTCTCTCTCTCCTCCTCTCCTCTCCTCTTTCATCCCTCTCCTTCCTTCCTTCCTCCTCTCTCTCTCTCTCTCTCTCTCTCTCTCTCTCTCTCTCTCTCTCCCTCCTCTCTCCTCTTTCATCTCTCACCTTCATTCCTCCTCTCTCTTCCTCTACTCTCCTCTCTCTTCTTTCTCCCTCTCCTCTCTCTCTCTACTCTTCCTCCTCTCTCCTCTCTCCTCTTTCATCTCTCTCCTTCCACATCTCTCTCTCTACTCTCCCTCCTCTCTCCTCTTTCTCTCCTCTCCTCTCTCCTCTCTCTACTCTTCCTCCTCTCCTTTCTCCTCCCTACTCTCTCCTCTCTCTTCTCTCTCTCCTCTTTTCTCTCTCTCCCTCCTCTCTCTCTCTCTCATCTCTCTCCTCTCCTCTCTCTCTCTACTCTCTCTCTACTCTCTCCTCTCTCCTCTTTCATCTCTCTCCTTCCACATCTCTCTCTCTCTACTCTTCCTCCTCTCCTTTCATCTCCCTACTCTCTCTCTACTCTCTTCTCCCTCTCTTCTCTTTTCTCTCCTCCCCCTCTCTCTTCTCTTTCATCCCGCTCTCTCCATCCTCCTCTCTCTCTCTACTCTCCCTCCTCTCTCCTCTTTCATCTCTCTCCTTCCACATCTCTCTCTCTCTACTCTCCCTCCTCTCCTTTCTCCTCCCTACTCTCTCTCTCTCTTCTCTTCTCCCTCTCTCCTCTCTTCTATTTCTCTTTCTCCTCTCTTCTCTTCTCTCCACTCCTCCTTCCTCCTCTTTCTCTCTACTCTCCCTCCTCTCTCCTCTTTCATCTCTCTCCTTCCACTTCTCTCTCTCTACTCTTCCTCCTCTCTCCTCTCTCCTCTTTCATCTCTTCTCCTTCTCACTCTCTCTCTCTCTCCTCTCTCTCTCCTCTCCTCTTTCATCTCTCTCCTTCCACATCTCTCTCTCTACTCTTCCTCCTCTCTCCTCTTTCATCTCTCTCCTCATCTCTCTCTCTCTCTACTCTTCCTCCTCTCCTTTCTTCTCCCTACTCTCTCTCTACTCTCTTCTCCCTCTCTTCTCTTTTCTCTCCTCCCTCCTCTCTCCTCTTTCATCTCTCTCCTCTCTCTCTCCTCTACTCTCCTCCTCTCTCTACTCTCATCCCGCTCCTTCCTTCCTCCTCTCTCTCTCTACTCTCCCTCCTCTCCTTTCTCCTCCCTACTCTCTCTCTACTCTCTTCTCCCTCTCTTCTCTTTTCTCTCCTTCCTCCTCTCTGTCTCTCTCTACTCTCACTCCTCTCCTCACTCTTCTCTCCCCTCTACCTCCTCTCGTTCTCCTTCCTCCTCTTGAAATTGCAGTTGTCACTTGAGGTAGGGCATCTTTAAAAAACGACTAGGGACAGTAGAAAATGCTTTTAAAACACCACATACACAGCTCAGCGTTTGTTTCTTTTTAATGCTTTAAAAGTCATCAGACTAAACTGTGATTTTGTCATTTTGGTTTCATGACAAATGGACACAGCGAAAGACCTAATTCACCTTTAACACTGTCTTACTGTGTCGTCTGAGGCCTGTGAATATTCTGTTCTGCCTTTATTTATAGTTTCACTTTTCTTTGGTCTCCAGGTGCTGTGAAAGTGACCCCAGCTCATGACCACTCAGACTTCCTCCTCTCCCAGAGACACTCCCTGCCTCGCGTCACTGTGATCGGGGAGGACGGCACCATGACGCCCCCCTGTGGAGACTGGCTGCAGGTGCAAGGAATACTGAGTTAACAGAAACAAAATGAATAACTAAATAATAAAAATACCAACCTGGATTCAAGTTTTTTACCACTTTAGATGTCTGTGCTTGTGGATCCTCATCACAAACAGACCTGGAGTTGTGTTTTGTTTCATTCACACATGTTTAACACACAAATCCTGCAAATTAAGGCTGACTCTGCTCCACCTCGTGATGTCATGCAGTAATACAAGAAGTGCTCTGCCGTTTTTCTAAACTCCATACACCTTCACTAGAATCATTTGGATGATTTCACTCCTGGAGTTACCTATATCTATTGAACTTAAGGTAAAAGGAGCTGTTAACGGACTGAAAACTGAGCTGAAAACTACCGCTTCATGACATCACAAGGTGGAACAGAGCATTTTGAGCTTGAGATGTAGACAGACTAATAATAAACTGTTACTCAAAAATGTGTTAATGGAAAAAGAAACACAACTCCAGGTCTGTTTTTGAGGAGGTAACAATATTATAACATGTCTTTAATATTTTCTGATCTGGTCAAATAATTTATAATTTATATGTACAAGTTTTAATAAATAGACAAGGCAATATTATTATTATTATGGTATGTGACTGAATAAATGTCCAAATATAATCTGTGTTTTCAGGGCGTGAAGAGGTTTGAGGCTCGGCTGCAGGTGGTGGACGCTCTGGTGGAGAAGAAACTGTTCAGAGGGAAACAGGAGCACAGCATGGCTCTGCCCATCTGCAGGTACTAGACCAACACGGCCTCTATGGATTTATATCCCTGACTTTGTCCTTTTTAATGGTCTATGTTTCCTGAATCGAAACAGACCAAGTACGAACAAGAAAGATGAGCAAAGACAAAACTAAATCCGCTTTAAAGAACACACATAACTCATTCTTGTGGCTATAATTCCAATTTAAATGTGCTTTTGGTCTCCTTGGGATACATTTCTTCACATTTTCTGAGTTAAAATAATGTCTTTATAAACTTCACCTCGGTTTCCAATGCAGCATTTAGTTAAACAGATCACTTGTGAACAGCCATGCGTTTGTTGTGAACACGATTTGATCACAGAACATGTCCGGTGAATTTTTGTGGGCTCAAAAAACTGCATAAGAGTTTTTATCCATGCTGTAACAAAACTGTCCATATGTGAACTGAGCATTTTTGAGTGCTCCGAGGATTAATGAAATAAAATACAACAAAATACAGAAATGTTTTTGATAAGGGGATAAAAAAAAAAGTCTAATTTGCATAATAAGTTTAAACCCAATCTGGTCTAATATTGAAAATGGAGCCAATATTTGACAAAATTTTTTGGTCTAAACCGTTCTAGTGTCTGTTTGTCTTTGTGAACAGACTAATGAGTAAAAATACAAATAAAAGAGCAATTAAATAAAAATATATTGATTTTATAATACATTTTATATTACAGATTTTGTTATTATTTTAGTAAAAGTGAAAATTTACTTTGTGGATTTTACTATAACATAACCATAACTGATAATACATTTACTATGATTTACTATGGCTTTCAAAATCTTAATATCGACCACTGCCACAAATAAACAGACGTACTGGAGATTGGTATTGGCTCTAAAAATCTATATTGGACCACCCCCATGAGTAGCATTTAAAATTGTAAAAATATGAGTGATGGGGGAAGATCTCGTGCCACAAGAGACGTGTGATTTTTTTATTTTTTCCTCATGTTTTTACGTTTAAATTGGATAACAAAATGAGTCACTGCTGAGTTACACATTTTGAAAAGCTGTAATCTCAAAGAGCTCTGCTACAATGAAAGCAAAATATTAAAAAAGGTAAATTAAAAATCAAACATGGTGAAAAAGCCAAAATTGGGAACTGGATTTACACAATTATTTTAGTGTAATGAATGTCAAAATCTCGTCTTGTCTCGTTCTCGTAGATCCAATCTCATGTCTCATCTCTCGTCCCACCCCTAAGAAATACCGAAAAGCTGATTTGACTTTTTTTTTTTTTTTCTCCAGTCGATCAGGAGACGTGATTGAGCCTCTCCTGAAGAAGCAGTGGTTTGTGCAATGTAAAGAGATGGCGGCTAAAGCAATTCAGGTAAAAGATCCTCTCAGATAATCAAGTCTTTAAAAACATATAAAAACAAACTGATATCAGATTTGTTGTTTGTTTTTCAGGCTGTAGAAGCTGGAGAACTGGAGATCATCCCTCACTTTTACACTAAAACGTGGAAGAACTGGCTCTCCAACATCAGGTGAGCGGTTGTCTTATTATTTAATTTTTAATTTTAATTTTTGTGTAGGGTCCGTCAAATGCTTTTCTCCATGGAGATGTTATTCCTTTTGTCCGGAATGTTTCACAGTATGACATTAAACCTTTCTATCTTCATGGAGACCAAACCAGACCAAGTTACAGGTCAGGTCTGTGGAGAGGAGACTCTGCTCACAGTCAGAACATCAGCTTTTTTTGGTATTTTTGAGCTTTAAAACCACCTGTAATTGAATAAATGTAAGGTAGAGCCGTTTAATGTCACACTGTGAAACATTCCAGGCAGAATGTTTTTGTTTTTTTTGGTATTTTTATGCTAATTAACAAAACGTTTTGTTTAAATCAATGGCTGAACATGTGATAGGTCAAAAGTATGGAAAATTGGATACTAATGGATACTAACACTGATATCGAAACTAGATACTCATTTCAGCAAGTCACATTTTATTTATATAATGTATGTATAATGTACTTTTTTATAATGTACTTTTAATATTAGTTATGGGAAATCCACTATTTATTTATTAATCCTTTCCATCGTATGATTTATTTGAATTTGACCAAGTTGAATCTCCATTAAATCACAGCTAAAAGGAACTTTGTTATTGCACTTTGATTTACTTTATGTGCAAATTGTGCTATGCAAATACTGTAAACTTACCTTGCCTTAGTGTTTATGCCTTTTGCCGTCAGTAGAGGGAGCTGCAACACTATTCTTACTGCTTAGAAATTTGTAAATGTTTAAGAGCTGAAATGATTCAAATGATTCTTGTGAAGGCGTGTGGAGTTTAAAAACACAGTGGAGCACTTTCTGTATTATGTATAGAGTGTTTTATGTTTGAGAGAAGAATTAAAGCTTAGATATGCAGGTTTTGTGTGTTAAACATGTGTGAATGAAACAAAACACAACTCCAGGTCTGCTTTTGATGAGGTAACTTCATTATAACAGATCAGAAAACAGTGTGACAAGGGCCCTTTAAAAACCAGTATAAGCTAAACTAATGCATAATATGTCACAAAAACCAGCCTCTCTTTTGTGGACAATCGTGACGGGTCCCTTCAGTGTCGGATGATGGATGAATGAAGCCTTGTATTAAATGTACAGCTCTAACAGTGCGTCTCTGTGCTCCGCAGTGATTGGTGCATCTCCAGACAGCTGTGGTGGGGACATCAGATCCCGGCGTACAGAGTGGAGCTGCCCAACGCCTCCGACACGAACGAGGTCTGTGGACGGGTTTGGGAAAGTTCTGTAACAAGTTTAAAAAGTGAAATAAGTATGAAAACTGAGTAGCCAACGAAAGCTCGTCGTCTTTGAACCACAGACTGTTTATATTAGGGTGACCAAATGAAGGAGTGCGTACCGTATTTTCCGCACTATAGGGCGCACTTAAAAGCCTTTAATTTCATCAAAAAACGACTGCGTGCCTTATAATCCAGAGCGCCTTATATATGAATTTATTGGGGCTTCTTGGTACGACTTTAGTAAACTACAAAGCCGCATCACTTGCGGCGTTACGGCTCTTGTAGTCAGGAGCATCAGGAGTAATACATACTGTGATTTCTTTTAATATCAAAATGCACCTGTCAAGAGACACGCTCACAACGCCCACTTTAAACTCAAGGCTGTTATAAAGTGAAAATGTGAGCTGCATGGGAGCAGTGGATGAGAGAAGGAGAACACACATTCACCAAGACAGGGAGACAGCGCCGAGCGACTTACGCCACGATCTGCCAACAGATCGTGGACGCCCGGGCTCAGGATCAGTATCAACTGTGGATCGAGCTTTCACCAAGACCAGAATCATCACTGAACTGCCAGGGAACAGTAACCACACTGACTCGGATCATGACAAGAGGGATGTGGACGTGCTGGACGCCGTAATCGCCCAACAGTTTGAACAATTATGACTTATTGTGAATACACTAACAAGACAAGCGTCTCAGATAGGATTTTTTTTACAAGTTACAATTGAACAAAGTTGAGAGTTATTGTGAACGCGTTAAATAAAGTTTGACTGACTTATCTAACTGTTGTGTTTTGTTTAATGCGCCTTATAGTCCGGTGCAGTTTATATGTGAAAAAAGTTTGAAAATAGACCATTCAATGACTTATAATCCAGAGCGCCCTATAGTGCGGAAAATATGGTAATTAAGGAAAATTGTTCTGTACTCGGCCCATGTGAGTCAGTATAGTCACATTTTCTTTGTGTTTTGGTCATTTTTAAGCAGCTTTTCTGTATTTTACCGAAACAAATCGCAACCAGTGCCTCTGTTTACTGTTGGCAGGGATCAAACTGGTCAAAAATAGGGACACCTGGGACATTTCTTGTATAAAACTGGGACAAATCGCTGGTTTTGGATAAATCCGCTGGGACAGGGGACACGGGGCTCAAAACTGGGACTGTCCTGGGAACATAGGGACGTCTGGTCACCCTAGTTTATATAAATGGACAAAGCTAACCTGCCGCCGTGTTCCAAATACAGTATGTTCCTTCACATTATCCAAAGAATACTATTTCTTGTCAAGTATTTCATCAGCTTTATAATTATCTAAGTAAACTTAAAGGTTTTTTTCTGTCACATGCTTATTTCTATGGATATGTCATTGCTCTGCCTGGAATGTTCTACAGTATGACATTAAACAGCTCTACCTTACATTTATTCAACTACAGATGATTTTACTGCCCAAAAATACCTAGAAATTAGAACCCCGCTTAAAACTTTTATTTCGAAATGCAGTCTTAGTGACAAATGTTGGAGGTATTGTGGATTTGTGGGCGACCAGACTCACATATTTTGGAACTGCCCCAATATAAAACGTTTCTGGATTGATGTTAAAGATGTTCTACAAAATATATTGGCTGTGGACCTGTTGATGGACCCAAAGATCTTTTTGCTTGATACATTTCCTGACTGTCTCTCTCATGATCAGTGCTTTCTGCTGCATCTTCTTCTGATGACTGCAAGGAAAATGATCACTATCTACTGGCTGAAACCTGAAACACTAACCGTTGATCAGTGGATATCAAAAATCAGACAAGTTTATACAATGGAACTGTTAACGGCTCAACTACAGCTCAAGGTGCCGACTTTTGAAAAGAAGTGGAGCCCAATTATTGACTTTTTCAAATAAGACACGTATGCCCTAACATGCCTTATTTTTCATTTTTATTTTTTTTATTTTTATTCGTTTTTGCAATTTTTTTCTCTTTTTCTTCTTCTAGAGGGGGGAAAAAGTAAATATATAAATAGTTTGAAGGCCCAGTCTCAGGACACTGTTGATGTGAATTGATTTGTGGCAATAAAAGTTAAAAGAAAAAAAAATTAAAATTAATAGAAAAACTGGCAATCTGACTGTGAGCGGGGTCACCTCTCCACAGATCTGACTGGTGAAACTGTGAAACATCTCCATGGAAAAAAGTACTGGACGGACCCTCCACCAGAAAAGTTACAGAGTGCACCTTGCAGAGTACAGATGTCAGATATGGCCACATAAAAAAATGCAAGTTACTTACTTTGGCTCTGCGTTCCAATTATGAAGTGAATTATGAAATGAACATGGCTCCATCGACTCCCATCAACTTACACTGAAATATTGTCATCCCTCTCTCTGTAACTGCTGCTGTGAGCCTCGTCATTTTGGTCTTAAAATGTTCGTGTGTTCCCTGGTGTTTTTATTTCACAATTTTGTCAGGTTTTCGTATTAATTACATTGTACTTTGCTATGACATATTGGAAAGATAAATTCCCATGATCATGCTATATATTACAACAGAAATCTGCAGTATATAATCCCCCGTCTGTATAAAATAATATTAGCCTCTAGAGTGCTGTAAGGTCCTATATAACTGCCACCCTCGATGAGCTTCGTTTGACTGGAGTTGAACACTATGGGTGACGTGACACTCCCTCAGTCCATTTCTTTATACAGTCTGTGCTTTTTACCTTTTCTCCTTGTATTGTGTTGTGTTTTACAGCAGTGGGTTTGGGGTCGGAGTGAAGACGAGGCCCGTCACAGAGCCTCAGTCAAGTACGGAGTCACACCTGAAAGTATCTCACTGACACAAGGTGAGCGCTGTGGGCCTGTATCTCTGTGTGAGAGTTTGAATTATGAGGTTTTTTTTAGCTGAAACTGTGAACACCACCCTCTCAGTTCTTTCTACCACTCTCACCATGCTCCACTACAGGGAATAAACTGTGTGAGATTGTGTCAGACCTTTGCTGAAAGTGCCAGGTTAAACCAACTTCTACTAAAACACATCTGAAATCGTTATACATAAGATTTATATAACAACATTCTCACTCGTTTTCCCAATTTGGACATTTTTTAGGGCACACTAGCGAATTCCAGAACTGTTACCTAGAAAAACTCCTCTAACACACCCAGAAATTATTATTTACAAATATGAGTTACAAATATAAAAAAACACCTTTATTTTGTTGAAATCATGTTTAAACTATCAGGAAAAAAAGTTTCTAGTGTGTGCATTGTGCTGAACATTTGGATGGGATTCTATCAGTGTTGTTGTTTTTTACTCTCTAATTGCTGTCATTTTTTATTATTATTATTATTTTTATTTTTTTTGTTGCAAATTTATCATTTATATTTACAATAGCACACACTTTAACTTTGATTCTGAGTGAACAATGTGGGTTGGACTAAAACTGGTGTCTCTCTGTTGCCATCAAAATACTTTCTGAAATGCATAGGTTATGAATTTCAGTTTACATCTTTTTCTCATTTTCTGCATTTAATAATTCAGAGCATGTGGCTTAAAACCAAACTTTCTGTAGGTGACATGTCACTTGCATGACTCCATGGAAATAGAAAATTAAAACCATACTCCAGAACATTCTGTAAGGACGCTTGTACTAAAAACATTCTTATATTTTAGGCTTTAACCAAAATAAACGTTTAAAAATGAATTTAATTAATTAAACCAGTCACTTCCAGTTAAAGCAGACCTGGGCATTATCCAGCTCCTCGGCCACACACGGTCCTTTGGTCGACTCTGACTGGCCCATTTAAGCTCATTTGGAATTACAAAATAAACATATTTTATAATTTTACCTCATGCATGGACTAAAGCTGCATTGCTTTTAGTTTAGAGGTGTTTTTTAAATGACGTATTTGTTCGGCGGTTTCATTTTTTCATTGCTTAGTCACAACATAAACTCTTACCAGTCTGAGCAGCTTGTCAAAACAATAATATTTACTGCTTTTTATAAAGAAATACAATATTATGCAGAATTCAGTTAAGCATTTTGGCCCGGCCCTTCACAATATTTTCTGTTTCTCATGTGGCCCCATGAAAAAAATAATTGCCCACCCCTGAGTTAAACAGTGGACTAGGTCACAATATTTACTATATCAACTTATAATTCAGTATATGACAGCTGGAACTGTATATTTTGGGGCTCTACTTATTGGGTATACATTTTCTTTGTGATAGTTGGCAGATTTTTTCAATTTTTATATAATAAGGTAAGTTTTGAGCTGTACAGGGTAGAATAAATGACTTCTATGGCTATTTATTATTAGTTCATTCTGTTATTTATTTCTTGCAGCTCATGTGATTTTATGATACTGTCTTTTTAAAACTGGTTTACTGGGATTTTCCTGCTTTATGTCAGTGGAATGAAATGTTTTCTGTATTATCATTTATCACAATATTTCTCTGTAGCGATATACTGTGTAGAGTTTGAACATTTGTTATTGTGACAGGCCAATGTTTGACTTGATTTCGTTTGTTGTGTTTAGATCCTGATGTTTTGGACACTTGGTTTTCCTCTGGGCTCTTCCCCTTCGCGATGCTGGGCTGGCCTCAACAGGTACGGTCCTATATTTCATCCATGCATGTTTGAGTAATGTAGCGATCTCTCCTGATAATTGTACTTATTTTCCACTGTAGATTGACATAAGATTGTTATTATTATTAGTAATGTGTTAAATAAAGTTTTTTTAGTAATTAGAGATGGGACAAAATTGCCACAAGACCGTGCACACATGAGGAAAATGATCTCGTGAGATTTTTTTCCACATAGTTTTACATTTGCGTTGGATTAAAAAGCTTAATTTTGCAGAATACCTCCGCTTGGGAAGCTGTAATAACGAAAAGCAGTGCTACAATGACTCCAAAACTGCAAAATTAAACACATAAAAACATTTTGGAGCCAGAATCGTGAACTGAATGGCACAATTTATGTTTTAAAAATGGGAAAATCTCGTCTTTTCTCGTTCTCGTTTTCGTGAGTCGAATCTCGTGACATGTCTCGTCACGTCGCATCACTATTAGTAACACGTATTGTTATAAAAAGTTGTACGTTTCTCCCCAGACTAAAGACCTGGAGCAGTTCTATCCAAACTCGCTGCTGGAGACGGGCAGTGATCTGATCTTCTTCTGGGTGGCACGCATGGTGATGTTGGGCACTGAGCTCACCGGGCAGCTGCCGTTCAAACAGGTAAAATACCACACACAACAATACAACTTCATTAAAACCAGACCTGTGTTTTTTTTCATTCACATTCATTCATACATACATGCTCCAAAGCTCAAAATGCTCAAAATGCTTTATTTCCTTGAGTGTGTGTGTGTGTGTGCGTGTGTGTTTGTGTGTCTGTCTGTGTCTTTTTTGTATTTGTGTGTTTATGTGTTTGAGTGTCTGTGTTTTTTGTGTATTTGTGTGTTTGCGTATGTGTGTGTGTTTGTGTATGTCTGTGTGTGTCTTTTGTGTATTTGTATGTTTTTGTGTGTATGTATGTGTGTATGTCTGTGTCTTTTGTGTGTTTATGTGTTTGTTTGTGTGTGTGTGTGTGTGTGTCTGTGTGTATTTTTGTTTGTGTATTTGTATATGTGTGTATGTGTTTGTGTGTTTGTATTTGTGTGTGTCTTTCATATATTTGTGTGTTTATATGCGTGTATATGTGTGTGTCTTTTGTGTATTTGTGTGTGCATGCCTGTGTCTTTTGTGTATTTGTGTGTATATGTATGTTTCTTTTGTGCATTTGTGTGTATGTGTGTGTTTGTGTGTGTATATATGTGTGTCTTTTGTGTATGTGTATGTGTGTGTCTTTTGTGTATTTGTGTGTGTCTTTAGTGTATTTGTGTGTATATCTGTGTGTCTTTTGTGTATTTGTACATGTATGTGTGTGTCTTTTGTGTATTTGTGTGTATGTGTGTGTATTGTGTGTATTTGTGTGTATTTGTGTGTATATCTGTGTGTCTTTTGTGTATTTGTGTGTATATCTGTGTGTCTTTTGTGTATTTGTACATGTATGTGTGTGTATTTGTGTGTATTTGTGTGTATATGTGTGTGTATGTGTGTGTCTTTTGTGTATTTGTGTGTATATCTGTGTGTCTTTTGTGTATTTGTGTGTATATCTGTGTGTCTTTTGTGTATTTTGTGTATTTGTGTTTGTGTGTATTTTGTGTCTGTATTTGTGTGTTGTGTGTATGTGTGTGTCTTTTGTGTATTTTGTATATCTGTGTTTTGTGTATTTGTGTGTATATCTGTGTGTCTTTTGTGTATTTGTGTGTATATCTGTGTGTCTTTTGTGTATTTGTGTGTATATCTGTGTGTCTTTTGTGTATTTGTATATTCATGTACGTGTGTATATTTTCGTGTCTGGTCCCAGGTCCTGCTCCACTCGCTGGTCCGGGACAAACACGGGCGGAAAATGAGTAAATCTCTGGGAAACGTTATTGACCCGCTGGACGTCATCCACGGCTCGTCTCTGGAGGTGAGGAAAACAAACGCACCCCAGCTGAAACAACACGACTCCGGCCCGACTTTTCACCGGGCACCGCGACACCGACAACAACACAACCACGAAACACGCGGAGGAGACAGAAAATGTTGTTAATAAGAGGTTTTAGTGAGAAGAAACATCATAATTTAACAATTTTTTATGATTTAAGACACTAAATAAACAATAAAATCCAATAAAATAAACAATTAAAGAGAGTATTTTACTTCTATAGGGGATTAACTGCTTAAAATCCTACCCACTTTATTCACTTTGAAGCCGTTTTCTGTAAAGTGCCAGTGGAAGTTCTCTTAAAGAAGGAGTTCTCAAACTGTGAGTGAGGGTCCAAGTGCAGTTTTCTTGGTTTATTTTATGGTTAAATTAACATTAATCTGATAAAATGGAGATAGATTTATAAAAACATTAATATAAATGTGCCAAAATAACTGTAAAATAGAAATAAATGTAGAGAATGACAAAGATGGTCTTGATTTGGTCTCAGTGGGCCGTGGTCCTGGTCTTGGTCTCTTGGTAGTTGTATTTTTCAAATGAATCGCTACCATTTACCTTCAGCTCAGTAGAGATTAGTAGGCAAATCCAGGCCTGAAGTGATCCAAAATGATTCTAGTGAAGGTGTATGGAGTTTAAAAGCACAGTGGGGCGCTTTCTGTATTACCACGTGACATCACAACGTGGAACAGAGTGTTTTCTGTTTGAGAGAAGAACAAAATACGCAGGGTTTGTGTGTTAAACATGTGTGAATGGAGCAAAACACAACTCCAGGTCTGTTTGTGACGACTAAACAACATTAACTAGTGTAAGTACCCTTTAAGCTGAAGCAGTGATTCGTAAAGATGTTTTCTCACTTACTTAAATGTGGAAATGTGGCTGGTTTATTATCTTTGTGTCCTTGAGCAACACATTTTACCATTAAGGCTGGTACTGACTGGCAGAATTATGGCACCCATGTCTGTGCCAAGCTGTGGGGGCAGAGGCAGCTTTTACCACAGAGTTTAGGGTGTGACGTGTGAATGATTCAGGCAATTAAAATGTCTTTAAGTGTCCGGTAAGCGCTATAGTGGACTCATGATTTAATTTAATGAGTGGTTATAGAGGGAGTGCTCGTAAAAGTAGCTGTACTAATAGTGAAAGCCGAGGTGGAAGGGTACAGACTGCAAAATACACATGTCAACAATTTGTATAAAGCTACTGAAATTAAAGTGCCCAGTATTATGCTATTTTTTGATCTAGGGTATGTTTTAATGTTTTTTCCTCGTCACAAACAGACCTGGAGTTGTGTTTTGTTTCATTCACACATGTTTACCACACAAACTCTGCATATTTAGGCTGAGTTCTTCTCTTAAAGGGCCCATCTCATGTAAAATCAACTTTTCAGAGCTTTCTACCTTCTAAGAGTGATGTGTGGGCCTTAATATGTCGTCGAAGTGGTTTTTAGATTGATTCGGCGTTTTTTTAAACAAATTGCAGCGTATTTCTTCCACCTTCCAACATGACAACGAACTAAAGCTGCTACAACGATGACGCGGCGGATACACCTATGACGCGTTTGACGTAGCAGAACGCACTTCGCACCCGCCTCCTTCCCCCGCTCCATCACCTCCACCCCACATCGACTGACAATTCCCACATAAACACCTAAACAAAAGCGACAGCATAAGCTCATTGTTCTACACTGCAGTGAACAGGATATAATAAGTTTATCTACTAGTGTTTATTAATACTTTACCAATCAGTAATGTTCAGCTGATGTGGACGCGGTGCTTGAGCTTCGTGCTCCTCAAAGTCCTCGTCCGATTCCGGGTCCAACACATGCGGCTGAACGCGCTGTATCTCCATGATGAATAAAAGTTTATTCCTGTCACTATCAGGGCGCACGTCTGTCTCCCCCTCCCTCCCCTGAGATGGCGGAGGAAGGGCGGCTCACTCAGAGTGTACGTCACGTTTGGAGGGCGGAGCCTGTGTTTTCTCAGGACGGGCGGGGGGAGGAGCAATAGTCGGACTTTCATAGTTCCTGGTCTGTGACTGACTCCAAGAAATCAGTAAGATTTCAGAACTATTGTGTAATGGATGTTCCAAAACCCAAATTATGCTTGTTTATGTGCAGAAGATACAATGTGAAAAGAATTATTTTACATGCGATAGGCCCTTTAAACTCCACACACCTTCACTAGAATCATTTGGATAATTTCAGCCCTGGAATTGCCAATCTACTGAACAAAAGGTAAAAGGAGCCGGTAAATTGAAAACTACCACTTGATGACATCACAAGGTGGAACAGAGCATTTTGAGATTTGCAGCTGTAGACTGACTAATAATAAAGTGTTACACAAACATGTGTGCATGAAACAAAACACAACCCCAGATCTGTTTTTGAGGAGAAAACAACATTATAACATGACTTAAAGCTCACAGTCAGGTTTGAGAACTTTTAAAGAAATCATAAGATTATTTTATTTATTTTAAACTCTATAGACATGACCTAACTATGTCACCAGATATGATTAATTACACAAACATTGGACATGATGGACAATTTATTTATGTTATAATTTGTGTGTTTTGGTCCTCAAGACTATTATCCAGTCAGAAAGCAGAATGAGCCTCGCATGACTCATTTGTGTTGCCAGTTTCAAAGCTGGAATCCATTTGGTTAAAACTTAAAATGCGTCTCTCTGATCTGAATGGTCACTACCTAAACCCCAGCATCTGCAGTCGATCCAGAATCAGTGCTAGTGCAGCCTGTGCAGCTTAGACAGGGAATTCTGGAGGTTCTGAGCTTCACATGAGACCTGAGCATAAACTGAGGATGAGAAACACTTGAATGTGTCTTTGTCTGCAGGTGAAGGATCTGGTAACACAGGTTCAGTTCTGATTGTGGAACCTTTTTAAGTCTACGTTTATATGATGACGGTCTGAACAGAAGACGCAAAAGTGGCGTCACGTCTTCACTTCAGACGAGTGTTTTCAGGAGTAAATCTGCGTGCATACGGTGACGCAGAAGTGTGTGGAATTCGATTGTGTATGCATGCCAGGTGACATGTTTGTTTCTGTGTACTGTATGTATGTGAGGTAAACGCGTACGCGACCTGAGCGCATCTGACCAGAGTTTTGCTTCTTGGGCAGTGTAGACGGAAACACTACGGCGGAGCCTGTTCAACTTTTCCACTCTGGAGGGTGGTTTCAGATTTTTGCATTTTTAAGCCCCAAAAACACCGTCACCGTCTAAATGAAAGGCACTTCTGATCAAATATTTTGTCAGTTTTATTCTCAAGCATTCTCGTGTACATGGGTCCTAAACGTGTGAGAGCTCTGGTTATTGTACATTTAAAATACGTCAGTGAAACCAATTTAAGTCCAAGAAGTGACTCTGCATGTTTACTTTAAAATTAATAAGAGATATAGTGTTTATGTATTATTTAAAAAGACTAGAATATGCAGTTACAATGGGAGTTGGAAAAGAGATTTCTGCAGCAGCTGTTTGTAATCTTAGACTGAACAAATCCAAACATGAATATACCATTATTGTATTACTCACACTGTTCCCACAGTGAATCCTCATGGGTCTGTGTTCACTCTGCTGTGCAGTCTGCTGTACAACTGTAAAACTGTATGACTGTGTCTCTGTGTCTCTCTCAGAGCCTGCAGCAGAAGGTCAGGGCCGGAAACCTGGATCCCCGGGAGCAGCTGGTTGCCATGGAAGCACAGGTCAGCCCTCCTGCCTCGCAAACGCACACGTACACACACAGACACACACACACAACCACAGACACGTACACACACAGACAGACACACACAACCACAGACACGTATACACACAGACACACACACAAGCATACACACACATACAGTTCAGTGCTCTCCCCTCTCTCTCTCTCTCTCTCTAAACCTCCCTCTGTTCCTCAGACCAAAGACTTCCCAAAGGGGATTCCTCCGTGTGGGACAGACGCTCTGCGCTGGGCCCTCTGCTCCCACAGGACCCAGGGTAAGGCTCATGTCACTGTGCACGCATGATCTGTGGTAGATTACACTTCTAGGAGTTAAGATATGTGCTTTTGACAGCAGTTCACCTGTCAAAACGGTGGGTGATATTGACAAAAATGTGTGTCTAAATGTTTCCAACATTGTCTAAATGTCAGTCCAACAGAAATGTGCTTAAACTTACCATAAACACGACCCATCTGTGTCTCCAGATATGATATGTTCAAATTAAATATCACTTTTACAGATAAAAACTATAATGCTGACTTATTTTTAGTTATAAAACACAATTATCCAATCAGAAAACCAGAAAGAGTTGGTTTAAAGTTGGTATAAAATGCTTCTCTCTTATCTAAATGGTCACCACCTAAACTCCAGCGCCTGCAGCCTGTCATGAATCGTGTTCAGCCTTTGCAGCTCCGTTCTAAGCTTTCACATGAAGCTGCTCAGGTTCAGCTGTGATTTTAGGACTTTTTTTTAAACATTAAGAGCTCATGTTACACACACAGTTCTTTTAAGTATCACGCAAATGTGAAATTACAAAAATGACCCTTAGTGCAGTGATATGACTTTATGTTCTCATTTGGGACACATGTGTTTGTTATTGTTTGCTTTTTGGAGCCCATTAGTCTTTGTATATCTTCAAAACTACATCCCCAATATCACTTTTTTTTTGTGCTCTTCTCTTGCTCTGCTCTTCTCAGCTTTGTGACACTGACAGTCGCCTTTTGTGTGCGCTCTAATCTATGGACACCTGTGTACATTTAACATTCTCCAGGCTCAGCCACAGCAGCGTTCTTTCTTTACGCCTCTTTAAGTGGAAGTGCCCAGACGTATCACCTTTCCCTGGGAACAAATGCTCCGAGCTCCGATAGAAACGCCCAATGCTAATCTGTACCTAAAGTTCAGTGAATACAGAACGTACCTGCTCTGGAAAGACACCAACTCGGCCTGTCACAATAATGATACTATGATAAGAGTTGAGCTTTAGATGGTTGAATAAATAACTTTTATGATTTATTATGTAAACAAAATGACTGAACAGGACTAGTTCAGTTTAAACAGCTTTGCAGTGGTCCAAAGTTAGTTTCCAAGTTTATAAACACTTTTCACAACTTTGAGAGACCACGAACAGAGCTTGCATCTTCGTAAGGCTAAAAACCACTAGCATGCTAACTGCGCATTTCCTGCATCTTAGAAAATACATTATAATCAGATGCAGACAGTACACAGCAAACCTATTTTGACATCAAGAGCTGATTATACCGTATTTTCCGCACTATTAGGTGCTCTGGATTATAAGACGCACTGTCATTAAATGGTCTATCTTCGAACTTTTTTCACAAATAAACCGCACCGGACTTTAAAGGAAACACAACAGTTGGATGGGTGAGTGGTTTTGTTTGTTTGTGTCGTTCACGGTGACTCTGGGCTTTGTTCAGTTGTGGCGTGTAGGGAGGGTGCTGTCTGGGACCAACGGATTGTCGGCGTGTTCGCAGTGACTCAGTTGTTCAGTCGTGTCTAGAAGTAGCACATTGCACTCGCTTTTTTGGTTCGTTCCTCCATTCCGTTCCTCGTCGGTGTGGAGTGATGAGTGTGTCTGTGGGTGTGTTTCGCTGTGCGATCGCTGCCTGCTCCGTGTGTGTTTGTGTGTTCTGTTGTGCTGGGACACCTGAGTGGATTCGTGTATAAGGCGCTCTGGATTGTGTGGCGCGCGGTCATTTTTTGATGGGGTTAGAGGCTTAAGAGTGCGTCTAATAGCCCGGAAAATATGGCACAATGTACACGACCAGTCAGAAGTTTGGACACTTATTCATTTATTTATTTCTTCTTTATTTCTGTTTATTTACACTGTAGATTCTCAGTGAAACACTATGAAACTATGAAAAGATTATGTCAAAATAACTCAGAACTTGTTGAGTGTTAGGTTTTATATTTTTAAAACTAGCCCTTTGCTTTGAACCATGCTTTGCACTTTTGGTGTTTCTTGACTCTGACAAGGCAGAGCTGTGAAGTGAAAACCATTTCATGTATATTCACCATGAAGCTCAGTGAAGAAAGGCCAAAGGCTCACAGCGCTGTCAACGAAGCAAAGGGTGGCTACTCTGAGCATTTGAATGAAAAATATAAACAATATTTTGTTAATATTTTGTTGAGTTTAACTTGCATATCTTGCATCACATATTTGAGGTCTTCTGTGTGTAAATAAAATGTAGAAACTCAACTTTTCTGGTAGAGGCTCCATCAGACACTTTTCTCTGTGGCAGACGTGTCAAACTCAAATTTGACCTGCGATATAATTATATTTGGCCTGCGAGATCATATCAAATATGTATAGAGCTGCCCGCTGGCTACAGAAAGACTATGGAGACATTATTTATTTTAAACTGTGTTATTATTTTATATTGTGCTTGTTCTGGATTCAGTGTTTAAGCAAATTTATTATTAAACATTTATTTGAATAAGAAAAGGTTTAACATTACATATCTCAAACAAAGAAAAAACATGCAGATATTGTTGAAATTTTTTTGTAAATATTTAGTTTGGCCCACAACTTTGTCAGTTTATAATTTTGGCCTCTGTGAATTTGAGTTTGACACACCTGCTCTATGGAGATGTTATCGCTTTGTCAGGAAAGTTTCACAGTATGGCATTAAACCTTTCCATCTTCATGGAGACCAAACCAGACCAAGTTACAGGTCACATCTGTGGCGAGGCGATGCCGCTCACAGTCAGAATGTTTTTCTACGTATTTTGAGCTATAAAACCACCTGTAATTCAATAAATGTAAGGTAGAGCTTTTTAAAGTCATACTGTGGAACATTCCAGGCAGAGCAATGACATATAGCAAGAATGTAGACATAGAGACGAGCAGGTAGGAAACCCCACACCAGAAAACCTTTTAAGTTCGAGGTTTTCCTGTCATTCCTGGCTGGATCTTACATATTTTGTTGGGAAATCACTCAGGTGGAAACTCTTTTGACGCTTATTTCCAAATTATCTATTACAAACAGTTTAAATTATCCTGCTCAAGTGGATTGTAACATACATTATCCTGTAAAGTTCCTGTTGGCTTATTTTCAGGTTATTTATTTTCACATATTGAAGACAGATCACATTCATTCTTTATTGTTTATTGACCATGGCTACATCCTTCTGGCAGACGACTGTCCCAAGGAAACATCAGGAAAAAATGTTGCACAGTACAAAAAACGTAGACAAATAAAGTACCTTGTTTCTTTCAGCTTCTTATAAGCAGCAGTGCATCAAACCTACAAACAAAAAGTTATATAGTAGGGGTGTAATGATATCCAAGTCTCACAATACGATATCGTCACTGTATGAAGTTCATAGTACGATATTTATTTTGATATTGTGGGAAAGCTCACGATATGGTGGGGAGACTCACGATTAGAGATGTAGCAATATCAAAATCTCTCGGTACGATATTTTCACGATATTTTGTAGAGGTTAAACAACTAAAACTGTGAATATGCAACTTTTTCCTCTTAAAACGCCTTGACAAGATTTAATCCAAAGAACTAAGACTTAAAAGTGTTAGAACTGTTATTTCTTCTTGTAGTCTGCACTGAAATGGAGTAAAGGATCATGGTCTATGTAGTTCCCTCTGTCTTTTTTTGCACCATAACTCTTAATTTAAGCAAAGAGACTTGTAATTCATTATATTGTGATGGTCCACGATATTATTGTGAGAACTTTGACGATATGATATCACGATATTTCCGTTACTGTTACACCTCTATTACACAGTGCATGTTTAAAGAAAAAACATAAAAAAGGGTGTGTCCAAACTCTTGACTGTAGTGCCTCTGTACTTGGACTTTTTTATTCAAATACATGAGAGACCATCTTCAGAGTCCAGTTGTTGATTTAAAAACACATCTGTACATGACAGTAATTCCTCCTCCTCCTCCTCCTTTGCTCTGTGCTGTTGTGTGTTTCCAGGGGAGGACATAAACCTGTCCATGGCCCAGGTCGTGAGCTCCAGACACTTCTGTAATAAAATGTGGCAGACGGTGAGGTTCGCTCTGGGGGTTCTGGCCAACGGCACCGCAGTGGAAACTCTGGAAAAGGTAAAGCAAATAAAACAAAGTCTGTTCTCTCATCTACGGCGGGTTTAATGGCCAAATGGAGTGAAAATTACTTTTTTTAATAAAAACATTTTAGGACCATTTTGGGAAACTGTAATAATGAATAATAATGGATTAGTTTTATGTCGCACGTTCCCAGACAACTTTCTAACAACTCTGTGCTTTATGCGTTCACTCATTCATTGTTGGTTAGACTCTATTGTAGCCACAGCTGTCCTGGGGCAGACTGCGGGCGCTCTGGACTTACCTGGGGTCTGTATGGGGCGCTCTGGACTCACCTGGGGTCTGTATGGGGAGCTCTGGACTCACCTGGGGTGCGTGCGGTCTCTCTGGACTCACCTGGGGTCTGTATGGGGCGCGCTGGACTCATCTGGGGTCTGTATGGGGCGCTCTGGACTCACCTGGGGTCTGTATGGGGCGCTCTGGACTCACCTGGGGTCTGTATGGGGCGCTCTGGACTCACCTGGGGTGCGTGCGGGCTCTCTGGACTCACCTGGGGTCTGTATGGGACGCTCTGGACTCACCTGGGGTCTGTGTGGGGCTCTCTGGACTCACCTGGGGTCCGTATGGGGCGCTCTGGACTCACCTGGGGTCTGTGTGGGGCTCTCTGGACTCACCTGGGGTCTGTATGGGACGCTCTGGACTCACCTGGGGTCTGTGTGGGGCTCTCTGGACTCACCTGGGGTCTGTATGGGGCGCTCTGGACTCACCTGGGGTGCGTGCGGGCGCTCTGGACTCACCTGGGGTCTGTATGGGGCGTTCTGGACTCACCTGGGGTGCGTGCGGGCGCTCTGGACTCACCTGGGGTTTGTATGTGGCGCTCTGGACTCACCTGGGGTGCGTGCGGGCGCTCTGGACTCACCTGGGGTCTGTATGGGGCGCTCTGGACTCACCTGGGGTCTGTATGTGGCGCTCTGGACTCACCTGGGGTGCGTGCGGGCGCTCTGGACTCACCTGGGTCTGTATGGGGCGCTCTGGACTCACCTGGGGTCTGTATGGGGCGCTCTGGACTCACCTGGGGTGTGTGATTTAAGCTTTTTGGGTGTCTTGAAAGGCGCTCTATAAACGATCAATGAATTAAGCTCTGTTCACATGGGATTAGTTTTACCTGTGGACATTTGTTGAGTTGTAATAATTGCGGAGGATCCCTGAGATCTTAATCCCAATCCAATTCAATCCAATCCACTTTATTTCTACAGCCCATTTCACAAGCAAACAGTTTCCAAAGTGCTCCAAAAAATACATAATAAGAACAATAATAAAATGATAAAATAAACTACTAAAATAATCATACTAGTCTTAAAATAATAAAACCAGTAAAATAAAATAAGAACAAAATGATAGAATTGCAATATATAAATAAAACCAATAAAAATACATTAAAAATAATTTTAAAAAAAACACACAACTCACGCGGTGTTAAAAGCCAGAGAATAAGTGTATCCCGTATGAATGCGCCATGTCTGTAATTTGTAAATATTCTACCACAAATTACCTAGTATATTTCACCAAACACAGACTTCCAGTGATAACACTAGTCCCGTGTCAATCTGCATCTCAGTGTTTGTTGTTGTAATTGTGTCTTTTTCATCTCTTTCTTTGCTTTCCATGTTCTCTTCTCTTTGAATCTCTGTGTCCGTGTCAGTAAAATAGAGTCATTTACGGACTTTGTTTATCCCGTGTAAATGCGCTGCAAGTAACACAAAGGAGGGGCGGTAATTTGTAAATTACCAGACATCCCCAGGTTGTATTTATCCCGCGCGAATAAGGCTTTAGTCACACATCATAAACGGCAATGTGGGCGAAGTGTTTTGCCTAAGGACCTAACAAACCTTTTTGACATTGTTGACGTACAGTTAGCGCCGTTAGTGTTTCTTGTGTACGGCACAAATACGTTCAAAACAAAAGGAGGGGCTGAGCGCATTGTACTGCAGAGAAACAGCCAATTTTCACTTTTTACTGCATTATATTTTGCCAAAAATATTCAAACAGTAAATCCACAATGCTGAATTCTTAAACTGCCCCCTCGACTATCGAACCAGTTCACTTTCTGTTGAAAAATTGTCCCCTCTCTCTGTAACTGCTGCTGTTGGGCTCCACATTTTGGACTTCAGCTGTTCGTATTAACCAGGTGTACATGATCCTGGTGTTTTTATTTCACTATTTTGTCAGAAAATCGAGCAGTTTAACAATATTCATTTTAACTGCCCTTCATTTGGCCAATAGAATGCTGTGATGACAGCTGAAACCCAGCACTTTGGATTTAAAATGTCCCAAACACAATGTAATAATCCTCAAGTGTGATAGATTAGAACGATTTAACAGACACAATCACAATATGTCAACTTTAAAGGTCCCATATTACGCTATTTTATTGTTCTAATGTTGTTTCTTCATCGCAAACAGACCTGGAATTGTGTTTTGTTACATTCACACATGTTTAATTCACAAACTCTGAATATTTAGGCTGAGTTCTTCTCAAACTGAAAACGCTCTTTTCCACCTTGTGATGTCATGTCGTACTACAGGAAGTGCTTCATACACCTTCACTCGAACTAAACCAGGACTAGACCAGGACTGGGTCTCAACTAGACCTGTAATGATAACAGATTTTGCTGGACAATTAATTGACCAAGAATTGATTGCGATAATGATCATATCGAAATTATAAGACCATTTTCAACAAATATAATGACCATGGAATAAAAATGCAACTAGACCCTTTCAATGATTAGTAAACTTTACTTTCTAAAGAACATTTAACACAAAAATTTCAAGACAAGAAAAATCAATAGCCCTAAATAAGATAGACTGGCTTAGAGCAAGGACTTGTTAACAAAAATGCACTTGAATAAACCATTGTTGAACCAAACATAACCAAAACATTATGGATTATTAAGTCTCTGTAACAAAATTGCCCTTAAAAGTTATTTTAGTCACTGACTTTCATTGGCATATTGTGTCTCGTCTCTCTGTGACTGCTGCTGTGGCCTCGTCATTTTGGTCTTGAAGTGTTCGTATTAACCCGCTCTACATGATCCTGTTTCGCTCTGAGGGAGCCTCTGTCCTGTCTGGTAACGTGTCGGTGTCTTGTGGGATTTCAGCGGATTTTGGGCTTTCCCGGGGGCTAGGCTCGTTGTGTCTATCGGGTATGCGTTTATTGTCGACTGCTGGGGTTTGAGCCCCAGAGACGAGGAAAACAAACAAGCATGCAAATAGAATTTATTGCAGCTGGAAAAGTTATAAAGCTTGTTAAAAGTTATCGTTCGATTAATTGATTATCGTTACAAGACTGGGTCTCAGGTCTGTTCTGGAGCTGCAGTTTCTGTTTCTGAATTTTACTTTTGTAATTAAGACTTTTGCTCAGAAAGAATCATTTGGATCATTTCAGCCCTGGAATTGCTCTTCTCTATTGATCAAAAGGAACTATTAACGTGAAAATTACCACTTCATGACATCACAAGGTGGAACAGAGCATTTTGAGCTACATTTTGAGATGTAGACAGACTAATAATAGAGTTACTCAAACATGTGTGAATGAAACAAAACACAACTCCAGGTCTGTTTTTGAGGAGGTAACAACATTATAACTTGACTTAAAGCTCACAAGAGTCAATTTTAACATCACAAAATCACAAAAAACAAATATACATGGCCCTCTTCCAGAAAAGTTATACAGTGCGCCTTTAACATACAGTTCTGCATTGTTTACAAATTCTCCTAAAAATTTAATTCTACTTTATGTCATATAAAAAGTAAGTATTTTTTAAAGAATGTAGTAAAAATTATAAAAATACACATTGTTTGTTCCTAGATAGTGATAGTTTAGCTTTCTTGTTTAGCCTTTTAAAGCAGAACTCAGGAACACTTTACCTCATTAAAGTCTTTGTAAGTCAATTTTAACCTTATATAAAACCAGTGTTGTGTGTATAATGTGATGTTTCTTCCTCTCCCTGCGGGCGTGTAGCTGGCTCCTCTGGGCCGGATGGAGCGCTGGGTCCTGTCCAGACTCTACTCCACAGTGCGGCAGTGTGAGCAGAGCTTTGAGACGTACGAGCTGCACATTGTGACCTCAGCGCTGCACGCTTTCTGGGTCAACAGCCTGTGTGACGTGTACATGGTGAGTGCTGCTGTCACGAAGCTAAAAATTCAAACTCAATTTCAATACTAAAGAGAAGACTCAAAACTGATTCTGATACAACAGTTGCCACGTTTACATGAGAGCTTTAATTCCAAATAAAAATCATTTAATTCTGAATAAAAATTAATTCCGGATGAAGAAAAAAATTTACAGCGCTTCACTGGGTCTTAAAAGAGTAAAAAAAATAGCCGTACAGGTGCTCTACGAGGGTTAAAACGTGTTGGCGTCCCTTCATGTAATAAAGGACTTTTAATATATTGAGCCGAAGTGCCTCGGGTTTGTACCTTACCCATTTTTCCATTTTCCAGTAAGGGTAATTTTCTGTTCAAAAAAATTAATTCCACTTTAAAAAGCCCATGTAAACACTTAATTCCTAATGAAACGATTATAAGTAAGTGGGTGGTTTATTCCGATTTTAAAGCCGAATTAATTTATTCCTTGATCATGTAAACGTTGATTCTTCTTAAAAATAATTTTGGTTATTCGGTTCATGCTCGTTGGGTCGTCCTTCTGACGTGATCCGGACTGATCCGGCTCCACCAGTCCTGACTTCGGACTTTCCTCCACGTCTCTTTGGATTTGCGAGCGGGATGTGGGAGTGGGCTGAGGTAGAGCAGCCGTTGATTCAGTTCCCTTCTTCCCTTCTCCTCCTCAGCTGACAGACAAACAGTAAACGTACTGTGCACCATTTTCATTGAACATTTTCAAAAAAAAAAAAAAAAATGCACCGGACTTTAAACGAAACACAACAGTTGGATGGGTTAGTGGTTTTGTTTGTTTGTGGCGTTCACGGTGACTTTGTTCAGTTGTGGCGTGTAGGGAGGGTGCTGTCTGGGACCGCTGGATTGTCGGCGTGTTCGCAGTGACTCAGTTGCTCAGTCGTGTCTAGAAGTGGCACATTGCACTCGCTTTTTCAGTTCGTTCCTCCGTTCCGTTCCTCGTCGGCGTGGAGTGATGAGTGTGTCTGTGGGTGTTTTTCGCTGTGCGGTCGCTGTCTGCTCCGTGTGTGTTTGCGGCTTTGTAGTTTACTGAAGTCGTGCTGGGACACCCGAGTGGATTCGTGTATAGGGCGCTCTGGATTGTGGGGTGCGCAGTCATTTTTTGATGGGGTTGGAGACTTATGAGCACACGCCCTATAGCCCGGAAAATACAGTAAATACGTTCGTGTCTCTGTCCAATCAGAACCCTTCCCTACCCCGAGACCCTGAGCCAAATTAAATAAAGACGATTTAACCTGTTTTCCACGTAAACCTCAATTCGGAATTATTATTTCCATGTAAACTCGAAGCAGAATATTTTAATTCCGAACAATTAATTTTGAATTAAAAAACATCATGTAAACGTGGCCAATGGTAGTTAAAAACACCCTTTCTTTAGACAATAGAAAGTGGTTTTCAACATTAAATGGTAGAACTTTCTTTTTTGTTCCCATGTGGTCTTATTTCTTTGTAATCCCTCAGTGGTCCAGGTAGGTTCCATAGTGGTCTGGGTCTAAACCTGGTCTAAACCAGGTCCATTGGCGTATACTAGTCTATGTGCTCTTATACTTGTTCTGATACAGCTCAACTTCATTCTAAAACTATTCAGGAAAGGCTCATTTCTGTCCTGCACTGCAAATTTCTTTGATGTGGCCAAGATTTTAAAACTTATATCTGGTTATTCATCTTGTTTTCAGATTTATTATCTACTTAATAGTTCTGAGATGCTTAATTCTAGCCTAGAGGCACTTTATTTTAAGATAAATTGTCAAGTGAAATTATTTTGCTGCATGGACAGACAATTTCACTACTTTTAAGTCATTTTCTGATAGATTTAAGTGTTTATATCTTTTTTTGCAGTGTGTCAGTGGGACTTTTTAGTATTAATACCTGCTCAAATGAGTATTTAGTTTTGATACTAGTCGAATTTTGTATTGATTAGTTACAGATTTATTTTTACTTTTGACAGCTCTATTCTCCAGTGGGTTTGTATGGGCTAAAAACGTGTAAGTTCCTCATGAAAAACATAACTGGAGTTGTGTTTTGTTTCATTCACACATTTTTATTTATTTTTTTAACATCTCAAAACACTCTGTTCCACCTTGTGATGTCATGCCATGTAGTAGTTTTCAAGTTAATAGCTACTTTTTACTTTAATTTCTACATTTATTTAGTAGAAATTGGCAATTCCAGGGCTGAAATCATCCAAACGATTCTAGTGAAGGTGTGTGGAGTTTAAAAACACAGTGGAGCACTTCTTGTATCACCACATGACATCACAAGGTGGACTATATGAGAGAGGAACTGCAGGGTTTGTGCGTTAAACATGTGTGAATGAAATAAAATACAACTCCAAGTCTGTTTGTGACAAAAAATATTATAACATACATCAGAAAATAGCGTAACGTGGGCCCCTTTTTAAACTGTAAACTGCGTATTTTTGAACAATGGTGCTTTGTAGCCATATTTTACCAGCCGAGCCCTTGTTTGGCTGCGCTGTAAGAACACAATGTCCTCTGTTTTGTGGATAACGTGGGCCAGATGTTGTCTATTAAACTGTTCCAGGAAGGATAAGTTCTTCTTTATTGAGTCATGGCATCAAGGTGGAAGTGAATATTTGTATTATCAGCAATATGTGACCTCAGAGTCTACAGTAACAGCGCTGCACATGCATATTTTAAAGGTGCATTGTGTAACTTTTCTGGTGGAGGGTCCATCAGATGCTTTTCTCCATGGAAATTTTTCATTCATTGCTTTGTCTGGAATGTTTTACAGTATGGTCAGGATGTCTGTTTTTTTGTTGTTGTTGTTGTTTGTTGTAGGTATTTTGAGCGATAAAACCACCTGTGACTGAATAAATGTAACGTAGAGCTGTTTAATGTCACACTGTGGAACATTCCAGGCAGAGCAACGACATCTCAACAGAAACAAGCAGATGATGTTACACAGTGCATCTTTATGTATTTGAGCAGAATGTGTCTTGCCCCAGTACAGATATATTGTAGAGACATTTTTCTTGTATATTTATTTAATTATGTTTTTGAAATTATTATTATTAGTAGTAGTAGTAGTAGTAGTAGTAGTAGTAGTAGTAGTAGTAGTAGTAGTAGTAGTAGTAGTAGTAGTAGTCGTTGTAGTAGTAGTAGTAGTAGTCGTTGTAGTAGTAGTAGTAGTAGTCGTGTAGTAGTAGTAGTAGTAGTAGTAGTAGTAGTAGTAGTAGTAGTAGTAGTAGTAGTAGTAGTAGTAGTAGTAGTAGTAGTAGTAGTAGTAGTAGTAGTAGTAGTAGTCTTTGTTGTAGTAGTTGCTGTAGTAGTTGTAGCTGCAGTTGTAGTCGTTGTAGTGGTAGTAGTAGTAGTAGTTGTTGTTGTAGTAGCTGCTGTAGTATTTGCTGTAGTAGTCATTGTAGTAGTCGTTGTAGTAGTCGTCGTTGTAGTCGTCGTTGTAGTCGTCGTTGTAGTCGTCGTTGTAGTATTTGCTGTTGTTGTAGTAGTTGTAGTTGTTGTTGTTGTTGTTGTAGTAGTTGTTGTAGTTGTATTAGTATTAGTATTAGTATTATTTATTTATTTGTCTTGTCTGCTTTAACCACAAACAGAACCTGGCAAGTAATCTGTTAAACCATTAAATAAAAGCTTGCCCAGCTTCTTTTGGGTGTCCATGTTTTTTTTTTCCAGTTTTCACATATTGGCATACATAATATAGGTTAAATGCCTGTACATACAATTGAATTCACTGAAATTGAAAGAAAAAAAATGTAAAAGCAGCTCTTGAGGTCAGAGTAGGTCAAACTGTGTTCTGTTTGTTTCTGATTAGAAAGTGTCACCAGGAAATAGATCAGGAAATGAACTGAAAGCATGTTCGTTGTTGCTCTCTTGTGTCTGAAAGTTGTGAAAATCTCTTATAAACTCATCACATTGAATAATTAGGATGCTCTGAATGCATAAAGTGAGGAAGAACTCTGGACCATTGCAAACTATTTAAAATGGACTAATTTCATGTTTTTAAGTGACATCAGAAATCAGGGACAGAGGGTTTAAACAATATTCACAGCTTCAGTGTCCCATGATCCAGATTTCAGATATTGCTATTTAAATTTTTATTATCTAAACATGAAAATTTCTACTGTCTATTCTATCTAAATATATACTTAAAAATACAGTGGCTACTAATTCACCCACAATCTAGTTTGCTTTTATATTGCATAAAAAGTGTATATTTTTAAAGGGCACATATTATGCTATTTTCTGATCTGTGTTATAGTGTAGTTTCCTCATCACAAACAGACCTGGAGTTGTGTTTTGTTTCATTCACACATGTTTAACGCACAAACCTTGTATATTTAGGCTGTTCTTCCCTCTCTTTTTTTTTTTTTTTTTACTTTTTTGTGCACAAAGCAGATGTCTCCAGAGGGAAAAATAATAATAATAATATTAATAATGAATTTAAATAAAGTTTTTGATGAGGTAACAATATTATAACAAGGCTTAAACCTCACAAGAGTCAATTTTGTGTAATATAGGACCTTTTATAAGACATTTTCCTCCTTTCCTTTCATATAAAACCAAGTACCCATAATGAATCCATCTATTTAGTTTACTATTGCTTTATTCTTCTCTGCTCTTGTGTTCCAGGAGTACATGAAGCCCCTATTGTCTCCGCACACAGAGGGCACAGAGGGACGCGTGGCCTGTAGCGTCCTGTTCCACTGCGTGTCCACATCTCTGGCCCTGATCAGTCCCTTCATGCCCTTCATCACAGAGGAGCTATGGCAGCGTCTCCAGCCTCACCAGCCTCTTCCTCCTGTTCCTCCCTCCTCCAGCCTGTGCCTGCAGCCTTACCCCTGCTCACAACAACTGGTACCACACAAGCGATACAACACATGAGCAGACCATAGCTTGCTTCCCATTTCTCTTTCCTCGCTTCTTTCTCCTTGATTCCTCTCCTCGATTCTGCGGGAAATGGGTGAGGGAGTCCTGCCCACAGAGGAGACAGAGCGAGGATCTAAACTCCTCACTCAGACCAATAAAGTTTGATTCCTTTATCTGATGTCTGCTCCTGAAGCCTCCCTCAGGTTTACTCCTTCATTCTGTGGTTTTCTTTGCAATTCCACTTAATACAACACATTTGATTGACAGCTGAAAAATGAAGAATCGACGTGAGGAATCAAGGAGAAAGAAGTGAGGAAAGCGAAATGAGATGCGGCCTTTGACAAATGCTACACTACCAGTCAAAGGTTTGGGCTCACCGTCTCATTCAGTGTTTCTTTTTTTCTTTTTTCTTACTGCTTTCTACATTTTATATACAAACAGAAGACGTGTAATATATGAAGCAAGATATATGTAATTATTTAGGAAAGAAAAAAAGTTAAACAACTTTTTCGACAAAGCAAAGTGTGGCTGTTTTGAGGATTTGGTTATAAAATATATACGCAGAATATTTAGTAGAGTTATTTTTATTTTTCTCTGTACATCTTGCCTCATATATTTATGTTTTCTGTGTGTAAATCAAATGCAGAAAGTAGTAAATATATAGAAAAGAAATAAAATTGAAATTAAATGAGAGAGTGTGTCAAAAATTTTGACTGGTAGTGTGAATAATCATTATTAAAGGTTTTTTATTACTCCTGTGTTAGCTGCTTTTAGCTGTGTTTAGAATGTTATGTCGTCAAAAAAAAAAAAGTTTTGAAGTTACTGAACTACTACCATCAGCATTTTGAACTGCTTTTGTCTACAGTACACTACACTAACCTTAAGTTGTTGCCCTTTAAAAAGTATTTTTGTTTTATTTTTTGTTCTGTTGAGAAAGTCTGCAATATCTTCTAATACGCCAAGAAGTAAAGAAGTTTCCAAAAGGTTAAAACAATTACTGTCGCTTCAAAGTTTGGCAAATCCAGGGCTGCAAACTATTCAAATGATTCTAGTGAAGGTGTATGAAGTTTAAAAACACAGAGGAGTATTATCTGTATTATTATCTAACAGAACAGAGTGTGTTCAGTTTGAGAGAAGAGCTCAGCCTAAATCTGCAGGGTTTGTGTGTTAAACATGTGTGAATGAAACAAAACCCAACTCCAGATGTGTTTATAATGAGGAAACTACATTAGAACATACAGAAAATATCGTAAGGGCATTACGGCAACATTTGATTTGAACATGTGACCTTGTGGACACAGATGCTCTTACTTTTGCTTATTTAAAACGTAAGAAAATGTAGAAACATGCATCTGGTTCATCTGTTGTAATAGCTTGCTCATATCAAATAAACAGTGTTGGGAGTAACGTGTTATAAAAGTAACAAATTACTGTAATGTGTTGCTTTTTGCTGTAACGCAGGAATGTTCGGCATTACAGGGAAAAAAAATTGTAATATTTTACTGTGTACAAATGTGAGTAACGCGCGTCACAATGCATTTCTAACCTGGATTGAAGTGGTGGGGTTTTCATTTTTCTTCATGCAAATTCACTAAAATCACCGTAGACCGTCAAGTGACCACAGGCAAAAGGACTGGAGCAGAACTCCACGCTCCACGGGGCGAACCGCAGCCGACGCCCGATTGTGCCTTGCATACACCCTGTCTGCAATGCACTTCCAAGTTCTAGTCAAAGATTAGTCCTGGTTTAGACCTGGTTTAGTTCTGGTTTAGACCTGGTTCTGCTCTGGTTCTGCTCTGGTTCTGTTCTGGCTTAGTTTGGTCTGGCTGGTTTAGTCCTGGTTTAGTCCTCGGTTCAGTCCTGGTTCAGTACTGGTTTAGTCCTGGTTTATTCCTGTTTCAGTTCTGTTTTAGTCCTGGTTCAGTCCAGGTTCAGCTCTGGTTCAGTTTTGGTTTAGTTCTGGTTTAATCCTTGTTCAGTCCATATAAAGCGCAAAAGTTCAGCATCTTTGCAGTTATTTTGGTGAGAGTAACTTAAAAGTGCTGCAATAGTGTAATGTTTTACATTTTAAACACAGTAATATTGTAATGTAACAAATTACTTTGAAATGGCAGAAACAAGTCACAAATAACACATTACAATTTTAAAGTAACTAAAGTAAATAGATAAATAAATAAATCTTACATCGTGCTTTTTCTAGGCTCCCAAATCATGTGTCCTACCCAACTCCAGTCTTTAGGTTTGGGGTTAGTCCACTTCTTTATACAGTCTATGTCTACAAGGTTTACCCCACCTGAGGCCCAAAGCAGCACTGCATTTCAGTCACTTATATCAGTGACCGAAACAACACAACAAAAGGCACAGTTTCTAGGCTTTTTTTCCTGATACAAAAGCAGATGTTCCCACGGTGGAGCTAAAAGAGCGTGTCCTTTTGTGGTGCTCTGGTAAAGAGGTCAGCCGACAGGTGCGGCCTCAGAGCGTGTGCGTGTCAGATGAGCTCCAGATAACACACTGCAATTTATCACAATGTTTCCCACCAACAAAATGCCATGGAAAGTGCCTGCATACTTTCAAAATAATCTGCTTTATATACTACAAGACTTCATGTTTCATATACCGTATTTTCTGCACTGTAGAGCGCACTTAAAAGCCTTTAATTTCATCAGAAAATGACTGCGTGCCTTATAATCCAGAGCGCCTTATATATGAATTTATTGGGGGGTCCGGTCAAGTGGTAACGGAGGGAAACGGGCAGATTTTTTACATTCAAATAGCTCTTATTCAGAAACTCGAGGGACTATTGAAACAAGTTAGGTATCAGAATGTAGGAAAGAGTTAACACTCCAACAGGGTAAAGTTAAACCTGTGATTTTCTTTCAAGTTGTTGATAAAAAATTTAAAAACTCATGTCGGTAACGGAGGGAATGAAATATGCAGCACTTTTTGGGCAATAAATCCAAACAGTGATAACTCTTGGTTCTCACTTACATATCCTTAACAAACTGGTTTGAATATTTGCTTCATATAGTTTTCTACCATATGGTACAAGATTAGGTTGAAAAACCTCTTACTTTTTGAGTCATGAGATTTTTTATTAAGAAAAAAGGTCATGGTAACGGAGGGAAAATTGTGCAAACTAGTAGAAGGTGCATGATTTTGTATAATTTGTCAGCTTTTTTCTTCCGAATACTTTAATATTACTTCAAAATGAAAGGAAACTATTTCTATAAAATATGTCAGTCCTTCCAAGCAAATTTTTATCATTTTAAATAAAAATAAAAAAAATAATGTACCTTCATCAACAGTTCAAAGATCGAATAACACAAGATATGATGAAATACATCAATTTATTTACATGATTTGCAGGTCTTTGAAATTTGGGAAATCATTTTTGTTCCTTGTTGCATACATGGTCTGTTTAAAACGTATGTAACTTTAGAACCAAAAATGGTACAGAAAAAAGGTCAACAGTTTCATAAACTAGAGTACATATGTATCTGTTCAGTACATTTTTATATACTTGAATTTTTGGCCTTGCTGTTTACTTTTGCTTGACCAGGCCCGGGGTGTCTTATTACGACTTTAGTAAACTACAAAGCCGCACCACTTGCAGCATTACGGCTCCCGTAGTCAGGAGCATCAGGAGTAATACATACTGTGATTTCATTTAATATCAAAATGCACCTGTCAAGAGACACGCTCACAACACCCACTTTAAACTCAAGGCTGTTATAAAGTGAAAGTGCGAGCTGCGTGGGAGCAGTGGATGAGTGAAGGCGAAAACACAATATCAAGCCCACGATATCGATACTGTATCATCACATTCAACGATACGATATATATCGATATTTCAATATTTTTGCACAGCCGTAATAACAGCCCGAAACTTATCAGGTCAGCTCTATCTCTAATAAATGTATAAATGTGTAACCTGTAAAAGTTAAAGGTACATTGTGTAACTTTTCTGATGGATATGTCATTGCTCTGCCTAGAATGTTCCACAGTGTTACATTAAACAGCTCTACTTTACATTTATTCAATTACAGGTGCTTTTAAAGCTCAAAAACTCCTAGAAAAACAAACATTCTGATTGTGAGCGGGGTCGCCTTTCCACAGATCTGGCCTGTAACTTGGTCTGGTTTGGTCTCCATGGAGATAGAAAGGTTTAATACCACACTGTGAAACTTTCCAGACAAAACAAGAACCCTCCACCAGTAAAGTTTTAACTCTTTTTACCTCTTTTAAATCAGTTTTACTGTTTTATTTTTCTGACCCCAGTGACTTTTCTCTTCCTCCATTGCTTTGTTTTTGCCCGATGTTTCCACGTGTTTTGCTGATGCGCTGTGTCTGTATCTGGTCTGCTTCCTGACAGGCGCCCTGGTACTTCCCTGATGAGGAGAGGGACTTCCTGTTCGTGCAGGAAGTGGTGAGGGTGGCCCGGTCATTGCGAGCTCAGAGCGGACTCACCAAAGAGAGACCTGAAAGTGAGTCCAGATCATTGCATGTTTTTTTGTTTTTTTTCTTTACCACAGAAGGCTTTTTTCTTTTACATATTACAGAGAGCAGCTGTCTCCTTCTCAGTCCAGTTTGGTTTGGTTTTCATTCACAAAAAGTCGCATCATATCTTTTAACACAGATATACAGACCCTTTAAAATCAGAATCAGAGCGTTCAAAATTCTGCAATAGAGACAAGTGGAGGCAAAGTGAAGCAGACATAATATAGTTTCAATGATTACTTGACCAGAAGACCTAAATGATGATGACTTAATGACATTATAACAAAAAATAGACACAATTTTGAAGTTTTAGGGTACAAATATTGTACTTCATTTGCTTCTCTGTTAAGAAGGATGGAAAAAATACAGTTTTCTAATCTCAACATTGTATTTGAGCTTCACAAAATGTATAATATATGATGAAATGTGTAAAATATCTATAGATTAAGTGATGAACTATAGTCGGCTCAACTTTAAACCTTAAAATCTGGACCTTTCCTTCGTCAAAAATGCTTAGTCTTTACTGTGTGATTAACATTAGTTATCACAAAGCTGGTTAGTTTTGACATTTTTTTAAAGGTCTAGGGTAAAAATGAAGTTACTTCCAGATCCAGAGCAGACTTAAAGGTTTATTGTGTATCTGTAACTTTTCTGTTGGAGGGACCATCAAATGCTTTTCTCCATAGAGATGTTTGTCTCTGTCTGGAATGTTTCACAGTATTAAACCTTTCTAAGTTACAGGTCAGATCTGTGGAGAGGTGACCCCACTCACAGTCAGATTGCTTGTTTTTCTAGGGATTTTGAGCTATAAAACCATCTTGTTATGACCCAGCTCGGTGGAGTCAGGGAAGTAACAGAATAACCAAGATGGAAAATGGAATAAATTAAATAATGTTTAATCAACAGGGATGTAAAAGGTAAATTAAAAAAACAGACTAAAATATATACAGAAAATAACCTAAACTAAGAAACAAAAACAGGATTAACATACAACAAGTTTTGTGCCACAAAACGGATCACGCAGGCTTACACAAAAACGAGTGGTTAAACTCCGGGACAAACACAAAACTAAAACACAAGTGCCTGTTATGTCCCCTTTGCTAGGGGAGAAAGGGAAGTAACAATAAAACCAGGATGTTTAAGGTTTAACTAAAAATTGTGCATTAATTATTTACAGTGTAAGAAAAGGGGAAAAAAAAGCACAGAAATGTGGGGAGAAAATAAAAAGGATTTAAACAAAATAATCTACTAAACTAAGGAGCCCTAACTAAGTACAACGCAACAAAATCTAACTAAAGTTCCACTGCGAAAACAAGGTGTCTCAATGCAATCAACAGAGGCAACAGTCTAGCATTATAACGAAAAACAAAATGAGACAACCAAAAATCAATCAAACAAAAGGGCGAGCTGGCCGCAGGGATCCAGCCGCCCCGAGCAGGTGGAAGACTGTCCTTTTATACCCCGCGCTCCCACAGGTGGCATCTGCGAATTGGTGGGAGCGGAAGGGTGACCGGCCAAACCTCGACGCGATTCGACACCCAGCCTCCGTCCGGCGTCTGGTGCTACCGCGCTCCAGGTCCAGGGCTCGCGGACCGATCGCATCACACACACAAAAGCAAATGGAGAAGAACGGGAGCACACTAAACAAATCCCAAAGAGCCGGAGTCCGTAACAGTGCCCCAAAGTAAAACCACATAAACCCACAAACTAGAGTCAAGTGATAAATTGAAAAAGGCACAAAACAGAACTAAACTAAACAAGTTTCTCAACAAAACAACAAAAGTCAGTCTGACACGAAAGACACACAAAAGCCCCGAGTAGGTGCTGGAAATTTCCTTAAATAGGGGGAGGAGGCTGCAGGTGAGGCACGATTGGCCAGGTGTAAAAATACTCCACCAATCACGGACAAGGGCTCCCACAGCAGAATTCAGGACAGTCAGGAAAATAATTTAAAGCACACAAAACAAATTAGAACTGAAGGTTTAGGGTCATAACACATCTGTAACTGAATAACTGTAAAGTAGAGCTGTTTAATATCACACTGTGGAACTTTTCTCGCAGAGCTATGACGTATCCATAGAAACAAGCAGGCGACGGACCCTCAAACCGAAAAGTTACGCAGTGCGCCTTTAAGTGAGCGGGTCTGTTTTGGAGGGAGACACAAAACGATGACGAATGTTGACCCAAAGCCCGAAGTCCATATTTTGTTAACCTTTTCACTTTATGGATCGATACAAATCCTCTGAAATGAGAAAAGAATCGATGCCCAAAGCAAATGCCAAACACACGCGTCCGCCACCTCCACGAAGAGCTACAGGTCCCGAGAAAAACGACAGAATACTAATGGTTATAGAGAGGAGGGAGAGAGGAAGATGGAGAGATCGGAGAGGGAGATAGGGAGACAGAAATAATAAGAAAATGGGGCGAAGGATGATGGAGAGAGGACAAGAGGGGTACAAAGAGGAAGAAGGGTAGGGAGGAAGAGAGGGAGAGGAGGATGGGGAGGGAAAAATAAGAAAATGATGGAGGAAAAAGAGCTGGGGGAGAGGTAGAAAGAGGAAGAAGGGGGAGAGAGGGGGAGAAAGAAAGAGAGCAGGAGAGGGTGAGAGAGGGGGAGAGGAAGATGGAGAGACAGGAGAGGGAGATGGGAAGACAGAAATAAGAAAAGGGGAAGAGGATGATGAGATGAGGACGAGAGAGGTACAAAGATGGAAAGAGGGCAAGAGAGGAAAGAGAGATGGGGGAGAAGTAGAAAGAGGAAGAAGGGGAGGAAGAGAGAGAGGGTGAGAGAAAGGTGGGGAAATTGAGGGGATTAGAGATGAAAGAAGAAGGAGATAGAGGAAGGATGAAAGAAGGGAGATAAAGAAGGAGGAGAGAGGAAAAGAGACATGAGGGAGAAGTAGAAAGAGGGAGAAGGGGAGGGAGGAAGAGAGAGCAGGAGAGGGGGAGAGGAAGGAGGGAAGAGGGGTGGAGAGAGAGGGGGGTGAGAGATGGAAAAAGAAGGGAGAAGAAATAAGAGAATAGGAGAAGGAGATAGGGAAGAGAGGAGGAGAGAGGAAAGAGAGTGAGGGGAGGAGGGAGAGGGAGAGAAAGGAAAGGGATGGGGGAGAGGTAGAAAGAGGGAGAAGGGGAGAGAGAGAGGAATGAAGAGAGGAGGAGAGAGGGCAAGGAGAGAGAGAATGAGGTGAGAGATGGAAAATGAAGGGAGATGAAAGAGGAGAAAGAGATAGGGAAGACAGAGGGAGCGGAGGAAAGAGATGCCGAAGGAGTGATGGGAGGAGGGAGAGAGAGAGAGTGAGAGAGAAAAGAGAGACATGGGGGAGAAGTAGAAAGAGGGAGAAGGGGAGGGAGGAGAAGAGAGAGCAGGAGAGGGGGAGAGGAAGGTGGGAAGAGGGGTGGAGAGAGAGAGTGGGGTGAGAGATGGAAAAAGAAGGGAGATAAAGAAATAGGAGAAGGAGATAGGGGAGAGAGGAGGAGAGAGGAAGAGAAAGTGAGGGGAGGAGGGAGAGAGAGGAAAGAGATGGGGGAGAGGTAGAAAGAGGGAGAGAGAGGAGAGAGAGCGTGAGGTGAGAGATGGAAAAAGAAGAAAGAGGAGAAGGAGATAGGGGAGAGAGGGAGAGGAGAAGAGAGATGCAAAAAGAGCGATGGGAGGAGGGAGGGAGAAAAAATGAGAGAGGAAAAAGAGAGATGGAGGAGAGGTAGAAAGGGAGAGAGGAAAGAAAGGAGAGAGAGGAGGAGAGAGAGAGTGGGGTGAGAGATTTAGAAAGAAGGGAGATAGAGGAGGGAATGAAAGAAGGGAGATAAAGAAAGAGGAGAAGGAGATAGGGGAGTGTGGGAGAGGAGGAGAGAGATGCAGAAAGAGTGATGGGAGGAGGGAGAGAGAGAGCAGGAGATGGGGAGAGAGCGTGACGTGAGAGATGGGAAAAAGAAGGAAGATGAAGAAAGAGGAGAAGGAGATAGGGGAGAGAGGGAGAGGAGAAGAGAGATGCAGAGCAGAAAGAGCGATGGGAGGAGGGAGGGAGAAAAGATGAGAGGAAAAAGAGATGGAGGAGAGGTAGAAAGAGGGAGAAGGGGAGAGAGAGAGCGAGCAGGAGATGAGGAGAGGAAGATGGAGAGAGGAGGAGAGAGAGTGAGGTGAGAGATGGAGAAAGAAAGGAGATAGAGGAGGGAATGAAAAAGGAGGAGAAAAGAAGAGGACGAGAGAGATGCAGAAAGAGTGATAGGAGGAGGTAGAGAGAAAAAAGGACAGGGCGAGAGATGGAGAAAGGTCACAGACTGTATAAAGAAGTAGAATAAAGGAGTTTGATGTCACCCACAGCATTCGGCTCCAGTCAAATGAAGCTCATCGAGGCTGCAGTTACAGGGTTATATGGGTAAAGGCTCTTCTCGCCCACCCCACTGGTTTGGCAGGGAGCAGGAGCTTATTATTTGACACCCGTCTCTTTCTATCTTTTTTACTACTTATTTAGAATTTATTATTACCATTCATATTTTTTACTCTTTGTTATTATATTATATTGTGATGTATGAGCTCCTGCGTCCAAATAATTTTCCATGTGGATCAATAAAGTTTGTCTAAGTAATAATAATAATAATGCATCAGTTTTATATAGCACTTTTCTGGACCCTCTAAGACGCTTTACAGAGCAATATTCATTCACTCCACACTCACTGAGTCAGTAATCCTGCATTTTATTGAATGTCGGTAGTGGATAAATCCGAGTCACTTCTCCCGACATCCGTTTTAAATGCGTTCCATTGCAACAGTTGGGGAAAATATGGACGCGCGAGCAGTGGCGGAGTTGGCAATTCAGGGGCGAACTTGAGTTTGGGGCCCTCAGTATAATGCACCGTTTTTCTGTTTTGTTGTGTTTTTTTAATACTGTATTTTCCGAGCTATTAGACGTGCTCTTAAGCCTCCAACCCGCATCAAAAAACAGTTGCGCGACCACACAATCCAGAGCGTCCCATACACGAATCCACTCGGGTGTCCCAGCACGACTTCAGTAAACTACAAAGCTGCAAAACACGCAAAACACACACGGAGCAGACAGCGACCTTGCAACGAAAAACACCAGCAGACACACTCATCACTCCACGCCGACGAGGAACGGAACGGAGGAAAGAACCGAAAAAGCGAGCGCAATGTGCCACTTCTAGACACGACTGAACAAATGAGTCACTGCGAACACGCCGACAATCCGTTGGTCCCAGACAGCACCTCCCTACACGCCACAACTGAACAAAGCCCAGAGTCACCGTGAACGAACAAACAAACAAAACCACTCACCCATCACACTGTTGTGTTTCCCACGCAGTTTATTTGTGAAAAAAGTTCAAAAATAGACCATTCAATGACAGTGCGTCTTAAAATCCAGAGCGCCTAATAGTGCGGAAAATACGGTATATTTATTGTCTGTTTTTGCCCAGTGTTCTTGAGACATGCACATCTGTTTATTTGAATTTTGGTGGATTGAAAACTTTTCTTATTATTTCGGTCGTCTACTAGAAAACCAGAACTGAAAGTAGTTTTATTTTTTTGCTAGTACAATTACATTTTTTATTTATATCCATTATATATGATTATTATTATTTTTCTTGATTATTGTTTAAAAGTAAACTACTCTGGTCATATTGATCAAATTGGTCTGAGGCCTCAGCCATTAGTGGCACTGAGGGCAAATGTTTGGGGGCCCCTCCAGTAGGAGTGTGCAAAAATATCTGAATATCGATATATCGTATCGTTTAATGTGATGATACAGTATCGATATCATGGGCTGCTGTATCGATATATCACCAAGAGTATTTTTAGGTGTGTTTTACTAAATTATTTTGTTACAGAGCTACAGTTTTGTTGCTTGTGGAGTCAAAGGAAACTCATTTATGCAACACATTTGACATTTTCACTGTTTTGATGATTAAAATGTTTGTGTTTCATATGAACTTTGTGGTTTAACAAAGACTTTTAGTATCACAGCCATGATTTAGCCTTTATTTTTTATTGAACCATATCGAATCGATTTGAAATATAGCGCATCGAATCGAAAGTGCACTGTATCGAGATATATATCGTATCATGGCCTGTGTATCGAGGTATGTATTGTATCGGCAACTTCTTAACGATACCCAGCCCTACCCTCCAGGTTTTGGGGCCCTAGGCAACCACCTGTTTTTGCCTAATGGTGGCCTATGCACCCTAGAAGGTTTAATGTAACATCAGGTTTTGCTGGTTCCTCAAATATGACAGTTTGACTATTACATGTTCAGAAAAAAACTTGTGTTACTGTCAAATGATGTGAAAAAGTCTAACTGTCACTACAGAGTTTTTAGAAGACACTTTCTCTACACAGACACAACTTAACATCAAAATGACAAAAAGACAGTTCTCCCCGTTTACTGTGTGCGTCGACATTTTCGCTGTGACGTAAATCCAACCTACTCTGTGCCGAAGTAGCTCGAGGTTTGTATTTCAGAAATCCGATTTGTTTGGCTGTTCCGTTGCACTTTCTCGAGGTTGAGGTCAGTTTTCCCCGAGTCCTGAGAACAATAGAATGCAGCATAGGTCTAAGTCTAAGCTTTGCAACGCTGTCAACCAAACCTGAGTGATCTCTGAAATAGAAAAAATAATGTTCATATCTTCATTTAGGGTCAAAATAGAGAAATAAAAATGCGAAGATCATGTAGAAGAGGTTAATACGAACATTTTAAGATCTAAATGTCGAGCCTGACAGCAGCAGTTACAGAGAGAAGAGCGATGGTTTTTAATACAGAGTGAATGGATCCAGTCGATGGAGCCAGAAGTGCGCCCATCCTCACTTCCTATTTGGAATCGTGGCGACTAGCGGGTTAGCTATGTCCATTTACATTTACATTGTCTATAAGAAGGGAGAAAGGAGAGGGAGACTGAGAGAGGAGTGTCAGAGATGTATGAGTATGAGAGGGAGAGGAACAGAGCGGAGAGAAGACGAGCACGTCCCTTTTATGGCAGTCTGTTGGTTTTTATTAGACCCACCTGCATCATAAAAAACGATTGAACTTCTCCAGGCCGTCACAGCTCTGGTTAGAGAACTGCGACGATGGGCCTTTAAAATGAACGCCGTGTGGAAGTGGAATAAAAGATTCGAAAAGTCCATGATGACCTCCCAACAGTACACCAACAACTAGTGAAAAAGATTGAAGCGGAATTATTCTACAAAACCCACTTCTCAGAGCTTTTGTTATAGTTTTTATAGTTGTTTGCCTTCACCATTTCCTCATGTTTGTCTTTTCAAGATGCCGTTTTGCCGATCAACCCGTGTTTTCTAGCCTGATTCATCAGCCGGTTTCACTTCGTGGAAATTTGAATTTGTTTGCTTGCTTTTTTTATTTAACCAATCGCTGCTATTTGGTTGTGACGTATGTAATGCGCAGTTAACAGGACTAACTGGTATATTAAGCTTTTCCCAAATCCCATATGAAGAAGCACAATAACATCTTTCCCCTTGATAAAATTCACCAAACATTCTCTTTTTTCCTGCTTTAAATCCTCGATCTCGAGAATCGTTGCCGACACAGAATGTCTGTCTCTTCTCTGATTGGCTGGTGCCCGAACTTGCACTTCCGGGTTCTTGCAAAGCATCTAGTGTATTTTGATTTCTGACCTAGTCGCTGGAGAGAAATTAAATTGAGCAGAGGCACTTGGTGGTGCCAGCCTGGCTACCTGTTTTCACCACAACCAGCAAACGCCGACTGCTGTGTACTTACTGTAGTAGAAGTTTTCAACTTGTCCAAGACAGAGTGGAAGCAAAAGGCTGGAGACCAACTGGATGTCTTAAGCAGGAGAAGTTTATTTACCATCTACAGGCTCTATTCACGCTTACGGCACAAACCAGGAAGACTTTTGGAAACATGCAATGACAACTTCCTTGATCAAATCTAGGAAAAATGAGAAAATGTCCCAGTTTTCTTCATCTCCATGTCATTGTTCCCTTATGTTCAGCTAATCAACAATTCCAACCATATCTCAGTATTCATCATTTCCCCATTGACACACAACTCTGAGCACACTGGGTACATGTGATTAGAAGAGATTAGGTGCCAAATTCAAGATACATGCAGTCTTCATTTTACCGTAGTTGCCATTTACTTCAGTGGGTTTGTGATTGGGGGGGGGCTTGAAAAGTATAGTATGATTTCAAAAGTGAACATTGTATGATCTTTGAGTGTTCAAGCTCCTTGACTAAGCTTCCAGAAGAGGTTTATAAAGCAAGTGTGGTGAGACTCTGAAGGACAGTAGGCACCAGTCAGACAGAAATATGCCACTATTTAGATAATGGTATGTCATTGGTATGTCAAGGGAAGCTGATTGTGTTACTATTATCTCCTGTGAGTTGATGTTAAACTGACAAAGGTATGTGAATGATAAATTACTTAAATTCTCTTACACTTACTTCATTCTTCATTCAGGAGTGACGGACACAGAGGCGTTGGATACAAACTTGGGAAATGGCGAAAATATTGATGCAACTTTATTACTCATCTTTCGTAAAGTGGTAAATTTCAAGTGCAGCTTCTCATCCACAATCCAGTTTGAGGCGTTCTTTAAAAGTAAAAAGGTGGAAGTAGTTCCTCACGTGTCTGTTTACATCCACACAGCGCACGGATCGAGGTGAAGCTGCAGATTCTCTATAGTGACTCTACTTCCTGTGGACTTGATCTCCAATCTTTTATGCTTAAAAAATCTTGTATCTGAAGTGTTGCACCATATTTCACAAATAATAACAGCATAGTTTTGCTTGTATCTAAACTAGAAATGCAGAGCTCTGATCTTTTGAACACTTAAGAGTCTCAGAGCGAGTGGTTTTACTGTAGACAGGAAACAGGAGACATGATTGCGCTCACAGCTTTATATCCTGTGGTCCTAAGACAGATCCCGCTGCAGTCTTTGCGATCGGTGATTTTAAGTCTCATAAGATTCTCCTTGTGTCTGTGGTGTGCGCTTTTTGTTGCGTTTAAGACCAAAAGATCCTGTAGTGTGTGGCGGGCTTTAGAGAAATAAAAAGCACTTCTAAACTCATCATGGTGAGTAATTAGGAGCTCTGTATACAAAAGGTGAGTGAGGAATAACCTTGGACCACTGCGCATAAACTTTGAGGTCACTGTGGTTTTCCCATACAGCGATGCCTTGAGCTTTGTGACCTTTGCCGACTATTGATTTTTTTGTTTATAAATGTTTGACTGCGCTCATCCAACCTTTCGCACTGACGGGGAAGATGGAACTAAAATAGACTTAAACTAAGCAAGAACTGACCGTAAAAATACAAGTTGTTTATACCTGACTAAACCAGTTTGAGATTCTGAATTAGTTCTCAATCAGTACTAACCAGTTAGCAAACAGAGGACTTATTTTGACCTGAAGAGCTGCTTATATGATATATTTGTACTTGGGGAAAAAATCTGGTTAAATAAGTATAGTACTAAACTAGATCTAACTCATGACCACATGTCAGGACTGTCTGCTTTGTTTAAACCACGACAAAATGTCTCATAAAAGAAAAATACAGGTCAGGTTCATGAAATTTTAAATGAAAATCTTCAATTTCTTAAACTGAATAGAAAACACCAGATTTTTGTTTCGTATGTAAACACTGGTACTTTCTGTGTTTAATTTAAGTGGTACAGTCACTGAGAATCAAAAGCGTGAGTCCACACAGGGTGTAAAATCAATAGTTTCAGTTCTCTGACGGTGTTCGTGGTGCTGTGTGTTGCAGTGTGGGTGGAGTGTTCCTCATCACAGGCTCAGATCATCCAGGACTACAGCGCTGCCCTCAAAACCCTGGGTCGAGTGTCCAGTGTCCGGCTCCTCTGTCCCCCCACACAGAGAGAAGACCTCGGCCCGTCCTCCTCTGGTCCTCCTAAAGGCTGTGTGGTGGGAGTGGTCGACCACACCTGCAAACTGCACCTGGAGGTCAAGGTACGAGTGTGATATGGAAGTGATATTATATGGATACATGTTATGCAAAACTGCTACTACTCCTATTTCTATGAGAAGGTAGCAAACCCACTACTGAAAAGTTACACATTGCACCTTTAAATATGTAAACTAAGGCCTAATTATTCACATTTTAATCATCATTTAATTATACACAATCACAAAAGCTGTATAATCAAATAAAAGTATATTAATTAGATTAATTAAATTATTTTCTGAATAATAAGCCCGAGTTCTGCCCCTTTCAGCCCGATCGAAGCAAAACATGTCTAGTATGTGATGATTCTGCAAGTTTCCTTTTATACTTTTTGCTTGAGTTTCAGAGTTCTAAGTTTCAATTTTTTAAATTATTTTATTTATTTATCCCCCTAAATTAGTATGTTGTTATGTCCACTGTCTTCCTTGTGCTCCGTTCAGACCGCTGCTTCAAAAAATGCCCTGGACGCCTCTGTTTGGACACCTTTGCATTTGAGTTCAGACGTCTCCAACACGCGTCTTCAACGCCGTGGACGAACAGGAGAAAAATGCTTGACGCGCCTCCAGGGCATCTTCTGCGGTCTGCGAGGGCCTTGTTTTCCCGGTTGAGAGTGACTTTATTGTATTTATTACATAAAACGCATCAGCGGAGGCGATCAGCAATGGTGGCAACGTTGTATATATTTATACTCCACTAATGACACTGGGTTAGACCTGGTTAAGTCCTGTCTTAGTCCTTGTACTCTTGGCAACCGCCGAGCTGATTGCCAAGACTACACCAGGACTGGACCAGGACTAAACCAGGTCCAGTCTTGGTCCAGTCCTGGTTCAGTCTTGGCAATCAGCTCGGCAGTAGCAGCCAGTAGCAGCGTGTATATATTTATAATCCATTAATGACATGGTGTGGAGTTTCTTGTTCTGGTGTTTGTGGGCCTTGGGTCTTTCCCTTTCTTCTCTAAAGTTGCTATGTCACTGGATAGTCGTCCCTGATCGTTTGATGCAGTGCGTCCTACACCAGAAGTTCACCATTTTCAACTTCTGACACTAACGCCTTGGACACTTGTCCAGAGCATTGATGCCGAAAAGCTCAAGACGTGCCACGTTGATGCCAGATTCGTGCTGCTCTGACGCCTGAAGACATGCCATAAAAACGCTGACAGCTTTAAATCTGTTCATTTTAGTGTCATTTATGGTTATCTTCTATATTAGCATTAATGAGATGTTTCTGGCGACCTTGTATGAATTATTCAAAACATTCAAACACTGTAGAGCAGAAACCTTGGTATTTTCATCTCTGTACAAAGATGAAAAATTCAAGGAAAAGTCCATTAGCTCGTATTCATTATTCATTACTCTAAGTGACCTGCTTTTGTCCAACGTGTTCTCAGACATGTATTTTCTTTCACATGCCAAACAGAGCCGTCCTACACGAGTCTGAAACTGACAGAAGTGAGATGAACACGTGGAACTCTCGTTATTCAAGGTCTCTTTTCAATCTGAGACGTGGACGCGTTCAAGTGGAGACTTTATGCAGATTGGTTGAAAGGTCAAAACAAGAGTTGACAAGAGTTTCATTGTAAAGTCAATTGGAACCAGAGTCGATAGAGCTGCAAACGTGCCTATGCTCACTTTTAATTTGGAACATGGCAGCTAGCTATGTCCATTTATATTACAGTTTGTGATACATTTGACTCATTCACTGTCACCATGTTTAAGAAAGACTTTAAAAACACCTTTTATTAACTTTCTTATTTCTTTTGTTTGTCTGTTTGTCTTTGAGTATCTTGAAATATAATTGTTATGTGTTACAAGAGTCTTTAGTACCACTCTATGTTCTGATTTCCTTTTCCAGATTGGAGTAAATGTGGACAAGCAGATGGCTGAACTGTCCCAGCGTAGAGACAGGCTCAGACCCAAACTAGAGCAGCTCCTCAGCAGAGTCCAGGCCCAGGAACACCACAACAAAGTTTCCCCACACGTCAGAGAAGCGCTCGCCAGAAAGGTAAGGCCGTGTTAGATGAGTATAGTGTATTTTTGTGGAATTTTGGATCCCCTGCGTAGTCTTGGCAAGAACACCTCCGGTTCTTTGTTGACATTTCTCTGTGGTTAGCTCTGGCACCATCTATTACAGAATTTGTCCTTCTTTTTTTCCCATTTTTCATTTTATTTTTCTTTGATGCATTTACACCTTATAGCATAATTCATCAGAGCTTTCACTTCGTGGAAACTGTCTGACCTCGCAGCGGATTCATTCGCTTGACAGTAGGCAGGTTCAACCAATTTGGTCAAATGCGCCGGAATGCTCACAAGTAATTGACAAAGTCTACAATCATGCAAATCTACTGATTCCGAACCTACTGGAGAGAAATGAATTTGAGCGGAGGCACTAGGTGGCGCCAGATTGGCTATCTTTACAAGAACCTTGGTGTGCGTTTTCTGTTTCATTTGACCCATCCTGACATGTACCAATGCTGAAAAACAATCGCACAGATAAGGTCAGAACCAGCCTTGGCCAATTGATAACCTCGGAATCGACACAAGACCTCACGGCAAAGTCTGAGACACCACTGCCATCCCGTATCAAAGATCACACCCAACTGCCACCGAGAAGCACCGGGACTGCCATTGAACCCTTTCCTCAAGCCCCAAGACTGAGCTCAGGATCTCAGCACCCCGAATTTGTCCTATTTTACATTATCAGTCTCAGTGGGTCCGTTGTGCTCTTCTCATTTGATCTTGGTCAGCTCGTCTCCACACTGTCCTTCTTAGCTCCCACTTAAACCTCTTTGAGCGGAAGTATAGTCAAGCGTGAATAGCCGATAATAAAAGTGTTGAATATTCAAGTCTCTGGAACGGACTGATTGTGAATAAACCAGCCTCAGACGTTCAGAGTCTCCTGCCTCTCTTTATAACTCTAGAGCTCATTAGGACAACACTTATTTTCCCTATGAATGCATTAGACTAAAGCCGTATTCGCACGGGATTAGTATTACCTGTGGACCTTTGGTGATTTCTAATTATTGCGGAGGATGCTTGAGATCATAATTCCATGCAAATGCGCCATGTCTGTAAAGTAAAAATCCCGCCGCAAATTACCTACTATAATTTGATCAGCTAATTAGTGCGGTTGTAAAATCAGATTTTTTCCAGCCAAGACAAATGGCCAAAATTAAGCCTATTTTGTCAACGCAACACTTCGACACGGTCATGCATGCATTTGCGACGACTAGATTGGACTATTGCAATGCACTTTATGTTGGTATCAGGCAAAATGCTCTTTGCCGTTTGCAACAGGTCCAAAACTCAGCGGCTCGACTTTTAACTGGAACCCGGAAACACAAGAGCATCTCACCTATTTTAGCCTTTCTCTATTGGCTCCCAGTGTCTTTTAGAGTCGATTTTAAAATTCTTTATGTACTTTTAAGTTTTTGCACGGTTTAGAGCCACCCTTACGCACCGTCTCGCACTCTCGGGTCTGCAGATCAGCTCCAGCTCGCAGTCCCAAAAACTAAACGTAAGCTTTTCTGTTGCTGCCCCGCGGCTCTGGAATCAGTTGGCATTAGGGCTGGGTATCAGTAAGAAGTTGCTGATACGATACATACTTCAATACAAAGACCACAATATGTTACATATCTCGATATAGTGTGCTTTCGATTCAATATGATTCGATACAATATATTTCAAATCGATTTGATACGGTTCAGTCAAAAATAAAAGCTAAATCATGGCTGTGACACTAAAAGTCTTTGTTAAACCACTTCTTCTTGTGCAAAGTTCATATGAAATACAAACAGTTTAATCCTCAAAACAGTGAAAATGTCAAATGTGTTGCATAAACGAGTTTCCTTCCTCTAAACAAACAACAAAACTGTAGCTCTGTAACAAAATAATTTAGTAAAATACCCCAAAAAATGCTCTTGGCAAGATATCGGTATTTTTATATTTCGGTATTTTTGCACACCCCTAGTTGCCAGTAGAGATTAGACAGGCCCAGTCTGCAAAGCGCACTTTTTTCACTGGCTTTTAAGAAGTAACATGTACATTTCTTGTTGTTGAGTATCTTACTATTTTCTATGTTTTTACAAGTTGTATTGTGTTTGTGCTGTGTATTGTCTTGTACTGCGGTTGTCCTTGTCTCTCCTGTGTTTATGTACAACACTTTGGCCAGCTGTAAAGTTTTTAGTTTTTTTGTTTATATTTTTTTTAAGGAATCACAATATACTCATACAAGATTTACAAATCACAATTATTTTTCCTTTTATATTTTTCTTATTTTCAAAAGGAAAACACCATCTTAATAATAAATACCAAATCTAAATATTATCAAAAATGAAGCAAAGGCAAACAATCAAAAGATAATAATAATTATGATGGTGAAAATTAAAAAATAAAATTTTAAAAAATTTATTTTATTTTTTTTTTTTAAAGGTAAAGAGAGAGAGGAAGAGAGAGAGAAAAGAAGACAGTAGGGTGGGGGAGGATCAGCTTATTAGTCTAAAGGCAGAATTTTTAAAGATTTGCAGTTTTCCATAAACAAACCCCATGTCTGTTCAAAACTTTCTTCATTGCCCTTGGTTGCAGTACTAATCTTTTCTAATTTAAGAAATCCTAAGACATCACGAAACCACTGAGATATTAAAGGAACTGCAGCAGATTTCCAGAGAAGCAAAATATTACGTCGGGCTACGAGTGAAGTAAAGGCGAGTATTTTGAAATGAGTACTGTCAGTTAGTAAGGTATTAACTGGGATACCAAATATAGCTAAAAATGGGTTAAGGTCAACTTTAACTTGTAAAGCGTTAGAAAGTATTTCAGCATATTGTCTCCAGTAATTAAGTAATTTTGGACACAAAAAGAACATGTGACTCAAGTTACATGGGCTGGCATGACATCTCTCACATTGGTCATAACCTGTGGGTAAATTTCTGATAAGCGAGATTTTGAATAATGAACTCTGTATAATACTTTAAATTGAATAAGCTGCAACCTGGCACTGGGTGCACTAGAACGGACAGTAGATACTGCCCTATCCCACTGTTGGTCTGAGAAAGATATTCCTAATTCCTGTTCCCAGGTTCTTCTAATCTTGACTGTTGAGTGAACATCCAAACCCATAAGTTCTTTATATATTACAGATATAATCGACCTTTTGTAAGACTTTAAGGATAACAAGTCCTCCCATGGTTGAGCTGCTGGAAGAAGCTGTAAAGTTTTTAAAGTGCTTTATAAATAAAGTTGGCATGGTATGGTACTATATTTCGCCAAACACAGACTTCCGGTGATAATACTAGTCCCGTGCCAATCTGCATCTCAGTGTTTGTTGTTGTAATTGCACCTTTTCTATCCCTTTCTTTTCGCGTTCTTTTCTCTTTCAATGTCAGTGTTACAACTGTTCTGCATTCAATCTTGTTGTTGTTTTTCTGTAATTGCACCTTTTCTATCCCTTTCTTTTCGCGTTCTTTTCTCTTTCAATGTCAGTAAAATAGAGTAATTTACAGACTTTGCTCATCCCGCTGCAAAGTAACACAGAGGTGGGGCAGTAATTTGCAAATCACCAGACGTCCCCAGGTTGCACTTATGCTGTACGAATAGGGCTTTAGACAAATTTTATTGATCCACGAGGGAAATTACTTGGACACAGCAGCTCACACAACACAATTTATTATAATAACAAAGAGCAACAATATAAACGGTAATAATAAATTCAAAATAAGGAGCAAAAACAGCAAGAGACTAGTGCCTTATTTGACTGGTGTCAAATAAGGCACAATTACATTAATAAATATGTAAAAAAAAATACAGAAATGCCTATATGTGAGAGTTTGTAAGGAAAAACAGATGATTGACAGGACATAGGGTTGTCTGTTATATAACATTGAGTTGTTGTACAGTTGTAGGGAGTATTATAAAGGCACTGTCAATGTCATGATCAAAGTAAACGTATAATCATGTCATAATAACTTGAAAAAGGAACAATATAACAACAGTTTCTTAATATGTGTGTTTAAAATGCTTGGTTTGTAATGGTTTGTATGGGAAGAGTAGAACTAGAAACCATGATTTTCGGCTCTTTTTTGGAAATGTTTGAGTCATTTAGTTAGTTTTGCAGTTAATATTTTATTGTTCTGATGGGAAAAAAAGCAATATTTTTCATAATATCTGCGAATCGGTCCAGTCTTGAGCTACTTCTTCACTAAGTTTCTGGGCAGTTACAAAGTGTGCTCTCTACACACAAACTGTCAAAGATGAAGTGACAAAATGTTTATAACTTGTTCAAGATGTTTAAGTCGGCGTTACTATGACGACCTCCTATAGAAATGGGAAAAACAGCTGCTTTTGGCGATGATTGTTTTCCACAAAGACTGCTCACACAAATAAATGTGTAGTTTATGGCTCTCCAGAAACATCAGTAACATTTCAATGGCTTTGTTTGTACATTTACCTCTCTCCTCTCACTGCTCCCCAACGAAACCAGCTGTTTACCAATGACATTTTATCATAGTTTTTGTGTTGTTATTTCTCTACAGGATTATTTATCTTGTATTTATTCATTTGCATTGGGTTTTATTTTCAAAAAGTAAAGTTGAAACCTTGAAACAAACATGCAACTTAAAGGAACAGTGTGGAATTTTGGACATAGGGCCTCATTTCCTCGGCCCCGTCCACACTAATTCGTATTTGAGTCGTTTTTGTTGTGGATGCAGTGTTCGTTCACACTAATCCGACTGAAAACGGCTCCAGAGACAGAACGATCTCATGCTGCCAGCTTCCACGAATTCGTTTAAGTACAGATCTGATCCGGCACTGTGTGGATGCCTGAAAACGTTGATACATTGATACGCTGATGTAGTTCTGTGCGCCGCGAAGTAATTCACAGCCAAAACGCTAAGAGGCTTGAATATCTGTCCATTCATATAAACGTGTGTCTGTGCGTATGTCCTGCAGATGTATAATCTCTGAAAAGTTTAACATGAACCATCTCCGACACGACAGAAACACAGAACAGACTCACCATCAGCAGAACACCCCTCTGTCACAGAAAGAACACTCATATTCCACTGAGTCGTGTCCTTCAGTCCGACAGAAGCTGAACCGCATCAGTGCACAATAGAGAGCAGTTTTTTTGAGTGCTCAGTTTATGCAAATTAGCCATGTGGTTTTAAGTTTCGTTTCTGTAAAACGTAAACAAATATGCTCAAAGCTGTGTGGACAGGGAAGACTTGCGGACACAGAAACGACGTGTCTGGACGCAGATCGTTTCCAATACGGTGATTTGTTTCAGTGTAAATGGGGTCTAACAGGCATCTTAAAGAGATAGTCTGGAATTTTGGACATAGGACCTCATTTCCTAATGATCCAGAGTGTTGGAGACGTGTGGAGACACTTTTAAAAAATATTCCATCCAGTCCTTGTATTTGCAGAGGTCGCTGGTGCTAGACTAGTGCATGTCAATGATAATAGTTATTCTGCCACTAAAAACAGTCTTACCCACTCCACAAAACACCCAAAGCAAATCTATTATTACTGTAAATAAGCTATAGTATCATTTGTCTTGGTTAAAACCTTGTGACAAAATTCTGGACTTTGTCTTTAATGTTAGTATGCCTGCCTCTCCACAGACCTGACCTGTAACTTGTCTTGAAAATAGATGAGTCCCATCCCATATTGTGGTACTTTTTCAGGCAAATCAATAACCTCTGTGTCCATGGTGACAAGCGGTTGGTGAACCCTTCTCACAGTGTCTTGCTCAAGGACAGACCTTTAGGCTTGGGTGATCATATTTCCGTTTGTCAAAACCAGGACACCGAGCTACTCTCACCTGGCAAAGCTTTTCACTGTTTTTCGATGTCCTGGTGAGCTTTGAGGTCCCTTACACCACCACTGGACACCGAAACATATGTGCCTGCTTTGTACATTGTGCACATGGACTCACACTTGTCTCGACCGGAATGGAAAGCGGGGAATTTCTTGTACAAGTCATCGTTAAATGTGCATTTGCGCTTCGGCATGTTGCAGACTGACCGACTGTTTGTGTTTGCTCGCTCCTTCTGAGTTACAGAGAGCTATGAGAGCCGCTTAATTTAAAGTCCCAATGAAAGGCAATGAAAACCCGGACATTTCTATCATTTTATTTAAAAAAAAACCCAGACAGCCAGGACAGGACATGAAAAACAGACATGTCCGGGGAAAAACAGACGTTTGGTCACCCTAGGCTTGTGGGCAAATGTCCAATTAAACCACAGTCGCCTGTGATAGAAAGAAAAAAACAAAGAAAAAAAATAATACAATGAAAAAATCCTTTATTCTGAATCCCATTTATTCCTGACCTCACTGAGCTTTTGTGTTTCTTGTCCAGGTGTCCGCCCTGGAGCAGGAGCTGAAGAACATAGAGGAGCAGCTACAGCAGCTGACCCAGCTCAGCCAGGACCACGCACAATAATGAGAGCATATGTATGAGTGTGTGTGTGTCTGTGTATGTGTGTTTGTGTGTGCACGCAGACCTGAGCCACGTGAAGCTCATCCACTATTTACACTCTGACCTTCTGTGATTGGGCCGTGTGTTCTCGTGTGCTCAGAGCTCTGTGCCTCTGGATCAGTGCTCCAGTCCATCACAGAACTACATTATCTTACATCTCTTTACACGTGGCCGGCTGCTGTGGTCTGAAGAATGGAGGTAATGCTTTCTCGTTGAGTGCATCATAATTCATCTATGTTTTATTGAATATACAAGTGCAGGGAGCAGTGTGCAAAGGATCACTGTAAGAAAAAGGAACGATTACATTAATGGTTTTGGAAAAGGAATCTATTTCTCTCTCAAACGATAATCTATCCATCCATTTTCTTCTGCACATCTGGGGCCGGGTCGCGGGTGCAGCTGTCTAAACAGGGACTAGCAGACTTACTTTTTTTTTTTTGCTTCATTTACACGTTTCATTATTCTTGTTTATGAGGTCCTCTTTCTCTGAAATCTAAAGAAATTCCCCGGATTGTGACGTCATAGGCAAAGTTCTGCTGGAATTTTGATAATAAGATGGTTTATATCACTGTACTCTGTTGTAAGGTCAGATGAGTAGGGATGCATCTGCTGTTGTCAATAAAATGTATTTATTAATATAAGAGACAGCTTTTGATCTTTTCATTTAATTTCAATGAAAAACTTTAAAACTATATCAAAATGTATTTTATTTTTTTTTTTTTTTTTTACAAAATGAAGAATCAAAGTACACTCTGTACTTTAATCATTTATAATACTGTATATAAATGATCAAAGTACAGAGTGTACTTTGATCCTTCATTTTGTAAAAAAAAAAAAAAAAATGGAAAAGCATTTTTTTTTACTAAATCATTCATTTAGTAAAAAAAAAAAAATTATAATACTTAATGAAGGAAATTAGTCCTTTGTCTTTATGAACAACAGAATAGAATTTTCCTTTAAAGACGAGGAAGCATAAAGTTTGTCTGTTACTAAACGTGAAAATACTTTTTACAGAAGAAACACAGAATAACTTTCTGCAGGTTGTGTGTCAAATGAAAGATTCTACAGAAATAGAAAATTTTATGCCATATTGTGCCCAACAGAACAGTTCCACAGTCCCCCCCTCCATCTTTTGCGGAGATGATTTATTGTTTATTTAAAGCAAACCTTTTATGAGACATAACAGGACATCATAGGCTCATTCAGGGTGTATCCAAAAAAGTAAAGTAAAAAAAAAAACAGACTACAAAAAACAAACTAGAGCGGGAACCAATTCCAGTGCACTTAAGACTGATGGTACTTTATTGAGTGGCCATTCATTGGAATCTATACGGTACATGTTATATAGCCTCATATAAGAATGGGCTACAGTCATTGCACTGAGTTACATCTGTAAGGAGAAAGTTATTTCGAAATACAGCAAGTGCAATGCAGTGTAATTCTTCTCCGAGGCCAGTGGTTCCTCAGTGTGTTTTTTTTTAAAGTCGTGACTAGAGTATCCATCTATCCATCTACACTAACACAGAAAGAAATGTCTGGATGCTGGAATCACTGATACTAATAGAATAATCTACAGTTTATATTAAAATGGTCTACAACATTGAACTGAATTGATTTGTTTTTAGCGTGTGTGCCAAGAGAGAAACAATAATCATATACAGACTTCATATACATTGTAAAAACAGAAAAGCACATTTCTCGAAAAGGAGTGGGAAGAAGGAAAACTTGAATTAACCCGCCCCTGTTCATGACATAGTTTCAAAAATATGTGTTCTTCTATACATTGATCACAAAACTTTACAAATATTTACATATACCAAAATAATTACATACTATGCATACTAAATATACTTTTAAATCAATTTCTTTCTTTTTGTATTGTACTGTGTTATGTTTTACAGCTATTATTTTATCTATATACTTTTTTTTTTTTTTATTATTATTATTATAACATTTAGCCTGGTAGACCAAAGCTATAATAACCTGTGGTGCCTGTACCACAGTTTGGAAACCATAGCTTTATGAACACTGTCTATATGAACAAAAATACTTTATATAGTATTAGTAGTTGTAACAAATATTACTGTCAGTTTTTGTTTCATGTGGCATTAGTTTGGCTAATGTTTCTAAGCGGGGTTCTTCCATGGATCTTCATTGTTGGCTCTATAAAATGTCACTTAGACTTAAACTTAGACAAACTTTATTGATCCACAAGGGAAATTATTTGGACGCAGTAGCTCACTCATCATAATATAATATAATAAAGAGTAAATAAAAAATAAAAATGGTAATAAATTCTAAGTAAGTAGCAAAAAAGATGGTAAGAGACAGGTGTCAAATTATAGTAGTAGGTATTATTAGTAGTAGTAGTAGTAGTAGTGGTAGTAGTAGTAGTAGTGGTGGTGCTATTATTATTAGTATTACTACTATTATTACAGTTACTATTATCATCATTTATTTATTTATTTGAGGAACACAATTTCAGTTCATCACATTTCATATGAAAACTGACAATAAACGCTTGGAATTGAATTAAATATATAAATGTACATGTTCAAGTCAAAATAAAATAGAAAACTAAAAAAATAAAACAAAATCTCAGCTTTATACAAGAGGTCATAGGAATAGAGGTCACTGAATTGAATTAATAATAAATACTAAACGCATCTGCAAAAAAAAAAAAAAAAAAAAAAAAAAGTCTGCAAAACTCCGCGTGTCCACGACTTTTGTAGTCCGGAAGTGTTTGTGGTTTGGTTTGGCGTAATCCAGCGTCATCACCATACATCAGAAGGCACATCCAGCCAGGCAAACCCAAAGCAGCAGCAGCAGCAGGAGCAGGCAGCCTTCAGCCTCCAGCAGGAGCAGGAGCACGGGCAGCTGGAGAGAGCACCGAGCACCCGAGCCAGGGCGCGCTGATCACGGACACAATGTGCACTTTACCGCTCTGACCGTGCACACCACCACCACCAGACACCGTGGCCCTGGCTCACACTCAACCCCGCTTCCAGGAGCCGCCCGCCGGGGATAATGGGAAGCAAATGTGCGGATGCTGCTGGGCGCACACCGGGGAGAGATGTGCTATGAACGTGACTTCGTGGGGAACACATCGGGCACGGCGCGGCTAGCTCCTGGAAGCTAGCTCACCCCCCGGCCGAACTGGAACCCCCTTTCCAACCCCGAGAAGATGCGTGGTGAGTGAGCCCGTCTCCAGCCCCGAGCCTCGCCGGGACCCGCTGGGAGAGAACGGGCGGGTTGTGAATGAGAAATGCCACCCGGAGCTGTTAGCAGGCTAGCTAGCGGCACGGATCGGGTTAGCTTGATTTTAAAGATGTATGTTATAATCAATGCGTGCGGGAATGCATTAAGTGGAAAAGGCTAATCGTTGCAAACAGCGTTGAATTGTGCACGATTTGTTAACTTGGTGATAGGAAAGATGGTGGACGGCTGTGTGTGACTGTTGTGTGGTGAAATAGCTTCATATCAGGCATGCACAGGTTACATGCACTATTAACATATGCACACAGAATGTAATAATGCATGGGAAACAAATGTCATGGGCCATTTAGAAGCTAAAACCAAACTGTCAGTGTATTGCAGCCACAAATTGTAGTAGTAAACCAGGAGACAATGAGCAACAGGCATAGCTAGTTAAAAAATATGCATGATTATTTGCATTATTGGCCATGTTTAGGGTGACCAGACGTCCCTATTTACCCAGGACAGTCCCAGTTTTGAGCTCTATGTCCCTTGTCCCAGCAGATTTATCCAAAACTAGTGATTTGTCCCAGTTTTGTACAAGAAATTATCATATTTTTAACCAATTTGATACGTGCCAACAGTAAAATAAAGGAATAAATTGTCAGTCGTTTAGGTAAAATACTGAAAAGCTGCTTAAAAACGATCAAAACTCAAAGAAAATGTGACTACTGACTCACATGTTAGTCATGAATGGGCTCCGCATAACAATTTTCCTTAATTGCGTACTCCTTTCACAATTTTATTACCAATCCACTCCAAACCTGGGCTGTTCCATTTTCTTATTTTGAAATTCTGGTCAACCTATGCATGATTATTTGCACTATTGGCCATGTTCAGGGTGACCAGACGTCCCTATTTACCCAGGACAGTCCCAGTTTTGAGCTCTATGTCCCTTGTCCCAGCAGATTTATCCAAAACTAGTGATTTGTCCCAGTTTTGCACAAGAAATGATCATATTTTTAACCAATTTAATACGTGCCAACAGTAAAATAAAGGAATAAATTGTCAGTCGTTAGGTAAAATACTGAAAAGCTGCTTAAAAACGATCAAAACACAAAGAAAATGTGACTATATTGACTCACATGTTAGTCATGAATGGGCTCTGCATGACAATTTTCCTTAATTACACACTTGTTTCACAATTTTATTACTAAACCGCTCCAAACCCAGCCTGTCCCAGTTTTTTATTTTGAAATTCTGGTCACTCTATACATGATTATTTGCACTATTGGCCATGTTTAGGGTGACCAGATGTCCCCATTTACCCGGGACAGTCCCAGTTTTGAGCCTTGCGTCCCCTGTCCTAGCAGATTTATCCAAAACTAGTGATTCGTCCCAGTTTTATACAAGAAATGTCCAAGGTATCCCTATTTTTGACCAATATGATCCCTGCCAACACTAAAGAGAGGCATAAATTGACATTTGTTTAGGTAAAATACAGAAAAGCTGCTTAAAAATGACCAAAACACAAATAAAATGTGACAGTACTGACTCACATATTAGTCATGAATAGTCTCTGCATGACAATTTTCCTTAATTACGCACTCATTTCACAATTTTATTACCAAACCACTGCAAATCGGGGCTGTCTGAGTTTTTTATTTTTAAATTCTGGTCTGATTATTTGCACTATTGGCCATGTTAAATAAAAATATACCTACTGCTTGGATTTGTAGATTGACTAACTTAAAAGGAGTTGCAGAAATGTTTAAATCCTAATGTTTTTGTCTTTATAATGTCTGGTCGAGTTAACTCAAAAGATGCAATGGAAATTTCCGTTGGATCTGGTCCGCCACCTGCTTGTCTTCAAAATTATGTTATCGCATTGCCTGGAAATTTCCACAGCAGGAAGTGATTTATTTATAGTATGGCATTAAAGCGAACCTGCTATGCAAAACTGACTGTAGAGCTTTGCATGTTAAAGTTGTTTCCTGTTTTCGTTTACTGTCTCAAAGTTGTATTTAGACTGATTCTTGCATGTTTGAGTCATATTTATTGTCCTGTATTCAACACATCATTACTCCGATTTATCCCAGGTTTCATTTATTAATATCTACATTTTAGTCCCTTAAAATCTTACATTCTGAGTGGGGTTGCCTCTCCACAGATCTGAACTATAGCTTGACCTCGTGGCTTCACCTGCTCGTCTTCATGCTGATATATAAATAGGTTTATTGTCATACCGTAGAATATTCAAGGTAAAGCGCTGGCATCTCCATGGAAGTAAAAGAGTGACATAGAGATACGCTCCGCCTTTTAAAAAAAAAGTTACATAATGCACCTTTAAAGACACAAACTTTGCATTTCAAACATTTCATTTCATTGTGATCTTATATTCCATTGTAAATTACACATACATTAGGCAAGGCAAGTTTATTTGTACAGCACAATTCGTACACAAAGTAATTCAAAGTGCTTTACAGAATAAGAAATACATTAAAATCACAATAAAAACAAATCAAAACATAAATAATCATCACAAAATTAAAGATTAAAATTAAAAAAGAGAGAGAGACATTAATTGCATAAATTAGAGAGAAGAGTGCAGAATGAAAAACCTTTCAGTCACATGCACAGTGAAACAGAAATGTTTTGAGCCTGGATTTAAACAGCGTCCAAGTCGAGTCTGTCTCACATGTTCAGACTGTTCCATGTTTTAGCTGCGTGAACCTGAAATGCTGACTCCCCTTGTTTAGTCGTGACTCTGGGCACCAGCAGGAGGCCGGTCCCTGAGCTCCTCAGAGTTCGAGATGGTTCATGTGGCACTAACATATCAGAGATGGGCTCTGGTGCTCGGCCATGGAGAGACTTGTACAATCAGAGTTGCTTTAAAGTCTCTGAGCCACAGGAGCCAGTGCAGAGACCTGAGCACAGGACTTATGTGCTCGTACTTCCTAGTTCGAGTAAGGACCCAAGCTGCAGCGTTCTGGATGTACTGCAGCTGTCTCACTCATTATCTAATACTGCAAAATTTCAGATCAGATTCAAAGTCCCATGTTGTTTGAAGATTGTGTTTTTGACTTGTCGTAGAAGCCGCTGCAAAGAGAAGTGTCTATAGGGGGTGTAGTGGCATAAAAGTGATTTGCAGATGAACTCCCATCAGCTTGAGTTGTTCTTATACTCAGTTTGCACGTGCCTTTGTAGGGCTGGAATTGTATTGTATTGAAGTGGTTGTGTAGAAGTGGTTAATAAGTCTGCATCAGGTCAGCATTTTTTAAGGATGGGACAAGATCTCGTGCCACAAGATCTCGCGAGACAAAATTGCTACAAGAGAAAAATCTCATAATATTTTTTCCCCCTGAATTTACCATTGGCTTGGACTAAAAACAGAGTTAAGAGCTGGTGCGTTACACAATTTGAGAAGCTGTAGTTCCAAAAACCACTACTACAATGACCGTGAAAGTATGACATAAAATAAATGAAAATAGTGAACCCAGAATTATGAAATGGATTGCACTACTTATTTATGATGAATTATGTCAAAATCTTGTCTTGCCTCGTTCTTGTGGACTTGATTTCGTGTGTCTCGTCTCATTAAAATTGCGTCTCGCCCCACCCCTAGTGGTTTTGTTTACTTATAAGACACTAGAAACTGTAAACTTTCTTTGTGCAGCATTACTAGTACATTACATTTAGATTTTTGTTTTAACTAAATTAACTTGAATTTCTAGACTGCAGACATTAAAATAGAACTGAAAAGTTGTCTTGATTCAAAGAGTTTTATTTAAGCGATTGTGCACACAGTTATAGAACTACCTGTCCCAGACCGAGAGTCGTCTGTTGGCTGTGACATAACAATGCGTACAGAGTTTTTATACTACACGGGGGGGCATAAGGCACAGGGGATGATACAGACACATTAGATAAGACCTTGAGTCTCGTCTGGAGAACAGGTCAACGCAAGTGAAGACACAACAATCAGCAGAATAACAAACTATGATTGATATAAACAATAGACCCGTATGTGGAGCACAAGGCCAGAGTGTTGTACAGAAGATAACAGGATTACAGCGAGACATCAAACTAGTTACAAAAGCCAAGATGTAAGAATCAAGAGGTTGTGATAACCTCGCTGAGCAGTAGATATCTGATGTGCCATTTATGAAGAGCCTCGACCCAGAAGAACAGAGGTATCAAACTCAAATTCACAGAGGCCAAAATTTAAAACTGGGACTAATTCGTGGGCCAAACTAAATATTCAAACATTTCAGCAATATCTGCATGTTTTCTTTTAAGATATGTAATGTTAAATCTTTTCTTATTAAAATAAATGTTTAATAATAGTTTTGTGTAAACATTAAATCCAGAACAAGCATCATATAACTCGATAATGTCTCTGTAGTCTATCTGTAGCCGGCGGCCAGCTCTAATTTGCATTTGATATGAACTCATGGGCCAAATATAATTATATTGCAGGCCAAATTTGGCTCCTGGGCCTGAGTTTGACACGTCTGCCTTAAGGTATATGAGAACACGTATAAGACCACATAGCCTAAATAGCCTTCCTGTGCAACTGAAGGATTTCACAGATATAAGACCACACAATAATATAAAACAACGTGCTAAAGAAGAAAGTCACATTCTGTTGTCTAAATAAAGAGTGTTTTTTATCATCGTGGTATCGGAATCGGTTTTGAGTCTATTCCTTGGTACTGAAATTAGTTCTAGTCTAGACCCAGAAGAAGATCACTGATGTAAAGATTTCCATAACAGTGTCTTGCCCCAGTACAGAAGATGTATCGTATAAGCAACTCTTGAAGTCAAAATAAGTCCGCTGTGTTTTGTTTGCATCTAATTCTAAAGCGTTTCATTGTCAGAGTGTTAGGAAGTGCATGGTTGGCTTGCTAGTTGTTGTTAGCATTACTCTGACGGTAAAAAATTGTGAAAAATGCTTATAAACTCTTCACGGCGAATATTTAGGTGAGTGAGGAAT